GGGGGTCGCAATCGTAAAATTTCCACATCAGGTGTTCCTGACGAAGGTTCTCAATCTTGCACCTACAGGTCCTGATTTAACTCGTTTTGAACAGGAATTAAATGATATTTAGGTTCGTTTGTTATAAGAGTTATATTAATTTTTCAAAAATTGTATAGCGGATTCTGCGGATATGAAAATTTTTAAAAAGACTCGTAAATAATTGTTCCATTTCGCTTTAGTGGGAATTGCCCGCTTGTTAAAAATACACGAAGTCGTCACGTATATATTTAGACTCATTGTTAGTTTAATAATATATGTTAGAATTGTAAGTCGTAAATTTTCTAAACAAAGAATTAGTAATCGCTATTGTGATTTACATAATGTACCTCATAAACATTATGATTCTAGCTTTCTTCCGACAATGTGGAAGAAAGCTAGAATCATACCGATATTTAAAAAGGGTGAGACAAATATTGTTACGAACTACAGACCTATTTCTATTTTAAATACATTTTCTAAGATTTTTGAATCGCTTCTATGCCCAATACTCAAATCACACTGTAAAGTTTTTGTAGATACTGCTCAGCATGGTTTCTGTGCCAAAAGATCTACTGATACTAATCTCTTTGAGTATGTAAATTTTTTGGCAAATGCAATTGATGAGAGAAAACAAATTGACTGTATTTACACAGATTTTTCTAGTGCCTTCGACAAAGTTAGTCATAGTGTTTTATTGAAAAAGTTGGATTACTTATATGGTATTGGAGGGGGGTTATTAAAATGGTTTGCGTCATATTTGACAGATAGAACTCAGTTTGTGGCAGTTGGTGGTATAGAATCGCAATCGTACATTTCCACATCAGGTGTTCCACAAGGTTCTCATCTTGGACCTGTCCTATTTACTCTTTTTGTAAATGATATTGGTTCGTTTGTTAAATATAGTAATTTTTCTTTGTATGCGGATGATATGAAAATTTTTAAAGTAATTAATAGCGCTCAAGATGTGGAGTTATTGCAAAGTGACGTAGTGGGTATACAGAGGTGGTGCGATCATAACAAAATGGTTCTAAATGCCAAAAAATGTTCGCAAATTACTTTCTCTAAAAAGAAACTACCAGTCCCCTCTAAATACACTATCGACGGAGTACTACTACTGCAGGTCAATGAAATTAGGGATTTAGGAGTAATACTAGATAGTAATTTATCGTTCATACCACATTACAATGCAATAGTCAATAAAGCTTCTAGAATGTTAGGTTTCATAAGGCGGTCGACTAAGTGTTTTAAGAATGTGAAGCCTAAAATCATACTTTACAATTCTCTGGTCCGTAGCATTTTGGAATATGGTAGTGTTGTTTGGAACCCTCAATATTCTGTCCATGTTGACAGAATCGAACGAATTAACCGCCATTTCTCCAAACATCTATGCCGATTAAATAATAACATTAGCTATAAATGCGAGTATGAAAAAAGACTAGCTTTCTTTCACTTACAATCACTCCGCGATAGACGCCGCCTTATCGACATTATATTTGTTTTCAAAATTTTAAATAACTTGGTAGATTTACCTAATGTTTTAAGTCAAGTTAACTTCCTCTTAAAGAGGAACACAAGAAACACTTCAATCCTTTTTTACGTTCGGGCAGTGAGGACCAACGTCGGTTGTAATGCTCCTCTACACAGATCTCTATCGACATTAAACGACGCTCTGAGTACATGCCAAGCAGATCCATTTAGTGACAGTCTCCATGTCTTCAGGCGTAAGATGCTGCAGCCAATGTTGATCCGTGACCAATAGTGATAATTGCAAAGTTGAAAATTATTGGTTTTTTTTTTATATGTATTTGTAAATTGCATGTTTGTATTTCTTTTAATCTAGTTTGTTTTTTACTTTTAATGTTGAAGTTAATTTCTCTTCATCATCGTAATGTTTCCCTATAAATGTTGTGCACACTTGTTATTGATGCACATGCATGTATCTTGTTTTCTATGTTATGTGTTCTCTGTAAGTGTTTGTATGTGTTTCGTTAGTGTGCCTTTTGAAATAAAATAAAATAAAAACATTATGTAATAAAATGACGTCAATTCTATGCCAAAAAACAAAAACAGTTTTCGGTCACGTGGTCACTTCCCTAGTTTATAGGTAAAGCCCGCAGTACGTTTTGACATATTATTGCATAGCGTCCGAAAAATTAGATTCCCACTTTCAGTAGGTTTATAGGTTATTCATACTTAAAGTACACGCGCGAACTCCACCTCGCAAAATTTGAACAAATTAACGTGCCGAGAATATTGCAACTAATTAAACTAAGTTCTACTCTTCTAAATCTTAAAATAATTAGCCTCTCACAGATAAAGTCCCGCCATGCTATGCTTACTGTACCGTCCGCTTTAAGACCGCTTTTTAATTCAAAAAAGTTAACTAAACGAATCTCTTAGTAGAAGGTACTACGACTGCCTCGAATTATCATTATTTTCTAATATTAAGTTTATAGTGTTTCAAAAATTATTTTCAAACACACATTAAACAAAATTGCTTATTGCAAATACTTTACTTTGATGATTTGACTTGTGTTCAAATGTATATTGGATTTTGACATACGGAGACATAGTTTACCATTGGTATTTGGTGCCCCAGTACATGTATGTAATATACATTCAGATAATAAACAACACATACCCCAAGTATTGTGTGTGAAATTTATAGTTTTTTTATTTTATTTAATTCGAATGTAAAACCTTTAGCACATATTGTATGTAAAATTTCTTTTTACATTGGTTGGTTGAAGTTTCTCACTGAAGTTTAACAAGGACATTAATATCTATTCTCTTTATATGTCTAAAGTTAAATGTTATTTTAAATATTTTTGCTGTCCTATAATAGCGATGACATCATTTTATTATTGTTTAGATCGATTTCAGTTAGAATCAAATACGTTTCGTTCTAATAGACCGTCTTAATTTTAACCTTGACGTGCTTTATCGTTCGCCGACTCGCTAACAATCAAGGTCATTTAAAACCGTAAGGCCGTTTCTCCACTGCTCCGGTCCGGCAACCGTTAATTACCGATCCGATTTAGAAACTCACAACAGTACTTACGTGCTTCTCCACTACTCCGGCATCCGGTTTTTATCGATCCGATAACTTGCTAGATCGGAACGCGGCAATAAAATATTCAGAATTTAGAACGTTTTATTAATAAAATAAAGTATATGGGTTTTAGTTAATATAGGTGTTGCATGATAAATATATACAAGTATCGATTATTGTCGGATCGGATATAGTGGAGAAGCGCAATCCGGCCTTCCGATACTTTTCTCATGACTCATTCCGGTATCCGACGCCGGACCGGAGCAGTGGAGAAAGGGCCTAAGGGCCTTATTTATCATACTAGCGGTTTGCTAGCTGCTTCGGGGCGGAGCGGGTACGCAGCGAATCCGTCGCGAACACGCCGCGGCTGCGCAATATGCGGAAGCGTGGCGGTTGTAAAACGTTTTCGTCGCGTGTTCGCAGCGAGTTAACAACGTACAATATACTCAGTTACAAAATGGATTTTCAACAATACAAAAAATTGTTCGTGAGACATGTCAAGCTTATATTAAAACTTTGTTTCATATTTGTATGCCACCTAAGAAAACAGAAGACTGGGAAAACATTAGCAAAGGCTTTCTAGAAAATGCTGATTTTTCTAATCGCATAGGTCCAGTGGACGACAAACATATTAGGATGATAAGGCCGTGTCATAGCGGCTCTCTATATTTTAACTACAAAAAGTATTTCTCTATGAAATTGCTAGCCGCCTGTAACTCCAACTACAAGTACATATTTGTTTATGTCGTTCATATGGAAAAAGTTCAGATTCAACTATATTTGACAGAAGTCAATTGAGAATTAATATAGAATCAAATCGTTTAAATATCCCACAGTCGAAACAAATAACAAACAAATTAAAACAATCTCGCATTCGTGTCTCGTTACGAACTGAAGTGAGGCGAGGCGGACAGACTGGCGTTTGTACGAGACTGTATAAAATGGCATCCACTCTGCTATTCGCGACGGATTCACTGCGCGCCCGTCCCGCCCCGCGGCCGCTCTCAAACCGCTACTATGATAAGGCCCTAGAAAGGAGTATTATTCGTTTGGTTTGAAATATTATACTAAAATAGTATAAAATAGGCATCTAATTATAATTTAAAGAAGATTCATAGAGAAGTAGGGAAGGGTATGACGGGTCTGGGCGTTACTGCATACGATGTTTTGCATTTTCTGAGAAGATTTACTATGGTAATATATATATATATATATATATATTTTTTTACCATAGGAAAGTAGAGATTTCAACGAACTGAAAGCACACCAACTTTTTGAAAAAAGCTGAAATTTTGACGTCAGAATTTTCGATTGAAAATTAGGGTGTTTTTTCGATATTAATTCAAAATAAGGTGAAAAAATAAATATTTTTAATCAAATAAATTACAGTATATTTGGGACATAATAAGGTAAGTTTTCACCAAATTGCGTTAAAAAAAAAAGAAATTTGTAAAAGATAAAAATTAAAAACCAAAAACTTGGTTTTTTGAATTTTTCACATAAATTTTGAGGTTATGTGAAAAATGTGTGAATACTAAAGTTTTAGATCTATTTATTACCTACAACTTTGCCATTTAACTTTCTTCGATAGGACTTTTAGTTTTGCCGGAAATCGAGATAAAACGTTTTTTACCCTTAAAACTCCCCGTAATTCGACCGTAATTTATTTTTCCTTTCATCAAATTCCCCTGCTTTTCTAATGGGTTTCATCCTACTGTAATTTTTTTCACTTTTTATTTATTTTGAAGGCTATCTGCACTGGTCTAGACAGGATAGGATGACATACAATTTTTAATTATAGCGTGAACGGTCTGATATCCGACAGGACTAGCGACGCGAAAAGATACTTTACATAACTGCAAGTACTTTACATAGCAGGAAAAAAACTATTAATCAATAATTAAATTATAATATTAACTACATAATATTATCGGTAATTTATGGAAATGTGATGTCCATCCGCTGGCTTATTAATGCCCTGATTTTTGATCCGCATTTGATGGTATTGTCCGCTGACACGGTATGCCCGAAGAATATGCACCAGAGTCACCTTCATCGTCATCATCGCATACACTTTACCTGGAGAAAATAAGAAGATTAATAATCTTGAGGTAGGAAAATATTTTTTAAATAGACACAGATTTAATGCTATGGAAATTCATTATTCAGCCATTCCTTTTAAATATGTGTAGGTAGATGTTTGCTAGTCATTTAATCAAATTAAATTGATAACAGACTGTAAATATATTTGACAACTCTATCCTGTTATAACTTAAACAATCTTCATAATACGACCAATTTCAAACGTGAATTCAATACTTTAGAATATATTTAAATTTACCAATACAATTCCTCCTCCCGTAGCCGAAAACTCCATAGGCATTGGGATTTTGTGGTAGGCGGGTGGGGTCCAGCCAGCGGTCGGGTGAGAATTCGTTGACGTCCTTACCCCACATGGGGTGATTCAAAACTCCATACAGCGACACAACGCACAGATGACCTTTGCGAAGGACTGCGTTTTCTAAACATTGTATTATTTTTATTTAAAAACTACAAAGAACACTAGGCCTGCATTATCAATGAGTACCTTACGCATATAATTACGTAAATAAAGATATTTTACTTTACTATATTACGTCCAAGACTTGTAGAAACTCTATTTTTATAAACAAATATTTGTATAAATGATACATACTAAGCTGCATGTCTTCAGTAATAATCCTCCCTGTCATGGGAACGACAGGACACAACCTCATTGTCTCTTTGAGAACGGCTTCGAGATACTTTAGTTGCGATAAGTCTTCTTTTGTCACGTCCCGGTCTAATTCACCCAGGACTTCGTTGATCCTACGTGTCAAACATTTATAAAATTCGATGAGAAATGTAATGATACTGGCAGACTTATTTGCTAAGAAGAATTCTTTAGGCGCTATTAAATAACATATTGTGTTGCTCCCAATCGCCCAACGCTTTTTAGATTTTATAGTTAATATATTATAAGCTAATAATTAATAGTAATAATTAAATAGCGATTTTCTCTCCTCTTTATTCAATGACAAGCTTAACTATCGCTGTCGTTTCTTATTTATTGAAACTCTAATTAATATTTAACGTTTAAGTTACTTAAATCATATAAATAAAAAGACTATTGGAACTATTCGCGAATTCGATGTGGCTATTGCATCCATCTTTACATATAAATATAATTACTATCGAGGCGCTAAACTCACATTTTTATTAAATTATTTAAAATAATTACCGAATGACTGCGGCTACAGCGCCACGACATAAAAACTACTCACTCTTTTAGACATTTCTCTTGTACATCAGGGTATGTCCCAATTAGCAATAGGCAGAAAAGCAGCACTCCCGAGCTGGTTTCAAAGCCAGTGAGGATGATATTATTCATTTCCTCTCGAATGTCCTGTTCACTCAGTTTGCTCGTGAGTTCTAGCAAACGGTGTAGGAACGGCTTGAACATTGAATCTGGAATTCGTATATCAGTTAATGGAAAATGTTACTTATGAAACCCCATTTATAAAGATATCTCTCTGATGGGTCTGATCTTTAGTTAGGTTAGGTTTTATCGCGAATCTAACATCTAGAAGAAGGCAGGTAGTAGGGTAGTAGGACTCCTTTCTCCGCAATTAGACTCCTAATTGGTCCGTTGTGCGTACGAAGAAGGCAGGTAATTTAATACGAAAAAACTTATAAACAATAAAATAAGGGACTGAAATTTTACGAACATCCGATTTTATATTTTATATTACGTGTCCCTCACCAAAGCCTGCTTTATCGCCATTAAAACATAAGTACTTCCTCTGTATTTAATTTAAATGTCAAAGGTATACTTACCAGAATTATTATTATCAATTTCTTTGTATCCTTCTCTTTTTCGTTTTAACACCTGTAATAAAGTATGTCTTCATAAAATTTAATCAGTTAAACAATGTTTTGTCTCTTGGGCTTTTTTGGGAATATATTAATGGAAATTTCGAAAATATGGTAAAATTTTAAAATCCTTACATAATTTTGGTCAAAATTATTCAAACAACATTTTTTAAACAATTACTAAAACTAAATCTTATAGCGAAATTATTATTTTTGACTTTACCTAAAACGATTCAGTAATATTTTGGAATGTTTATTCTAGTTAAATAAATATGAACATTACATCGTTAATTTGTATTACTATTAAATATAATACGCGAATTATTTAATTCTAAAATAAATTTACGTACATTGATGAATACTTTTCTTACCAGATTAGTCAAATCGTGTGTTATTTTTATATTACGGTCTTCGTCTTTCTTTAAATTGGACATATTGTATATACAGTTGATGTAAAGCAACGGGTTCCTGCCCCTGTCCATCAAGCTGCTGAGGACCGTGCGGTAGGCCATTAAACACTCTTCGTTAAACTCATTCTGGTCAGTGATGTCGATTCCCGCTGTTGTTACTGAAAATTCAACGTGATAATAAAGCAATTTTTACACTGTTTATTTTGTAATACACCGTAACATATACGCCCTTGACACGTGAACTAAAAAAGTGCGTGTTACCATGATCATTATTTTTTAAAACATCGTATCTTTAATTACACTGTGTTTTCGCGGAAAAAGGATACGAGAGAAGTGGATAAAACAACGTCATCGAACAGGGTTCGAGGGTAGATTTAGGATTATAGGTGTCGCTACAACACGATGATTTAAAGCAGTACCATTTTAATGCAAATGTTACCTTTTACATTATTTATTGCCAGTCTAATTATAATAGTATTCTAATATATGTATTTCAACATAATTTTAAATTTATCCGACGTTTCGCGTGCTTTACAGCGTGCGTGGTCACGGTGATATGTATTTCAATGCAGTAGGTATTGCATTTGGTTATCTATGTATAAATTAAAAGTACCCTGTCGTTAATGCAACATTTAAAAGTATATTACGATTATTTTTTAAAGCTTTTAAGCGCTTAATGTGCAAGAACCTTACAACAAACAGTTTCCAATGTATTCTTCTCCAAGCAAAGTTGATGATCAAATGGCCCCATGCCGGCGTAGCTCTTCCAGCGCTCCACCAGACGTCGGCTTTGCGTATTGAAGATGACGATAAAACTGTCCAGGACTTGCTGATTGAAGGTCGGGTTTATAAGTTTGCGGTGCTCCTTCCACACTGAAACTACATTAGTCACGTGAAATACTATAAGTTTTCGCCTAAAACCTTTTAAGTCTGGGACTCAGATTATATATATTTTTTGTGATTAATTGAGTTCTAGGCCAACACTACCTTTTCTTGTGATGTATAGTGATTGGAAATATTTATTTTATACATGCATTTCCATTTAACCTACACTATATAAATACTGAATTAAATTAATAAATTAAGTTTATATATTATGCATGCCGTATGCAGTTTGGTATTTTAGTAGTATATTTTTTGTTTTAATAGGAAAATAATTTTTATGTAAAACATGTCGCTTATTGAGATTTTGGGACATAAACTTGTCATTCCTTTAGCTTCATTTAATATTTTATTTTTATAATTTTACAAATATCTGTTGAATTTAGAGCAGTGCCATTAAAACAATCGTTTTTACATTGAGCGCCGTATGCGTGTGCATCGGTTGTTTTACGCAATTAAGAACCATTATAACGTATGTTTAATTTTGTGCGCTTTGGTTTTATAATATCTAGGGTTAGGGTACCTCTAGTATTTAAATGTTGATTTTATTGTTACGTAGCTAACTATTATCGAAATGCCTGAATACTTTTTATCGCAAAATAGGTTTACTATATTTATCCATTTTAATAAATGTTAATTAATTCGCTCTAAAACCCTGTATGGGTCTTCGATGTAGATTCATATTATATTTCATATTATAAGGCTCGGTTTTTTAATAACTTTTATGATCATAAAACAAAGAAAAACAAAAGAAAATCGGCACGTCTTAAAGACAAAAATCGACTTGTGTCAGGCGTTGACTATCATCAGTATATAAAGAATAAATATCAATTTAAAAGACACATAAATGTATCTGCCCCATATCCCATTGTGGGAGGAACGTTGCCTCGCTAGGTATTGATATAACGATTTATCGTGATACTATTTCAAAGTATTATAAAATAACGAAAATAAAAACAAACATATTCTATATCTGTGTCTGTAAAAATCGTAAAAGTACAATATAAATTAATGGAATAATAATTAATGTACATATTTACAAAACATCAAAAAGGCCCTCCTAGCAATTACTTATGTCTGTGAACGAGCGTCTAAGAAATTATTACTATGTATTCATTAGTCACACAATGTTTGTTGTAACATCGATGCGACCTACCTGCACTTTTGTAAAAAATATTGTACATATTGTTAGAAACTAATATTTTTATTTTATATAGTTTATTTTCAAATAATTTCATAACATGATGTACATAACTAACTTACTATAAATTTTCTCGCTAAGTGAATGTAATTGTTTTAGAAATAAAGTATCTTTGAACCGAAGTACCTACTATTGTAGAGACGAAATAATTACCTGGACCGACAAGTAGACCATTCCCGAGGAACTCTCTCGAAAATTTCTTCATAATCCCGGGTCGATGCAGACTAGAGCTCATTACTTTGCTGCAGTCATCGGGATCAGTTATTACTGGAAGGTTAAAGTACTATGTTTTACAAAAACATAAATCTAAACACTTTATACGTTTTAAAGCTAAGTAGAGTACAGCTATTGTCACATACAATATAAAATATTCCTATTTTATGAAAACGAATTAGTGGGTTACCCAATACACATATCGCAACCAATGAACATCTACATTAACCGAAGATGTATGGGTGCGTTGGCGGCTTATAAAAGCGAGTGTAAAATGAAGATTAAGTACTTAAACATTCTAGTTATAACTTAGTACCTAAAGTAAGTTACAGTAAAATGTTCCCTTTGCTTCACCGCATTGCTAAAAAGAGAAGAATATAAAACTTCGATTGAGTTATGTAGGTATTTAAATAAGCGTTCTTGTGAAACAAAGTGAATGGATTTGATTTTATCTACTCAATAACAAGTCGCGAGACAATGTAATTTGTTTGGTCATATTTCGCACATGATTAAATAATAATTCAGACGATATATAATTGTTATTAATAATCGCGTGAAAGAGCGCTTACGATTACGATTACAACCCCTGTTGCTGTCAATTGTCCATCCACAAGACATTGCTTCAAAATTTCGCACATAAGGTGTTTTTTCTCTTCGTTTTCTTAAAGGTATGTAGGTAACGCTAGTTAAAGGTAAGATGCCTGTCAAAAGTGACCCTTGGCTACAGTTTCTGTACATTTTATTGGATTTTTAAATACGTGAGTCTTACGGTAAGCCTCTATAGACATTCTATATGAACTTACCATAAATTGGTATAATGCCAAGGTAGAACATCACCACGTCACCGTTTTCAGTTGAAAATTTCGACACTTTCTTAATTTTCTCCCATACCTCTGAAAATTGTAATCAAATTTGAAAAAGGTTTCAGGATTTATATTGTGTGAAAGCGGTTTCGTAAATAGACTATATATCGAATAACTGAAATATATGATTCGTTTTACTATTGGAGTGCAAACTTGAATAAAATTTGTAATTAGCGCGTTTGTTGGGTGTCCAGATGCTTGGGCCCCTGTGGAACGAAAATGAAGAAATGTGACCTAGGAACCCTAAGCTGGCTAAATATTTGTAAATTTATTAAATCCATTAGGTATTTAAAGACATACCTATTTAAATATAGATACGTAAATGCAACCAGTCTTTGTCTGGTCTTAGTTTTTGTTAGTTAGAACACAAGTAATATTAAGTGTTTTTGCTGCTTCATGCTGGATAAGCAGGTTTCCTTGTGTTATTTTGAAGTAGATTTTAAAACCTACCAGTGAAAATATTTATAATTTTATATTTCATAAGAAATCATTATAGTATTAACAGGACGCTTCAGTGTGCGAATTTCATCCCTGAGGTAGTAGTTTAGATCCCCGCCAGTGCACAAATGGACTAAACTCTGTCTATCTGGACAGAAAGACAGAAAGTCCATTCGCTGGACACTCGAGTACGGTTAAGGAAATCATCGTGAGGAAAACGGGATGACTTGGATCAAAAAACATCATCGTCGTGTGTCAGGCCTACTTGCCTATTAGAAAAAAACAGATACAGAAATCTAAGACCTAAAAGGTTGTAACTCCAATGTTTATAGGTAGTATTAAAAAAAATTGTAGTATATAATGAACAATAAATCTAGAATTTAAATAATCTTACCTATAGTGCTACCCCAAAATAGTGATATATTACCGAGTAAGGGTAATCTACCTGGATAGACCGGCAGATTACCCGGATACATCCGTAACCACAGATACACATACAAACAGAGTATCGCCGCTATAACCAGCAACCACATTTTTGAACCGCGCTTCCTAACGCGAAAGAAGGCACTGAAGAAAATAATGCACTATGATTATATATTTAAATAATAGAGATCCGTAATAATATTCTCCTAATTAATTAAAAGTAAATTATTTAACAAATAACGTGTGTTGTGGCAAATAAAACAGCACGGAATGTTGTTTTAACATTTTGTGATATTTTATCGAAGGACATATTCCATATTAAAACATTTTATAATTGCAATGAGAATGTTTGATTCTGAGATCTGACACGATTAATATTGATGTTTAAATTCATGCACTTAATTACTATTTTATAAGTGTAACACGTATTAATCATAGTTTTAATTGTTTTAACCAATCAGCGAATGATCCTGCCAAGTTAGTTTGTTTTTTAAAGGGCAAACAGGGTCATCTGATGAAATAAGCGAAAATGTATTGCGTCCTATACGCATGAGTGCGTCCTTGATATATTTCTACTACTATTGACTATTGACCTAGTATGAGGTCGATGGTATGAGGTTTCGGTACAAATCTTAGGTGAGGTGAGGTGGTATTAACCATGGAAGAGCTGTACTTTAATCTCAACGTAGTGGCTCCCAAGAGCCTAGTCTCGTCAGAACTTTATTTTATGTCAAGTTTATTATTTTTTAAATTTCCGTTCCTCGGATGAAAACGTAAAGTGGTTGGTCTTGCACCTACTATCGTGTTGATACTCGAGCTGTGTCGAGAAAGGTAGCATAATATATGGGTTATGGAAGAGTGCTCTTCACGACATATATTCGCTATGTAGTTCTTGCACACAAATGCCTGTAAACATTTTCAGACGGTAAAAAGTATCTCAGATAGAAATTGCACTTATTCAAATATTTTAAAGGACACGACGATATGAAGAGTACCCCTACCTATTATTGTAAATATGTGTCGCTAGAGTTAAGCGACAAACTCTGAGATATAGATATACTCAGTAACTAACAATTATATTTTAAACATTTTTATGTTTACATTATGCAGTCCGAAGTAAATGAGAAATAAAAAATTTAGTTTTTTATATTTTCCTAAGTTAAGATTAAAAAGCCATAAGTTTTATATCAAAGTTTACATAATTAAATCGTTTACTCACTCAAGTGTAATAATTTTTCAGGTTAAAGGTACTTATTCAACATGAACAATTCTATAACGAGCCATGGTTTTAAATATGATACATATTTGTTTTTGGACATATTTGGTTTTGCTTAACCAGTTTTAAAGAGGGTTCTTTCTTAACATTTATTATTGAACGGTATTTTTTTAGGAGTTAAACATCAAAATAATGAATAGATGGTTGACATTTTTTAGCTAAGGTAAAGATTTTCCCAAACATTATAACTTCCATTACCCACTACAACCCGCTGCGAATAAAAGAAATGTGACATCAATGTATAGGTTTATTTACCAGATTGTTTACACGTGTAAGTTCTGGAATACATTGAAGGTTAATGGTATACTTTAACCTACATGTTTTAATCATTGTTTTAGCAAACCACATTATCTACTAATATTTCCTTGTACCTACGATCCTCAAGGATATGTTACGATTAGTAATAAGTAGCTAGACTTACGGCATTTTTTGACTATATTAAATTATTTAAAATATATTTTTAATAATTTGGAGGCCTCTAACTTAGTAATTCTTTTCGAAGTGACAGAATTTATTGTTGTATTTACGGTTTTTTTAGAACATTAAAAATAAGTATAAATTGAGGTGGCTACGTAAAATATATATAAAAGTATGTAATGTATATTATAATGGCGGGAAATTATATGGAACAGATAAAGCCTTTGAGGGTATGCCAAATGTTAATCCCTACAGCACGCTGTATTTTATACTTAATTAACTTAAGTATTTACGCGAGACGTTCTAGTTTTTTTAAACTTTTTTTGTTAGTTTAGGTTTCAAGGTACAACCCAAGAACAAAGTTTAATAAAGTTAATTTAAAAAATAAGTTTTTTAATCGCTGTAACGTATGAAGAAGGAATAAAAATGAATAATACTTGAAGTGAGTCCATCGGCTGTTATATAAAGCACTCATTCACCTAACAAGGCGCCATCTATTAAGTCAATATAAATAATTTCAGTAAAATATTTAACCAACTTACCAACTGCACATTTATTTTTATAAAAACCAAAATTACGGAAAAAGTTTACGTACAGTTAAATACACTCTAGATTTAAGACGGCTTAACCGTGCTTAAGACGCGTGAAATGGCCCTTATGATATGATAATTAAGATAATTACTGACTATTGAGGTTAATTGGGAGTCAAAAATAAAACATCTTTATAATTTATAAAAAAAACTTTATTCTCTTATCTAGAAATTTGATCTAAATAAGTGAAAGGGCAGTTACTAATTAAATTAAATACATTGCTTTCATTAAATACTTAAATAGTCGAGCTGCGGAAACAATATTTAACATAATTGATTACGTTTTTATTTTTATTTTATGGAAAAATCAATATACATAGGTAATAAAAGTGTCGCAACTGTAGTATGACTTGAAATTTGGAGGTGAACGAGTAACAAGGAAGTTAACGTAGAAAAACATGATAAAAGGAAAAATATAAAATTATGGACTAGTTCTCAATAATCGAAGGACAATTAGTGTTTGAAATTAAGTGAATTAAAACCTTTTTAATTAAGTTATAATACAACTTTTAAATGCTAATTAACTGGGTATTAATACTTGAGTCAAACAATTTCTATAGGTAATTTTGATTTAAGTTTTTTAATAAATGAATAAGGGGCGGCAACGCACCATTGACAAAAAAACCATTTCATTCACATTTAACTGTAGAAATAATACAGTACGATTCTTCATCACATTTTTGCAATAAAAATAATTCATAATGCTGTTTGTATAATTTCAGAATATTTAATACTTTTTGTGTTTAATACAAATTTTACTATGTACATAAGTAATTAAAATGTGCTTACGTATTAATCCTAAGAAAATAAGTTAAAAATATGAATCGGAAATCGTAATTAAACATTTCGAGATACAGCTTTTATTTGTAAATAATTTTTAGGAGTCTATGAAAATGGTGTTACAACGTTCTCCTTGAACAATATCACATAACGTCGCTGTAGAATGATAACCTCGTATGTCCAGAGAACCAAACATTCACAACCACCAACAGAAAAAAAAAATTAATTTCATCAATGTTCGTTTAAATATTTTTTTATACAACACCTAACAACATCAGGAGGCTCATCTGATGTTAAGTAATACCGCCGCCCATGGACACTCAATGCCAGAAGGCTCGCGAGAGCGTTGCCGGGCTTTTAGGAATTGGTAATTATGTGGTTTTGTCCATAATTTTAGATGGTAAAAAGGACTTATTTATTAATAACATATATAAGTCCTTACTTCATGATTATACCAGCTTAAATGACATAACAGCCTAAGAATAAAAAATCTATGGTTTTTTGACATATAAGGTTATCATTCTAGTGATGTATCAACATTAATATTAACATCTTTACAATTTAACAGATATGAATCAAGATTAATTTTCTATTCATAAAGAGTGCATTTTAGTTTGAAATAAAGAAGAAAAGCTGAAGAATTATCAGGGGCCATTATAGTTTTGTCTATGTCGCAGCCAACTAGCTTAATAAGCCCTTCAATTAACTGTCTAGATTTTTACATAAACAGCAGTTTAACTAGCGGCCTGAAAGATATTCGGCCATAACGTGTTTAACAACATTTAATAAACTGGCTGCCTAATGCTTAGGCCTTCGGCCGTTCGTACAATAGAGTAACCACGTGCCAGAAATGAAAAAGATGAAGCATCTAACATTAAAAATATTTCTTTAAAAATTAAATTGCTTGAGTCATTCACAGCTAAGTTCACATTATTATTGTCACTACACTCTTCAATTGTATTTGTTATTTTTCATGAAACTTTGGAAAACCCCATCAAAGTTGTGGTTTGCCGACGCCTTATTAACAGTTTGAAGAGTTTCGTTTCGAGTTTGAGAGTGGCAGAAAGTGGAACTAAATTGGAATGTTAATTTAAACTCACTTAAAAGTCAACAGGCTAGGCAATAATGAAACGTCATCGATCCAAGTATGGCTGAATACCTTTCAGGCCGCTAGTTAAACGGCCTGTTTAGTTAAGGGGCTAGGCTGTTGATTGAACAACTAATTAAGCTAGTTGGCTGCGACATCTATGTACCAATTTTTAGTCTTCAACATTAGCTTACTGCATGATTTGAATATTGAACTCCCTGACATAAAAAGTTGGAATTTTGTATCTGTCTAAGGCATTTGGTTAAAAAGTCGAACCTAGATTGCATTAAAATCAGCTTAGTAAAAGTAATGAGATATATTCAATCGCATCTTTTTAATTTTTTATTTATTTATAACAAATTTATTGATTTTTGGGTTTGAATCTATTGAAGCCACTTTAGAACATTGCATCATCTGTTAAGTAGTTTCTCCAAAACCTAAATTTCTTTTTGAAAAATAATGAATCTCAATATTGCTTCACATTTCAGTCGATTGGAGCCAAGTAAAACAGCACATAACCAAGAAAAATACTAATTAATTAATATCACTAATCAGTCTTTGTTAGTTGGCAGCAGCCCCTGAGCTGTCAGAATTATCCTCAGCTTTCCTCTTACTGGCGTGTTTACTCTTCCGTGGCGGCCTATATTTCTCCCATTTCTTGTGGTTTAATGTATCAAAGTCATCACAAAAAGTGGCAATGTCCTTTAAATATGTAATTAAATGCAGTAATTCCTCGTCTTTGTCTCTGTTTAAATGCGCTTGTCTGAATGCGCGGATCTTGAGTCCGCTCTTTGGGTTCATAATAAAGTTTCTTCGTATATCATCCAACATTATTGTGTTTTTGGAGCTGTATTGTGGATATTTGCCCCAAATTACGCCAAGGGGTTTTACCTGGAAATGTGTAAGCTTGATATGTACTTTAAAATATATGAAATTTTTAGTATAAACTTTCTGAAACTTTCTCAAATATATGTTGAATGTCAGTTTTTTTATGGTACATACATATTTTGTTTTATTGGTATAGTTTATCAAATAAATGATGAACATGTTGCTCATGTTAGATTTCCTTTGAATTTTAACTTCTTGATCCCAGAAGAAAAGAAAAAGCAGAAAGAAGAAGAAGATAAATACAGTCTAGGTCTTATTTATACTATAAATAAAAAAATTATACCCTACATTTTCTCCCTCAACAATGTATTTCAGTCTTTTAGCATTTAATTGTAAAAGACATTGATGATGACAAAGATTTGATGACATTTCTGTACTTTTAAATGTAAATAAGTTTTATTTATACTCACGTCTATGGTTCCATATTTGGGAGTATGCACAGTTATCATAGCTAAGTAGTCCAGGTAGAACATGATCTTGTATTCCGGATGCACAGATACACCAAGTAGCTTCATTTTCTCCTCGATCCACTTCATTCCGGTGGCAGACCAGATGACAATATCATAGTCTTTGTAGGCTGATGTTAAAAATTCATGGAGGAATGGCCGCATTAGTTCAAAACCTGGAAAACAAAATGTAAAAGTTACAGGTAGATTTCTTAATAAGGGTAATGATTTTATATAATACTAGCTGGTGTCCGCAACACTTAGCAATCAAATGCAGCTTTATCGAATACCACCCCCCACGCATTTCATGTAAATATTAGTTGTTGCTGTTGAGACATTGTGTGATAATCATAGTACATCTTTTTCTACACTTCCAAAAAATACAGTACAGTAGTTATTATAATGTTTATACTTTAAAAATACAATACCTGCCTATTTCATTAAAATTATAGCTAAATAGTAATAAATAGGCAATAAACAATTCTAATTTGCTAGTTATAAAAGAAAATTGTGCTTCCGTAAATCTAGTATTATTCTTTTATTATAAATTTTACGTTCAGCCCTGACTATTTCGGCTATAATTGCTTAATAGATAAAAGAAAAAAATATATAGATATACTGTGGTAGGCTTTTTTGTAGGACTATTTAAGATAAACATTTCCATCATACATTACATATGTGTAACTCTAGTGGTTTTGGCAGCGCATGCCAGAATAACTTGCTGATGGTAGATATTTTCCTACTTACTTGATATTTTGGACAATTCACACAATATCTTTATAAATTGTTATGTATTAGTAGTTCATACATCAGAATGTTAAGCAATATTATTGCAAAGGTTATTTAAAATCCATTCAGTAGTTTTTATGTGAAAGAGTACCAATCATTCATCCATACTTACAAAATTACGTGTTTATAATATTAGTAGGATATTCTACATATATAACAACTACAATACTTTACTGTACTATACTATCCTTAGTGGAGTAATTTTCAATACAAACCAGTTTCAGCAACAGATCTGTGGTCAAACAATGTGTAGTCTATGTCCAATACTAACAGCTTTTTGTTGGGACGAGGCTCGTTTAGCACCTTTATTTTGTAGTCTTTTACTCTCTTGTTTATTTTTGCTAAGTATATCTGAAAATCATACAGATATTAAAAAATAAGATATCTTTGAACCATAATGAACAAGTACTAAGTTGTTTACTATCAATAACAATATAAATATAACAACAACATAAACTATAACACTTGTTTTAATGAAAAAGAAAAACAATTTTAGGTCTTATATGAGTTTTAAGTTAGGTTAAGTAAAAAGTTGTCTTCAGAGTATTGAGAAGATATACCTCCTGATTTTCTACATCAATTTCTTCTTCCTCAATATCCAAGTCATTGACCACTTCTTCACCAATGTCTGGTTTTGACATTGCACCCTCAATGGCTTCTTCTAACGACCCCATCATCATTATTTTAAGGTTTTGCTTAAGATTTAACTCCGACAAAGTATAATTGTCATTGGCTACCTTGCCTGAAACATCAAAATTAGAATTTCAACAAAGAATAATTTTATAAAGGAAAGCAGTGATGTTGGTGAATAAAAAATAAACACGCCGTGTAATGTGGAATAAGACTACGTGACCCATTGGTTATTAAAAACAACTACTTTGATAAAACAGTAGCTATGTTAAGACCGAAACATAAAATGTTGTGGTTTTTGAATGAACTCGTAGATCCATTTAGATTAAGTTACCTTGAAATTTAACATTCAAAAGCTTTTGCCTTTCCGGTCGTACTCCAGTGGCATTTTCGATGGCCACTTTCAACATCGCAACTGAATCAGATTGAGCTAGTTCTGGTAGTTCATATTCTTTTCCATTCCACTTAACACTCATCTTTATTGAATTATCAATATCACCCATTTTGCCATTTAATAACTAAATGTAATGTTGGGATGCAAGCTCTAATATAAAAACACTTCTGACGAGGTTGTCCGCTGTTGGGTTTTGTTTTTCTTTTGACAGATTCGCAACAGCTAATCTGAGCGACAATTGAAATATCAGTTAAGAATGTCAACTGTCAAAAGATTTTAATAATAATTTGCAAATTGATAATAATATGGTAGCTGGAGCCTGACTAGTGCCTACCCCTGCTGGTAGTGGCTTGGGGAAATACAATTAATAAATTAAGTCTAGTCGATTAGGTCTCCAAATATTTATAATTACGAGAGCAAAGGCAACAATTATTTTGTCATTAGACTTTTTTAAATGCAACGTGGCCAAGGTTTTGGTGGTGCTTTGGTCTATGGCCTTAATTTATCAAAAAATACTTTAAATTAATGAAAGCGATAATATGAAGACTAAAATTACAAATAAAATATTAATTAAAAAAAAATAAGTAAAAATTGAAAACACACTGAAAATTTTGTGCCAGTTTGTTCTATAACCTAGATAAAGAGATCATTAATAATCCTTCAATATTACACAAGTCCCTAATGGTGCTAACGCACACGGCAAAAGACCGACAACAGCCCGTAGTTCTAATAAACAATTAATTTACCTGTAGGTACTGATGTCTTCTTCGTACAAACTCAAGTCATTATTCTAAAAAAAAATACCTAAAACATCTTTAACTTAGGTATATATACTTAATATGCTAACAAGTTGACTCTGTAAACGTTATTCTGCCATATAATTTGTCCACTTTAAACGTAACCGCGATGTAAAATACGTCGTGAATGTAATGCATATTGTATATCTGAGAAACTAAGGTAGCAAATAAATATTATTACTATAAATTATATAAATTAGTACTTACTCCACATTTACAATTATATTTGTGTTTGTTTTGTCTAAGGAGAAAGGAAAGTGCTGCTCTCCTCCGACTTAAAAATAGGATACTCGACCAGTTTAATCACGGTCCCCAGGGAGGTCCTCCCTTAGCCGCTTGCTGCTGCATAGTGCTGCATAGTGGACAGTTGAAACTAAAGGTGCTAGCTGGCTGTGACATACTGGTGCTAATAGATGAAGGAAGGAGTGATGACATATCGTTCCTATCTTCAGAAGTAGGGTATTATTCTTTGAGTAACTAATGTGGAGGAAGAAAGGTGCTGTTCTTCCTGAAGGGACGATCCTCGACTAGTCTAACAGGTCGCTACAAATCTATCTTCAGATACAAATGTGGACAAAAAGACCAAAAATATGTTAAATATTATTATAATACAGAGGTTACCAATGTACAAATAAACATTCTTAAATGTTGAAATTTGTTATTCAACTAAACTTTTTATTAAACAAATCCAATCCAATAGCATTATCCAACACAAAAAACATCTTTTATTACAATAAATTTTTACTTGAAAGTAACAGGCGATCAAACTTTGTTATTACTGTTTATTCATTATAGGCGACGTCTTCATCCTTTACTTTATCTTCAATAGCGACTACTTCCTCTAAGTATACGTCTGGTTCAAAGTGCGGATTTAAAGATTTGCTTTTTATGATTTCTTTGTAAACAAATGCTGACTTCCTTGGAGTTCTTGATCGGTCAGGGCTCGAAAAGTCTACCTCATATAGTCCAAATTTTTCACTAAAATAAACAATGCACAATAACCTCAACTGCTTGATAAGTTATCAATTCGAATTTGCCTTTTTTAAGTAGGTTTAAAATAGATGATATTAAGTATTAAGAACTAGTAATATAAGTTGGTATCTATATAGTTGGTATATAACCAATATGCCTATAGCAGAAATTTATTACTTACGACCACTTTGATTATATTATATTGCATACAAGAGCTTATACATTGGATACCAGCGCCTATTCATTGAATACAAGCCTGTACATCGTATGCAAGTGCCCAAATATAGCTCTATATCACTATAGATTAATATATTTTGTTCTTGACAAAATATGAGCAATGAACAAACCTATAGCCAGCCATCCACTCAAAGTTATCTATCATACTCCAGACGCAGTAGCCACGCACATCGCAACCTGCCTCTAGAGCATCCAATAAAGCTGAGAGATAATTTCTCAAGTAACGAATTCTATCTTCATCTTGCAGACCTCCTGCTGTTGACCAACCATTTTCTGTTACGTAGATTCGTGGATTATCGTAAAGCCTATTCACTTCTAATAGTAATTTGTAAAATCCCCAGGGAACTTCCTGAAAATAACCAAAGTAATTTTAGATGCTAAGAACTTGCGAAAATTGGAAAACGAGTTTCCAAATAAATTGAGAAATAATAGACAGTAATTGCATCTTCCATATTTAAAAGATATACACAACAATCAAAAAGATATACAATAGGTATATTTGTGCTACATATTATATTCGTAGAAACAATAATTAAATTCAGTAATATTATTTCTACCAAAAATTATCAAAATCGTTTTAGTGGTTTAATAATGAACTGCGATAGCCTAACAAAGTCCCCTTATTTGCCGTATAGCTTTCTAATATTGCGTGAATAACTAATGCATATTTTAAGCGTAATTTTATTATTGATTATTATTTAAACCCACATTCATTTTCACAAATTATTAAAATATGCGTTTAACATGAAATCAGTAAAATGAAACTATTGAATTATTGTCTTCGTGTAGACAAAGATATGTACTACTTTCATACCCTATAATCTCTATTATATTCTACCAGCGTTTTCTGTCAGTTGTCTAATGTCTTTACTGATTACTCTTTAGTGAATAGACAATTGCTATATCATGAATCTGAATTGTAAATAAAATTTACATATTAATAATATTGTAATTGGAAAATCTAGCAAAAATAATAGTAATTTTTAAAATGTGATGTTTCTAAATTTGTAGTTGACACAAATTGAAATGTAAAAATAAATATCTGAAAATGGACATTGCAAGTTGCCCATAGCTATACAGGCCATGTTAATAATGTAATTATTCGTTGAACACATAAAAAATATTTTTTAAACATGTCGGATATCGAACAATTTGCAAGCACCGTCGTTATCCCTACTGAAATCCTTTTGAGTATTTTTCGATATCTTGCACCAAAGCACTTGGCTACATGTAGATTAATTTGTAATCGTTGGAAGCAGATAATTGACGATGTATCTCTCAGTGATAAGTTCTGGTTTCGATGCTGCAAATCTGAATTTCCCTCTATCTTTAATCAAGTTATGTATAAAGCAAAGGCGGGCACAACTTGGCAAAAAATTTATCGATCCTTATTTTTATGGTCTAAATTCCTAGATGCCTCTGAAACGGTCGATGAATTCGCATCAGCGTCAAATATTTCACAAGAAATACGCGATATTAAGGTTCTCAGAGATGGCTTGTTAGCTGTCCACACTCGAGATGGAATCAGTTATTATGACTTGGACACACTTAAGTTTTCCACTAAATGTAAGTCTATAATTGGTAGCTACACTAGCTATTCAGAAAATGACAGTTTTACTGTATACATTGATATTAGCAATTGTCTTATTGTTGTTCGCAAGCAAGGACATCCAGGCCAGGAATCTAGAATAATTATAAACAATGTACAAAAATTTCTATTGAATGATATTAGATTATTTTATGTAACACATGACAATGAAATACATATGTGTAACTTATGTACAAATGACCTACAGTCATTATTCTTAAAGAAGTTTGAGGAACAAGTGATGACTTTAGGTTATAGCAATACCCTTAATGTGTTAACATATGAAAGAGAAATTTATTCTTTAGTAGATGGTACCTTCAAATTACAATGCAATATAGAAATAGTTCCAAACATGCAACATATATTGTGGAAATACAATTTGCTGGAAAGAATGGACTGGAGGGTTTATATACAATGGATGTATATTTTGAATCATACAATTCAACAAGACGTCCTGTTGAAAGATATGTTAATTATATATCCATATGGTGATGTGTTTTTTGTTGGCACAACATGGGGTGTTTTCAGAATTTACTACAAACCATTTGTAGATGGTGAATTTGACTTGTACAACTCTGTACCAATTAAGCAATATAACTTTGCTGAGCGTTCAGATTGTCCTGTGTTAGCAATGAGTCCAATTTTCCAAATTGATGTGGTGGAAACTGAGGATGGGCATATTGTATTAGTGGCAATGCCAAAGAAGATAGCTGTTTTATATTATACACACGTGTTTAAGCAATCCCCAACCTGGCCTGTGTTGCCATTTATGGAAGTACAAGATGTCACAATAAAAAGCAACTGATATAGTAATAATTAAATATTCTTGTAATTTTATCACATTTCAATAAAACTAGGTACTAACTTTTTTAAACATAAGATCTTGTAAAGTTTTTGAATGTTTATATTAATTCTTTTTTTAATATAAACAAAATCCACTACAAGTCTAATTATTTTTTACCCTTTTATATCCTTGATATTAGAAAGAAGATCTATTTATTGTTTAAATGATAAGAAATTATTACCTAGGGGTTCTAACTTTAATTTCCATTGCACCTACCTGTAACCAAGAAGATTCAGCTTGAGGCCAAGTAGGGTCCTTGATAAATACAGTGCCCATGTCATCCATATAAGATGGGACTGCGTACATTCCGTCAACAGAGGCATCTCTATAGACTAACTTGCTTGAATAGGTGTTCAGTGCAAGAAAATCTGCTGATCCTCGTATGGTCATTACTTCAGCTGCTGTAAGCTCTGGGAGACGCGATCGTTTGAATCCTTGCTCAGCACTTTTTGCTGCAATGTTTCTCTTCATTTCAATAGGAAAATCTCCGTCTTTCGAATATATTGGATTTGTATATTGTCCCCACTGAAAAACCATTAAACGAAATATAATAAACAAAAAACAATAAGGAATAGTTCCTATATTTAGCTTAAAAAGTAGCCATCGTGGTAAAGAATCATTACTATTTTCCTTTTAATTTTTTCAATTACGAATTTTCGTAATTGAAAAAATGAATCTTAATTCTTATAATTTCTACTATGCTATATACTTATATATATTAATTAAAGAATGATCTGACATGTTAATAACATATTTTCTAATATCTTTCGGTAGTAGATAGTTTGTTTAATTCCAAGTCGATTGTTTTATCTTAGACCTAGGAGATGCAATTGTTATTTACCTAATCGTTATCTAAGAACGTCTTGAGATCATTTTATCGTTCTTGAGATTAAGTTTATCTCCACATTATCTATTATATTCAATCATTTTGGTACATCATACTTTTTTTGAAAGAATATATATTTATATAATATTTAATATTTTTTCAGTAACTAGGTTTAATTTATTGCTTTATTAAAACTACAATATGTTTACAATTTTTAATAATTTGTTTGTTGTTTGTTTACGGATTTTCAAAATGTATCCTAATATTATTATTGCGCTTCTTTTTTAAAAGAAAAATTCTATATTAATATATACCTACCTACCACTTATAATAATGTTAAAACCGCAACTATATCACAATATTAGTGTTTTGTTTATGGCACGTCCTAGGTATCTACCCACCCGAATCAATCACTGTTATGGCGGGAATCGAAGCCAGGACTTCCAGACTACGTACGTTAACCACTTAGCCACGGAGGCGTTCGAGAAAATAAATATGGCTTACGTCAAATTGTCTAGCATCCAACGCAGCTTGTTGGTCCTCCTCCGAATCTGAAGCTGGTTCAGCCCAGGTAAAGCTAATGGCGATGCCCACAGTGCCATTTTGCCGTTCCCTATAAACCTCATCATAGAGGCGATATGCGCTTGCGTGAGCCAGCAGTACATTCTTAGCGCACAAGTACTCCGCAACACCACTGATATTCACCATTGGTGCTTTTTTGTCTGAACCGTAACCTATTAAAGTTTACATATTTCATAATTATATGTATTACGAATCTAAAATAACCATTTATATTATAATGCTCAAATTAATTGCAAAGTTATCTTCCATATACTTGCACACATCCACACATACTGTACATGGCGTACTATAAATAAAATAGATGAACTTATGGATCAATGGGAACTGCCAACAATAAAACACTTAAGTAAGTAGTGCTTAAAAATTTTGTCGCGTTGCGCGTGCGAAGGGTGAATGGATAGTTTCTTATAATAAATATGTGCGTTTTCCAATTACCGCACTAGAGCGCATTTTGCGGCATAATGCTCAACGTTGAGTGTTCCAACTACAGCAACGCTTCGCACAATTGAGCACTCTCAAAACGAATGCTCTCGCAAACAATACCAACACAGTGACAGAAAATTGACCAGTATTTTTCTTTAAGTTGGCATTTATCGAAATTTTCGTTAGTAAATATTATTTATTGTTGAAAAATTTGTAAGGCTTTCGTTACGTCGTAGATTTTGAAAATAATTAAAGTTATTTCAAACTGCTAAAAAAATAAAAAAATCGGTTGTCGGTATAAAAGTCGGTTTTCTGACGATAGTTGAACATTGACAACGTAATACAAAAAAATATTGAATGGGATGGTAGCATTTCTTTCAAAAAAAAAAATTAAATTTTATTGGTTTGATAGGTATTTTTGAAATCATTAAAAATATTACTCAGGAGGTAAATGTGTAAACTTCACAATTGAACTAAATCAATTTACTATTTATTTAGCTTGTACGCATAAATACAATTATGTCAATTTTAAATTAACGCCTCAGTAAAAAGGCGAGTGTACACGCCTCAGAGAGGAGGTATACTGCCTCAGTAGCTGAGGTAACCGCCTCAGTTAGCGATGTAACGCCGCGATAAGGATGTCAACTGTTTTTCGTACCTGCTGGGCAATTTTGTGCACTTGCACGGCTCCATCGAATTATAAGACGTTGTCACTTGTCAATTTAAATATTAGTATGGATGAAGGTATAAATAGTTATTTTTTTATATTCCACATTTAAAATATGAATACAATTTTATTTTAAAATTCGGATCTGTAAACAAATTTACTTTACAGGATTATACTTTAAAAAAATTGCAATGGTTTTGAAAAAGTATATATTTTTTTAGAAATCATTAAAAAATATTACTCAAAACGTAAATGATGTAAACTTCTTACATGAAACTAAATATTTTACTGTTAATTTAGCTTGTTAAAACCTTATAGTCTTTAAAGGTTTTCTCTTATTTCAGTAAAAAAAATTTAATGAAATAATTTGATTATTAAATTAAGCGTAAAAAGTTTTCAACCAATTATTATTGTTTACCACATTATTTATACATTAATGAGGTTGCTAACTCTATTCAGACCATTTTTTTGTCAACACTGACTTAGCGCACTCTGCTGATGCATTTGAAAACTAATTCACGTTCCAATTAAGCTTCAGCATTATGCGGCATTGTGCGGCACTGAGTCGAAAAATGCTCTGTAATTGGAAAACGCACTATATCTGCCCTATTCCGTGGGGCGTTTCACTAGTAATAAGTATAGATTTTGAAATACCTTCGTAACAAATCTGTTTTGGTTCATTTATAGTCATCCAATATTTGACTCTATCTCCGAAATGCTCAAACAAAACATTAGCGTAATCCGTGAACCAATCTACTATCGCGGGATTCGCCCACCCTCCTAACTTTTGCAGCTCCTGTGGTAGGTCCCAATGATAAATCGTCAAAAACGGTACTATATTGTTCTTTAACATTTCATTAATCAAATTATTATAGTAGTTAATTCCTGCTTGATTGATATAATTTGAAAAGCCACCAGGTAGCACTCTAGGCCACGAAACGGAGAATCTATAGAAGTCTAAACCAATTTCATTCATTATTTCAACGTCACGCTTGTAGAGGTTGTACGAATCTGTTGCGATATCACCGGTGCTCTGGTCTCTAATGGGGGAAGGATCCATGTGGGTAGCAATATCCCATATTGAAAGACCCTTGCCTGGAATGATAGGATAGCGTGGTGTAGGTATATAAAGTTTTTGCTTTTATCGTCAAGATGGCGGCCCATGAGTGTTGGGAAGACTCGAACAGTAGCTTAGTGGCTTCCTTATGGAATATACTTCCTTAATGTGCTAATTCAAATTAAGGCCGAATAGATTAGATTTGTTATATATTTTTTGGGTGTTGATACAAAAAGAGATCCAAGAAAGAAAAGGTTCTTGTGAAAATGTGAAAGTGCCTAGTCTAGGTAGGTAGGTACTATTTACTGGCTTAGCGGACATTAATAATTTTGGGTGAAGAAGCCTATCAAATTTTGTAGAATTTAAATCATGGGCTATACAGAAATCTTTATACATATTACCATCATCAAAGGCGCCGCCCTCGATCTGATACGACGACGTAGAAGCACCAAATATAAATCCATCAGGGAAATATCTCACTTTACTCTTTGGTGAAACTCCATTTGTTCCGATACCAATATTTGCTATTACACTAAAACGAGTTTTTATTAAGTTAGAACGCTATTTTCCTACCCACTTCAGAGGATATTCCCCTTCTTGAATTGCATATTGTTCAAATTAGTTTGTGGTATGCGTAGATATTATGGATATTCTTAGACCAAGTTAAGCAGGTTGTATTAAAACTAATTGCATGGATTAGTTATTGCAATTATAGTTGCGTGTATCTTATATATGTCATTTACTTTTATAGTGAATTTAATAACGATGCGAAATTGAATCAAAATTAATGGAACTATTATTTAATAAAAGAAATTGCTTAAGATAAAAAAAACTAAAAAAGTTTTATTAGATTACGTTTTATAATTTAATTGATGAAATATAACTCAACTAAGGTCTTTATTATACACGTATCTTCAAAAATATAATGTTTGTATATATTATGTACTTACAAAATCAAATAATATAGTCGAAACATCACGGCGTCCGGATACACTGGAGACAAGATTATGAATATTATTTTCGCACGAAGATCGTACGATAACACTCTTAGAAGACCATTAGGTTATAAAAAGATAATGATATCAATCCGATTCACATTGAACTAATATAATTTAATGATTTATTGCTATTTAATTTTTGAGCTAGGTGTTTTATGTAACTGCGGCGTAAATTATGAAGAACACTGTTTTCAGTGAGATCATATTCAGTACAATCGTACTTTCCAAACAATAATTGTTTTCAGTTTTACACAATTCATATTATTCATTTTTACGTCATAACCATCTGTTTTTTCATATTGTCTGTCCATCTCGGGGTTTTTGTAAAGCTATATGAATATTTTCGATTGTAATATTTTGTCTGTTAATTTTATATGCTTACTTAAAATAAATTACTTCTTAGACCTAAAAAAATTGGTCGACGTCGGATGAGGTGCAAACAACCCAGGTGCAGTAGGCTTACCAGTAGTATGGATTCCCGGGGACTGCCTCACCCGCTGCCTCAGTCTAAAAAAAGCTGTTTCAGAGGCAGCGGCCGAAAAAAAAAAAAAAACACTTTGTACTCTATCCCCACTAAACAGGCCGTGCGGAGTCGATAGCACTCCCGAAGCGATATTTCTCTCTGTTTCGAAGTTAGGTTTTTCTATACGTTGCTGATTAATCTATTTGCTAATCACCTGTGTAATGTCTTGCCCAATACGTTACCCTCATTTACTAATTACCGAGTCAGTTTCGTACCTATCATTAGCTAATTATCATCTGCATTTACCTGCATTGCACCAGGAATGGACGGGAAAAGGATTTGATTGAAAATTAAAAATATGATTACCATGTTTTATGTGTTTATTTGCATTACGTTACATTACAATTTTACTAGTGCCATGTCATTTCTTGGCGAGTCATACGAAAAGTTTCTGAGGTAATCTTCCAAACTGAAACCCCAAAACTTGTAGTACAAATATACCACACAATACTCCCCACATAACGCAGAATAGATATCCTGAACGCTAGCTGTATTATAGCTCCACACCCGACAATTTCTTCTTAAACAATCCGTTATTACTCTAATCGGTTTACGGCCAAAGGAATCAAAATATTCTCCAACTTTTTCGTGGTTGATATGAATAGCTACCCAATGAGAGCCTGGTTGTGAGTCAGGGTCGAGATTGCATATAATAAATGCGGGTAAGTGTATGTGCATTGGTAGGCGATTCGAGGGGTACACGCTATACTGGATGCTGGGATGTATTCTATGGAGACTCATTTGCAGGTTTTATGTATATATTTTTACTCCAACGCGTTTGACCTTCTACTCTTATATATTGCACTAAATACAATTCCAATTCCTATCAATCATCCACCTCAACTAACATCACGTTGTATTGTCATCCCAATATATGTAATATCTTATATGCATTTATTTAGAAAAGTAGGGAAAGTATAAATGAGAAACCATTTGTTATTTATTATATTTCATTCTGTTTATTATTCTCAATTTAATTATAAGTACATAAAAGTCATTTCTTAACTACTATAATCCACACATACATTTCTGTTCTTATCTATTTCTATAATATTTGAAAACTCTGCATAAACTACACAGTTAATTGTTTCAGTCAATGCGGTCTCGAATCTTACTTCCATTCTCACACTACCATGACGAATGAGATTCCAATGAATATTAGAGTTAGCTGATAAGTCGGGGGTTAAATCAAAGGCTAGTAAACAATATCCATCTGAGTATTGTTCCCTCGATATCCCATTACCTTCGTTAAGAAAATGTATACCGGTGCCTGAGTACAGTGTGTGGTATGCGCTGGCAAATACATCGTTTGGGAATGATGGTTGTAATGATGTTTAATTGAGATTTAATTTGTTTTTAATGATAACATTAGAATGATAATGAATTTATAATTGTTTTGTAAATTCTTGAGGTAACAATCGATTAACGTTTAATTTCTTATATAAATATTCTAAAGAAAAATATAGTATTGTGGTACGAATCCATCCACAGGTCAACGTGAAGAAATTTATTTGTATAATCAAAAATGGAGGTGAGTTATTTATATATATATATATATATATATATATATATATATATATGTATATTTTAATTTGGTCTCAGTAAATTTTTTAATAATTCTTATTTATTTTTAAAACACATTTTGATTTGGCCCTATAATTATTACGTTTTATCTGATGAAGAAGAGGTTTCAAACATACATACAGTAAATAAAAATAAGGGGACCGGTCGTTTAGATGACTTTTGACAGGCTCTTCAAGAGCCTGATCGGAAGAAGAAAAAAACTAAACTTTCTTCAACTGTTGGTCGTGCAGGAAAGGAGGGAAGCATTTCATATATATCAACAGATAAAGATGATGGAATGGACGCTGATATACTTGTGAAAATTGAATTATATAGTTTAAAAAAGTTGAAAGAAATCCCGACCTCACAACATTGGAAAAATACAGATATTCGTGTTAAATATTACATGAAAAACGATTCCAACATTGATCTTCAGATAAAGGATATTGTATATAACATAACAAAAAAGATATCCGAGGAAGATAGTGTAAAACATTACAGTTTTAAAAATTAGATTTACCTTTAGCTTCTTAATCCGATGACTTAATTAGTAATTAATTAACTAACTACCGGATTCCAATACCATATGTTTATATAATTAAGTAATGTTTCAGTTATCCACTAGTATAAATACTATGTTGCATTGTACAAAGACAATCATTGTGCTTTTTGTTGAAGACCTTTACGCATTAACGTAAAAAGTGTGTGATAAAAATATAGTTGTGAAACGAATACATATATTATATATACAATGTCTCAAGAATGTGTTAGTGTTTTTTTTTGATGAAATGGATAATGAATTTGAAAGCTTACCCATTGATACAAATGAACTTTTCAATATTTGTGATGAAATAGAAAAAAATGATTTAAATAACTCATTTTATGATCAAAAAATGATGGTGCTATGTGATGAATTCGAGGGGAAACTGTGAGTATATTAAATAATCATATTATTTATTTATCTATTTTTGTTTTGTTATGAGTTCTCTTTTCGCATTTCTAACAGTTAAATAATATAAAATTTTATTCGATAGGGTTGATCAAATGGGTCGCTGAACCAAAAGGAAAGCAGATGTTGATATTAACTCAGCTGACATCAAAAAAATCAAATCTGGATCAAACATGGAACTGTCACGGTCTCAAGAGCCATCGACATCGAATATAGGTAATAATTCGAATATGAAATTTTGCTGTATATGTAATACAAATGTTTCCAATAAATATTTCGCAAGTCATCTAAGGAGCAATGCACACAAAAATAATGTAGATAAAATACAGCATTCAATAAAACCCAATGTAAAGATAATTGAGACTGCGTTCGGTAATAGAATAATAACCTATAGAGTAACTTCAGAAAATCAAAATGATTTACAGTTTGAGACACCAGATTTATTTCTTGCGTCAGTTAAAGATACAATATTTACAATAATAAATAAATCTATAGAAGATCACACAATGTTAAAAATAAATTTCATTTTATACGGTGATTTTGTTCAGGAGACAAAAAACATAAACAGCACTTTTGATTTCCAATCAATGAATTTTATTGTTTGTATTGGTGATGATTTAAATATATTTTATACAACTCTCACGAAATCTTTAATTAACTATATAAATTCATTTGAGAGAAAGGATAGTGGGTGGAGTCTGAAAAATTTTTTACATTTGGATATGAATTTGAATCAATTTAACCCTTTAAGAGGAAAATCCTTTATTGAGTTACCACATGATATAAAAACAAAAAAAGCTGTGATAAATGTCAAAAACACTGATGACGCCTGTTTTAAGTGGGCACTGTTATCTGCTTTATTTCCAATTCATAAAAATTCGTATAGAGTATCATCATACACCAAATACAATCATAAATTAAAGTTCGGTAATATAAAATTTCCAGTTAAATTAAACGATATACATACAATAATATTAGCATTAATGTTTTTGGATTAGAATATAATGAACAAAGAAAAAAACATTGTATTGTCGGGCCTTTGTATTTTACAAAGAATAAAATGCAGACACATATAAATTTACTATATTTGACACAGGGTAAAATCGGTCATTATTGTTATATAAAAAATATGTCACGATTAATAAGTAGTCAAATTTCAAAATCCATGGAAGCCATATAATATCTATGTGACTTTTGTTTACAATATTTTTCAACACCTGAACGTTTAAATAACCATCAAAAAAATGATTGCAGACATATTTGTACACAAATACCAAGCGTAGATAAAAATAAAAAAAATTGGTGGGGCGATATTGTATCCGAAAGTAAATTAAGTTTTGATAAATTTCAACGTAAATTGATGTTACCTTTTGTTATATATATGCGGATTTTGAGGCTTTTTTAAGTCCTTTAGCATCATGTTCAAACGATCCTTCAAAATCACATACCATAAATGTACAAAAACATAATGTATATAGTTTTGGATACTACATTAAATGCTCATACAATGATAAATTGTCTAAATATGTAACATATACTGGAGAAAATTGTGCTTTAAAATTTATGGAATCACTGAAAGATAATTTGACAACAATTGTTAAAAAAATTGGTTTCCAAAAAGTGGCTGATAAATTATCACCAATACAGCAAGATATAGTTAGCAAATCTAATCATTGTTATATTTGTGATAAAATTTTGTGTGGGGATTCAATGATTTACCACGATTGGTTTACTGGGGAATTTGTTGGGGTCATACATAAACTTTGTTCAGAAAAATTTAGAGTACCTTACACTATACCAGTCTTCTTGCACAATTTAAGTCATTATGATGCACATTTTATCGTACATGCCTTAAACTTTGATGAAGGTCAGGTAGAAGTTCTCCCGCAAAATAAAGAAAAATACATATCATTTTCAAAGGTACTTAAAATCAATAACAGTAATGTAACTTTACGTTTTGTGGATTCCCTAAAATTTTTCCCCAGTAGCTTAGATACTTTAGCAAAAAATTTAAACAAGGATAATTTCAAAGAATTATCAAAATGCTTTCCCAATTCAGAAGACTTTAAACGGCTTACTAAAAAAGGTGTATTTCCATATGAATTCATTAAAGATTTTGATGCATTAAACTACAATCAACTTCCAGATCTTCCACACTTTTACAGTAACCCCCACTATGGGCTAAAGTACTAATTGATTTTATTCACAATTTAATATTTTTGTAAAACGTCCATTTTAAAGTAGACAATTATTACTTTTTTTATAAATACTTATTTATAAATTTTTACTACTTTAGAAAGTTTTGCGCTTTTAGTTTTTCATAAAAAATATTTCACTTATTTCCACCAAATTAAGGTTCATCCTAATATAAAGATAAAACTAAGTCTTTTGGTATATTTGGTTAAAGCTAATCTTTAATTAACTTTTTTACATATTACATTAACCTCATTTTTCAATGGGTAATTCAACTATTTTTCATTCAATACCCCATTTATTTGTATGAAAAAATCAAATACTAGTGAGTTCCTTATATTTCAACAAAGTCACTTTATTTCATAAAATATTTACCTTTATCTTACTATTTTTAAATGTTTATTTACTCACCCCTTTTTTTATTCTTGTCAAATTTATAATTCAATTTCACCCTCTGTCAACCATTAATCTGAAATTTTGTATACACTTTATTTTGTGACAATACAATAAACTAAATAAATAAATAAATAAATATTATATAATATATAACATTATATTAAAACTGTATCTATTTTATTAATTAAATATATATTATATTTATATTATAAATTGATTTATTTATATAAACTAACGGCAAGAACCTATAATGAAGCACTAAATAATTAAACAATGCGAAATAAAACAAAAACAAAATAAAAATAGGTAAAACTTTTAAGTTAAACGGTTTTATGTTAAACATACATTGCAATGTTTAAGATAAATGTACTAAAAACCAAAAATAATAAAATAGATACATCTGGGAATTATAAACATATGCATAGATAGACTAAAATAAAACCGGGCTTCATTCTGTTAAACGATTCCCCCTTATGTCCAACATAAACTAGTTGAAACATCTCTTTTATTTACATGGAGGTATAACTATTGAATTTCCATAGAAGAAAATAGTAAGTAATTTCTGACCGTCTCGCCCCCTTTTAACACGATAACGATCTTCTATCGCCATTAAGTGATAATTTGTAGACATTGAGGCCCCTTTTTTTAGTCTAGTCTTTATGTTATAATTACTGTATCTTTTTATTATTTTTGGTTTTAGTACATTTATCTTAAACATTGCAATGTATGTTTAACATAAAACCGTTTAACTAAAAAGTTTTTACCTATTTTTATTTTAAACTTATATATTGTTTTTGTTAATAATTTAATTGAATTTATTTACATAGAAAACTTATAATACGTGTATGAAAGGAGTAGGCTCCAAATACATTCAAACTATAAAACTATGAAAGCCTTTACATAAAGTTACGATTTTGTTAATCCGAAGAGACAGAACGATACTTACGCACAATCAAAAGGATCAATATTCTATAATATTACTCACATAATTGGCATTATTAAATCATATTATTAAGCACTAACATTAGCAAAAATGATGTAATCCAAAAATAATTTAAGCGTTGTACTTCTGTATCTATTATACTTACTGTCTTTTATTTGATTATAAAATGTAAACCTTTCTATAAATTTATTTTAATATCGTTTAATTCTTTTAAATCAATAATATTTTTCGGCCTTATTTTTTAGAAATTATCGATAAATTTAACTTGCAATAAGAGCGCACGCCAAATAATTAATTTTCTAATACTCCCAATTTCAAACCTAGAAACTATATATACCTTTCAATAGTTACGATACAGGTCTTAATGAAGTGATTAGCCAGGGGAAATTAACTTTAGTGCTCTATTAACAAATTAAATTATTCAATAACTAAGCCTATTTTTCAGTACTTATGTCGGAACTATTCAATGAAAGGAAAGTGATAAAAACAAGGTAGCTGGAGGGAAAAGTACATTTTAAATTTTTAGTTGCTTTTACTCTTACAGATTCCATTATTTCTAATGAAGATTACAACCATGCTAAACATGTTTGGAATCATTTAAATTGTAAAAATATGTTGGATTATTCAAATCTTTAATTAAAAACGGATGTTTTACTGTTAGCAGATATTTTTGAAAATTTTAGGTGTGTTTGCATTCAAACGTACGATTTAGATCCGGCTCATTACTATACAGCACCTGGATTAAGTTGGGATGCTATGTTAAAACATACTAAAACAGAAATTGAATTACTTTCTGATATAGATATGATTGCTTTTATTAAATCAGGAATTCGTGGTGGTGTTTCGCAATGTAGCACTCGTTATGCAAAAGCAAATAATGTTTACATGTCTGACTATAATGTGAAAGATAAAGAGTAATTCTTAATGTATTTCGATGCCAATAATCTTTATGGTTGGGCAATGTCGCAATATCTACCTACAGGTGGTTTTGAGTGGGTTAGTGCTGATACAGATTTTAATGTTAGTTGTTCATCAGATATAGGTTTTATCTTAGAAGTATATCTGGGGTATCCGGTGGATTTACATAATAAACATTCAGATTTACCTCTTTGTCCAGAAAACATACCAGTTAGGGACGCTAAGGAAATTAGATTGATTCCAAACTTAAGAAATAAATCCAAATATATTATTCATTATCGAAATTTAATGTTTGAAAATGGGTTTAAAATTATTAAAAGTTTATAGAATATTAAAATTTAAGCAGAGTCCATGGTTAAAGAAATATGTATATAGACCTTAATACACAATTAAGAACTCGAGCTAATTCTGATTTTGAGAAGGATTTCTATAAACTTATGAGCAACGCTGTTTTTGGTAAGACTATGGAAAATATTGAGAAACGAGTTAACGTTAAACTGTTAACCCACTGGGAAAATAGGGGCAAAATATTGGGAGCTGGGGATCTAATTGCTCAACCACATTTTCACAGTGTTTCAATATTTTCTGAAAGTCTTGTTGCAATTCAATTAAACAAAATGAAATTAATTTATAATAAACCTATTTATCTCGGATTTTGTATATTAGATATATCTAAAACGCTGATGTATGATTTCCACTATAATTACATGAAAGGGAAATTTACTTCAAATCTGAAACTACTGTACACAGATACCGACAGTCTCATTTATCAAATATTTACTAGTAACTTTTATAATGATATAAAACCAGACATTTGTACACATTTCGATACATCAGATTATGATGCAAACAATGTTTTTAATTTTCCTCAAGTAAATAAGAAACAATTGGGTTATTTCAAAGATGAAAATTGTGGTAAAATCTTTGCAGAATTTGTGGGTTTGCGATCAAAAATGTATGCATTACAGGTAGATGATAAAATTATTACTAAGGCGAAGGGTGTTAACAAATGTGTCACTAAAAAATTAACGTTAGATAATTATAAGTCATGTTTATTTAATGAAAATGTTCAATTTAGTAAAATGTATCGATTTAAATCATTAAAACATACAATTTTCACACAAGAAATAAATAAAACATGTTTATCTTTTAATGATACCAAGCGATACATTCTACCAAATAATATAGATACGCTACCACTGGGTCATTATAAACTAGTTAACAATTCCAACTTTAAAATGTGAACTAGATTATTAATAATATGTTAATGAAATTTAATTGTAAATAACTACTCATTATTATTTATTGATAATGTGTTTTGTAATTGTAAGATAATGTTTTCTTATTATTATTTTTTATTTAGATATTACCTTATTTATATTTTACTGTAACTTTAATGTATAAATAAAATCTTTTAAGACAAAAATATTCAGTTTTATTGAGACACCCAAAGGAGAAAGAAGTATAAAAAAATGATTCATTTTATTCATCCATTTGCTGCCATCATAGCAGGTCCAACAGGATGTGGAAAATCAAACTTTGTTGCACAATTCATAAACCACAGGGGTAGTGCATGTAATGATTTTTTTTCTGAAATTACATGGTGTTATGATGAAATGCAGCCACTTTATAATATACCTGGAGTAAATTATCATCAAGGGCTACCTGATTTGCATATGTTTGATGGTAAAAATCCTCATTTGATAATAATAGATGATTTAATGAGGGAATCCGACGGTAGAGTTGTTGATATATTTACAAAAGGAAGTCACCATAGAAATTTAAGTGTTTTTTATATAACACAAAACTTGTTTCATCAAGGAAGAGGACAACGTGACATTTCCCTTAATTCAAGTTACATAATTTATTTTAAAAATCCCCGTGATAAAACACAAATTAAATTCCTAGCGAGACAGGTTTCACCTGAGAACACTAAATTTATTGAGGAATCATATGCAGATGCTACAAAAGTTGCTCACGGATATTTGATGATTGATTTAAAACAAAATACAGATGATACACATCGGATAAAATCTTAAATATCTTTGTAATCAACGATTTTGAGTCAGTTTTAAACTATGTATCAACGAGTAACAACACATAAAGAATTATTATCAGCTCTACACACATTAAAACCAAGACATCGGAAGGTATTACTGAAAACCTGCAATAATCAAGAAATAAACTGTCTTTGTGAGTGTATTCATAACGTTTTGAAAGGAAAAGTACCATTGAAAGGAACGGAGAAATCTAAACTTAAAAACCTAAAAAATACCTTACGTAAGCTAGTAAGCAGAGGAAAAAGTGTTGAATATAGAAAAAATATATTAATTCAAAAAGGAGGTTCCTTTCTACCAATAATATTAGGTACTGTTCTAAGTAGTCTTATAAGTTGTTTTACTAATAAGCCACTATGAATACTAAAAAAATGCCGATTATTGAACACGATTTTATTGATAAAATGACACATCAACAAAATGAAAATAAAGCAACACCGCGAAGTCGATTAGACTTAGAAATGGAAAAAATTATGTCAAGCAAATTATTAGATCGTGAGAAATGGGCCCTTTACCAACAAATTTTACAAAGATACCTACATTTTTTTATGGAAGAACGTCAACCTCAAGAAATAACAATTACTGAAAAAACAGTAAATGACAAAACTTACGATGATGGTAAAAGGAATTTAACTGTTTATGAAAATGAAAATGAAAAATGGTTAAGTGGTGAACTACCGCCGTCGGGTAAAGACGTCTCCTTGCAATTGACAACAAAGGACATATTAAATTTGATTCCGAAAACTTATATAAAGAAAGGAGAATTATTGATGGAATCCATTCAAAAACATAGTGAAAAATTAAATTGGAATAAAAATGGTACAGTGGTAGTTAGTGGAAAAGAAATTCCTGGAAGTAATATTATTGATTTAGTAAATGATGCATTAAAACCATCAAAGAAAGCAGATCCCATCGGGTGGGAATCATTTTCAAAATTTTTAAATGATATAAATATACCACTGACATACATTGGTAATCTTATCTTATCTTAAATATATCGGTAATCTTAATAAACAACACAAACTACCAATCCAAGAATCAAGCATCGATTATTCTTCTCCGACTCAATAAATTCACAACAGTAAAATAAAAAACAAAATTGATTGGGATAAATGGACCCCATATTAAAACTACATCAAATATATTATGATATTTCTCATCCTGCTGGTTACGGTAGTGTGAATACATTAACAAAAGCGATGAATGGAAAACTTTCTAAAACGGATGTAGAGACGTGGTTGCAGTCTCAAGAAACATATACGTTACATAAGCCAGTTCGAAAAAGATTTCAGCGAAATAAGTACATTTTATCAAATTTTAATGAGTTGTGGCAAGCTGACTTGAGTGATTTAAGAACTTACGGACAGGATAATGATGGATTTAAGTATATTTTATGTGTGATTGATGTTTTTAGTAAATATGCATAGGTATGTTAGAGCAATAAAAAAGAAAGATTCTCTCACAATAAAACACTGTTTTACTAGCATTTTTGATGAAGCTAAAACTGTTCCTAGACATATACAATCAGATAAAGGTACAGAATTTGTATCTAAAGATGTCCAAAGTTATTTAAAAAATAAAAATATAAATTATTATACTACAAATAATCCAGATATTAAAGCAATTATAGTAGAAAGATTTCAGAGAACTTTAAAAATGAAAATGTGGCGTTATTTTACATATAAAAATACACATCGCTATATAGATATCTTACAAGATTTAGTTAGTTCATATAATCACAGTGTGCATTCTAGTATAAAAATCAGACCATGTGATGTTAATATCGAAAACATTATGCAAGTTTGGAGGAATCTATATTTTGATGGAAAATCTTTTAACTCAAATTTGAAAAAGTTACCCAAGTTTAAAGTCGGTGACCATGTTAGAATTACTAAACATAAACATACATTTCAAAAAGGTTATGAAAGTAATTGGAGTGATGAAATATTTATTATAACTTCAGTTATAGATCGCTCACCATGTGTTGTATACACTTTAATGGATTTGGAAAATGAATCTATAACAGGCACATTTTATGAGAAAGAATTACAAAAAGTGACATTTTCCCCCACTTCTGATTATAAAAATGATAAAATCTTAAGGTATCGTAACTCTGGACTCAGAAAAGAAGCATTAGTCAAGTGGAAAGGGTACCCAAACAAATTTAATTCTTGGGTGTTATTATCTGCTATTAAAACGTTACAATGAAGGAAAGTTTTTATTTAACTTTACTCAGCAATAGTTCCACATAATATTTTCCAGGAAATATGACATCAAATTTTTCTACAAAACTACCTAAATCCATTTTTTCCACATTAGAAGGAGAATGGATGGTAGGTATAGTTGAGTTTCAATATCCCTCTACTATGTTCTCCGTGCAAGAGCATGAAAATATTATGTACATCAGTAAAAAAACTACCATCAATAACGAAGAAACCACACTAATGTATAAGAACCATATACCAGCCACCAACTATGATAATATACAAAATATTATAATAGCTTTAAATTCGAAAGAGAAAGTTAGTTTTGTTTCTGTTGCAGTAAAGGATCCATCAATAATATTTAACCAATTGGATGTTTACCTAAACCAAAAACTTGTGTCACCCCCAAATAATACTTATGCATATCGTGCTTTCATAGAAACTCTATTAAATTATTCATCATCCGCCAAAAAATCACATTTGACATGTGGTTTGTGGTACGAAGATACAGCTGGTAAAATGAATGAAACTAATGAGGCAAATAAGGGTTTTTACAAAAGGCAACAACTTTCAAAGGATGGTAAGGACGTTGAAATGATTGGACATTTACATGGGGATATATTCAATCAAGATAAATTCCTCATTAACGGGGTCGAATTATCTATGAAATTAGTTAGATCGAGGGAAACATTTAACCTTATGTCACAGAATGCAGATAATAAGTACAAAGTTTGTATAACAGAGGCAAATTTAATAATACGCAGAGCAAAAATTAATCCGTCAATACTAATAGCTCATCAAAAGGTTCTTGCTACTACTACAGCTAAATATCCTATAACAAGAGGTGAAGTGAAAGTCCTGACCATACCATCTGGTGTGCAGGGTAAAACACTGGACAATATATTTTTAGGACAGGTTCCTAAGATATGTATTATAGGTTTTGTTAATAATACAGCCTTCAATGGTAGTTACAATAAAAACCCATTCAACTTTGAAAACTTCGGTATTTGCTCTTTTAGTTTATATATAGACGGTCAACAAATACCATCAAAATCATTCCCAAACGATGTATTTGCCAGCGCATACCACACACTGTACTCAGGCACCGGTATACATTTTCTTAACGAAGGTAATGGGATATCGAGGGAACAATACTCAGATGGATATTGTTAGTAGCCTATGATTTAACCCCCGACTTATCAGCTAACTCTAATATTCATTGGAATCTCATTCGTCATGGTAGTGTGAGAATGGAAGTAAGATTCGAGACCGCATTGACTGAAACAATTGACTGTGTAGTTTATGCAGAGTTTTCAAATATTATAGAAATAGATAAGAACAGAAATGTATGTGTGGATTATAGTAGTTAAGAAATGACTTTTATGTACTTATAATTAAATTGAGAATAATAAACAGAATGAAATATAATAAATAACAAATGGTTTCTCATTTATACTTTCCCTACTTTTCTAAATAAATGCATATAAGATATTACATATATTGGGATGACAATACAACGTGATGTTAGTTGAGGTGGATGATTGATAGGAATTGGAATTGTATTTAGTGCAATATATAAGAGTAGAAGGTCAAACGCGTTGGAGTAAAAATATATACATAAAACCTGCAAATGAGTCTCCATAGAATACATCCCAGCATCCAGTATAGCGTGTACCCCTCGAATCGCCTACCAATGCACATACACTTACCCGCATTTATTATATGCAATCTCGACCCTGACTCACAACCAGGCTCTCATTGGGTAGCTATTCATATCAACCACGAAAAAGTTGGAGAATATTTTGATTCCTTTGGCCGTAAACCGATTAGAGTAATAACGGATTGTTTAAGAAGAAATTGTCGGGTGTGGAGCTATAATACAGCTAGCGTTCAGGATATCTATTCTGCGTTATGTGGGGAGTATTGTGTGGTATATTTGTACTACAAGTTTTGGGGTTTCAGTTTAGAAGATTACCTCAGAAACTTTTCGTATGACTCCCCAAGAAATGACATGGCACTAGTAAAATTGTAATGTAACGTAATGCAAATAAACACAAAACATGGTAATCATATTTTTAATTTTCAATCAAATCCTTTTCCCGTCCATTTCTGGTGCAATGCAGGTAAATGCAGATGATAATTAGCTAATGATAGGTACGAAACTGACTCGGTAATTAGTAAATGAGGGTAACGTATTGGGCAAGACATTACACAGGTGATTAGTAAATAGATTAATCAGCAACGTATAGAAAAACCTAACTTCGAAACAGAGAGAAATATCGCTTCGGGAGTAAGTGCTATCGACTCCGCACGGCCTGTTTAGTGGGGATAGAGTACAAACTGTTTTTTTTTTTTTTTTTAGGCGGCCGCTGCCTCTGAAACAGCTTTTTTTAGACTGAGGCAGCGGGTGAGGCAGTCCCCGGGAATCCATACTACTCTTACCACGTAACTTCAATAGCGATTCCGATTCCAAAAGAGGTTTAGGATGTACGTAGTCGGTCCCAAAGTTCTGTCATAAATGGAAATAATGATAAAAACAAAAGTACTGATCAGTTTGTAATGAGTGATATATCAATTCTTAGTAAATTAATTAAGGAATAAAAAAAAGCATATATTCTAAAAATATTCAAATAACCTCCCTCATTTTTAATACAGGCCCTTAAGCGTCGCGGCCAGTCGTCTATCGCACACGCACCATATTCGTGTCGATTTCAGTCACTGGTTTTTTTAAAGATGACTTCAGATTCTCCAAATTTTCATGAGGTTTATCACAGACCTTCCTCTCTAAGCCCTGTCATAATTTCTGGTCCAAAGGATTAAGGTCCGGACTGGAGGAAGGCCAATCCTCATGTCTAATTAAGACGATGTTTTGACGCTCAAACCAGGCTTTAGTGGTCTTGGCTTTGTATGCAGACGCAGAGTCCTGCTGGAACACGAAGTGATGTCCCGCAAATAGGGTGCTGGACATGTCTTTGACAAGGCGATACAAAACCGTCTCTTGGTACACTTAGCACTGGTTTTGACCCCCTTTTCGAAAAAAATTAACTCAGTTAGCCCGTAATAGGACACTCCCAACAAACCATTACGTGGCATGATATCCATGTTGCACCCTTGGAACTTTATTTTCAGCTTCTTCAGAACTCCTAGCTACACTTATAATTCTGTTTATTGTACTTCTCTTCAATATCGAAAAAATTTTCGTCCGTAAAGAGGATATCACGGTGTCGGTTTTCGCGTACCCTTAAACAACACCCGCGATCTCTTAAGCCTTATTGCTTTTAGACGAGCATTAAGTAAGTGCCCCTCTTTTTGTATGCTCGTAGACCAAGATCTTCATTTAAAACCTTTTTTACTGTTTTCCTACTGACCCCATCTGCAAATCCATCAACTTCTGTTTTCGGACAGGCTTTCTTACTATCCGCGCCTTGATAGCTTTGATTACTGCTGGTGTTCTTGCGGAGCTGGCAGCCAGTTCTTTTCTTGTCCTCAACACTGGAGACTTCAAGGTACCTATCAATAGTACCGTACACAAACCTAGCGTTATATTAAAATTTTTGAGCAACTTGAAAATGGTACTCGGCGAGTGTCCACAGCGGTGCACGCATACAACTATTCGGTTTACTTTCAATGTCCATTCCATCGTGAAAAATTACGGAAAGTTATTGTTTTTGTTTTAAAACAATAATCAAACATTCATAGAATGCAATAATTTTTTTATAAAATCCTGCTCGAATGTAGAAATAATGTGCTAGTGACGAACTTTGGGACCAACTACGTATTTATCAAGTTTGCTTGATGTAGCAAACTTGATAAATTCGCCACAAAAAATTAAAAAATTACATCAGGCCTTTCGCCGTTGTTGACGGTATTAGGTTTTATTTTTAGTGCAGTGGCCTAGCGGCTTCAGCGTGCGACTCTCATCCCTGAGATCGATCCCCGGCTGTGCACCAATGGACTTTCTTTATATGTGAGCATTTAACATTCGCTCGCGTACGGTGAAGGAAAACATTGTGAGGAAACCGACGTGTCTTAGACCCAAAAAGTCGACGGTGTGTGTGATGTGTCAGGCACAGGAGGCTGATGGCTGCTGAAGGATACTTGCCTTTTAGATTGAAAAATTATCATGAAACAGATTCAGAAATCTGAGGCCCAGACCTAATAGAGGTTGTAGCGCCACTGATTTTTTTTTGTGCAAATGTCAGGTAGTGAAATCGCTAAAGTTACGAGGTGGCTTGCTGATATGTCTTCAACAATGCATGTTATGCAAATAAAAGGTTGATTTAAATAAATTAATAATTATCAGTAAATGTAAAGTCAATATTCGAGTTCGATTACGATTTCACTTCACCCAATTCTGCGATTGTCTGAAGACGGCAATCAACCAATCAATGACATTACAGAAAATGTGAACAGAAAGCTCCATGTTCCATATTCTTTGATCTCATGGTGCGTAAAAATATAACAACCTTATGATGTTATGCGCAACAAACCCTAAATTATATTTGGAAATATGTATTAAATATTATCAAGGCCAAATGCACATGAAATGTTAAATATACTGCTATATTATATCTATAATATAGATAAAATCTTCTAGGTCTAGATATTACAACAAGTCATTATCGCAGCATTTAGGATTGTCCAGACACTCGAATTTCTGTTTTATCTATATTAACGAACCATACAACGAGTTAGGGTATTACGACGCTTATAAAATAAATGAACATACAACCAAATATATTTCAAATAAATTAAACAAAACATTAAAACATCTACAACGATGAAGACGCTGATAGTATATATCTGAAACAAGAGAGAGAGAATGAGTAATTCAAAGTAGACATTAATCCCTATTAATAAATTTGTTTTACACTTAATAATCTCAAAAGTTTTTTCCTCATTCTTTACTACAATTAAAGGTAAAATACATAATATAGGCATGATACGATTCTAGACAACAATTTGTTCTTTAACTGAAAAAAAAAACTGAAAAAAAACTGAATTAAAAAAACTGAAAAAAAAGAACTAAAAAAAAGTTGCGGGCTATAATTTCTATAGATCAGCACTGGTAATCTGTAACTTTCAATAGCGATAGCATTTGCGTTCCCAATTTCGATGTTGAGTTATTGTACATTGAGAAAATTGCATATAAAAACGTCGGGATCTATATCGTTATCATTATTGGAAGTACAAACTAGCGCAGGCAAGACACTCGCTATGAGATTGCTAAATATTACAAACACATTAGATCAATATGTTGTACCGGGATTTTCTTTCATTCGTTTAGGTAGAGCAGGTCCCTCGAGAACGTGGAGTTTCATCAGATTGTGTCCTCCCTAACCCTTTATTTCCCTGAAAATGATATATACTTACATAACGGCCAAAATACAAATTTATTGTTCTATTCTAATATAATATTAATATAATATTTTGTTATAAATTATGAATAAGCTGATAAAATAAATTTACACGTCCAAATGATAACCACCAATGTGATATGTTAAAACCACGATCGTTAAGAATATTAATATTTACAACTCATTGTTTTCTTTAGCTAAAACTTTTGACACCTTTTTCAGCACTGCTTCGCACTCTCATACACGCTCGTCCATTCATAACCGAGTTTTGACTCTTGATTTGAGAACTGGCAGTAAATGTAAAACTAGAAGCATTTAATATGTATGTATTTCTTTTTTGTGTATACATTGTGTTACCGATATGAAAAAAAAAATGATGTGATAAATTTTCCAAATCTATGAAAAGCTACATTGTTATAAAAGGCGTACCTTTGGCCGAGCTGACTCATCAAGTCGTTTCATTTTTCGACCTGAAAAATAATAATTTTATAAAAACTCCGTGATCTGTTATCATATTTTAAAGCATTAAGAACGTATCTAGCATCCGCGTCAGACGGGTCACACAGTCAAAGTTGTATGAATATAACCATATCAAGGATACGACGCGAGCCTCACGTATGTGTGTTTATAATGTTGTTGTATTTTTTTATACAGAATCTGTAAATATCCTCTGAATAAACAATCAACTTTGGGACCGTTACCAAGTATTACGTAAGCAGATTTACACTAAGCAAAGCTATCAAAGTAGAAGTTGTAGGAAGCCTCGAAAATGCATTTCGTTTTCAGGCATAGACAATAATTACTGTGGGTAATCATCAAATGGGAAAATCAAAGACCCCCTTCCCCTATAGTGCTTACGTAAGACTTGAACGGCCCCTTTTTATTAAAAATATGTCATGAATGGTTAAGACCCAGATGATCATGAACTCCCCGTATGCGCTTTTATATTGTTTTGTTGACAATAATACCATAACTAATAAATTGATACTGTTTTTGTTACTGGCACTTACTTTTAGGCACGCTGTTTCGTTTCGCAATATATTTTTCACTTTCCTTTCCCTGAAAGAACAAAAAACATTTGTACCGACTTCAGTCTTCAGTTAGAGAAAACAATTGCATAGTTTCAAACCACTGACAATGGTTATGTAACATAATAATACACTGTTATATTTTATTTTTAGGTCAAAAATTCTTCTGTTACAAAAGTTTAATATTTCTCCATCAAACATCTAGTAAGTCACTGCTGTGGTTAAGAAGTTAATTTTAATTTTATGTACTAGTGGTTGCCTGGAAGAGATCGCTTGAAAGCGATAAGGCCGCCAGTTGCTCTCCTTTTTATTTAATTATGTCAATTGTACTATATTAATGTATATGCCAACGAAGTGTTAATAAATAAATAAATAGACTACATATAATATTATTAGCATTTGTTACTATTGTTAAGCAACTATAATTCAAAATACCTTTGTGTTGAGAGCCACGAAGACATGAGGTGTAAACAGCTTCGACGAAAACAATTCATTGTAATATTTCTGGGACTGAAATAAACTGAAATTTACACTTCGTCAATCATAAAACAGAAATACTATTAATATGAATGAACATACCTCCAAAAGATATCTAGACGGTGACAATATATCACAGGTGTCTGAAAATATAAAATACCATTAGATTACATAAAAGCCAGGTATACTAATTCATAGGAAAATGTCCTTATAATCGAGCTTTATGTCTGCAGTAGTTGTAGAATGTTCATTCCTTTTTTGACGCCCAAAAGGTAGTCATCGCAGCCCATTTTAGTGAGTGCATTGCTAGCCTAAAAGAGAGATATATACTTTTTCTTTAAACAATTGGAGGTCATATCTCCCAGGCAAGACCCTCACCGGGACTCGATTCCACAGTTCGCAAAAGAAAATGTCTGGTGAAGCGAACCGTGGAAGATCAAGGTGATGCGGAATCACACTTTTAAATAATGTATCAAAGGATTAACTATTTAAAATTCAGAATTTCAGTGTATGAAACCAAACGAACATTTTTCGATATACATTACGATTGACTTGAGAATTTTTAACTTTTTACCGAGATGTCTTACCATTAGGTATAATTTGTGCGCGACTCAGGAACTTGACAAACCGCCGATCAGTAGTAACGCCTTTATTCTTCTTCCTATGTTTAAAGTCACCAGCCTCTTCTCTTTTCTTTTTCATAGGCTTCCGTTCATTCAAGGGGCTCCACCAGTCTTCTGTTAGAGTGCTGACGTCACAGAGTCTAGTTTTGTCTGTACTTGTGCCCTGGTTGGTCTTAGTTGTGACGTTAACTTTGATTTTCTTTACGTGTCTGATGGTAGTCTTCCTTGGTTTTTCTTCGATATAGTCAACTTCTAAGCGGCTGCAGATTGTTGTGTCAGTTCTTGTTTCGTCACTAAACACAGAACTAAAGCTTCTACAAAGACATGTGTCAGAGTTGGTATCTTCATTGGTATTTGAATTTAGATCCGTAAATCCTGCAATATAATGTCATAGATACAGGCCAAAAGCATACTTGAGGATTCATACCTGTACTATAACTTTGAAATTTATATACGTATATAGATTTAATTTTATTACCAACTGGTTGTAATCTCCTCTACATAATTCTATCACATTAAACACCTTATACATCAACAATCCTTTATACATCTCCATTCTTCAGCGTAAGATCTGACCATTTGATCCTGACCAATAGTGATAATTGCAAAGTTGAAAATTTTGGTTTTTTTATATGTATTTGTAAATTGCATGTTTGTATTTTTTTTTTAATCTAGTTTATTTTATACTTTTAATGTTGAAGATATTTTCTCTTCATCATTGTAATGTTTCCCTATAAATGTTGTGCACACTTGTTATTGATGCACATGCATGTATCTTGTTTTCTATGTTGTGTTCTCTGTAAGTGTTTGTATGTGTTTCGTTAGTGTGCCTTTTAAAATAAAAAAAAATAAAATATCGATAATTCTCAAATCTTCTAATGGGTAACTAATTTTTTTATTTATATCAAGAAAGAAGTTAAAAATTACAGATTTGCTGTGATATTTGATCGGAATAAATATTTCATCGAGTTGCAACCTGATTTGGACTTCATCGTAGAGTTGCAAGCTTTGTTGTCCCCAATGTATCTGTACTGTGTCGCACACGAACATTTGCCTTTAGTCGTTGTACAGTCTTCTGGAACAAATATTTCGTCTGTAAATAAAAAGTAGTTTTCACGTCGATTTCCATTGGTGTTCGATAAGTAGGTAACCTACCTTCTAAATCTTATTTTACCAATCTGGAGCCCCCTGTCATATCATCATTTGACCCACATCACATAGTTTATAGTGCAAAGTGCATCAAACAAATTTTAAGATTTTACATCATCACATAATATATGTTTTATAATTTTTACCTGGTTTCTTCGAAGCAGATTTTAATCTCACTGGAGATGTGGTTGGCTGGCTTTTCCATCGCATTTGGGTACCACGGTCTTGGACTAACGTATTGTCAACACATTGACATGAACTAAAGGGGGACATTAAGCTATTACTACACATATCATAACAATCGTCAGAAAATAAAAAATTGTCTGATTATTCACCGGTAGATGTGCTGCTGATAGTTCTGTAAGGTATTGGCGTCAAACAAAATAGGCATAGGTTTAGATTTGTCTCAAGATACTAGATAAGATAGGGTTAGGTTTTGCTGGACGTGGATGGCATCGATAACTAATGCTATAATGCTAATAGCATTTATATTTGCACTCGTAATCCTATTGCGTAGTTTTCAATTCGCAGGTGGGGTTATCAAAGTTTTAATAGTCTAAGTATTGGCAGCGCTATCACACGAGCTCGAGCGTATTAAATTAGATATATTTAATGTCTTATAAATTAGTTAACTAATGTTTTAACCGGAAAATAGCTCATCAACTGAAACGCAACTTATCAAAATAAATATATCTCACCGCGTTTGTAGAATTGGCAGTACCGTTGTACCCTTTTCTGCAGTTCCTAAAAACATACAAATGATAGCGTCCATCATTATATTATTAATATAAAAAAATCAGTGGCGCTACAACCTCTTTAGGGCTGGAACTAAGATTTCTTAATCTAATAGGCAATTAGGTGATCAGACTCCAGTTCCTGACACACGCCGCCGTCTTTTGAGGTCTAAGACATGTCGGTTTCCTCACGATGTTTTCCTTCAACGTTCGAGCGAATGTTAAATGCGCACGTAGAAAGAAAGTCCATTGGTGCACAGCCGGGAATCGAACCTACGACCTCAGGGATGAGAGTCGCATGCCTCTAGACCAACACTGCTCAATATTATTAATATATCCAATATAAATTATAAAGGTGCAAAAATGTATATCATAAAAAACAAAAATTAACGTATTTTTAACTAGTTAGCACTGTTTTACAATTACGTAGTTCAAAAGTTGTTAGAAATTTTTCCCAAAGAATAATCTAAAATCGACCCACCTTCTTTATTAACCTTTTTACTTTTTGCTTGATTTTTATTTTTCTTTAAATCTGTGAGTTGCGCTATGTGAGTGTAAATATCTTTCATTAATGGAGCCGGATTTTTTATTCTGAAACAAAAAATATCTAGTAGACTAGATAATACTAAAGAATATGTAATCTCCTATTATCGAAGTAAACTTGTGTCGCTTTCAAAATAAAGCCCTAAAATGCTATTATGTCTCATGATAAGTTTCTGAATAAGACCGTAAAGTTCTGCTCAAGTAAGCGTTTCTTTTAGGACGCAGATATTTTTGTTAGCATTAGGAAAATAACATTCTCTATTTTCAAGATGCCAAATCGAGGAACATTACTATTTGAAACAAAAAATGAATATTTTTAATAATGGATTCATTTATAATTGATTTTTATATAACACTAGCTGATCCGGCAAACGTCGTTTTGCCATGGGGGGTGAAAATTAGAGGTTGTATGTATTTTTAATGCTGTATTATAAAAAAATAAAAAATAAGTAATTTATCTAAAAATTAAAAAAATAATTTACGGGTGGACTACCCTTAACATTTAGGGGGATGAAAAATGTTGTCCGATTCTCAGACATACCCAATAAGCACACAAAATTTCATGAGAATCGGTCAAGCCGTTTCGGAGGAGTTTAACTATAAACACCGCGACTCGAGAATTTTATATATTAGATAAAAAGTGCGTACCTCAAATGTAAGAAGTGATCTGATAAAATTCTGTGGAAAGAAATAAACTATTAGAATAAATTAACAAAGAGAACTTAAAGTATTAGTATTAATCCTATACATGCTTGCTTTCTCGTCATTGACAAAATACAAATCGTGTCTCAACACAGTCAAACAATTAAAATTAATCAAAATCTATTCCTCTGTTCAAACTTTAATTATATTTAAAAAAGAAAAATGTAATACTGCTACTACTAACAATTTCAGGTCCTTAATTGTGAGGCATTTGGTAGTTTTTTCTTTCTGAGCCATAGTCCTATGTGATGTGCCCGTGGTATCAGAGTTCGATTGCTAGCAAAAATATCAATTAAATATTTGGAAATTTTAAGAAAACATATCAAATTTAAGAACAATGTACCTTGTAATCGCCACATTTCTCACTGGAAAGGCTGAAAAAATGTTTATATTAATTACTCGAAGGTACAATCTTACCAGATCTTTAGTTTCAAATTAAATTCCTTCAGGTTGATAATACTGTTTTGGTACAAATCTTATTAAAATACCCGAAAGAGGAAGTTTTCAATTCGACGAGTAACTTTTTTATGTATAGCTCCTCCATCTGTCCGATCAAGACAATCGAACAAAATTGTCGTCCGGATATTGGCTGAAATGTCTGATGAAGTCGACATTTTGGAGAGGTTATATTTATTAAGAAAAAATTATCTTGTATATTAAATAACCTATTTAATATACAACAGAGTTTTTTTTATATAGAACAGGGGGTAAACGAGAAGGAGGCTCACTGGTGTTAAGTGATACCATGGACACTCAATACCAGAGGGCTCGCAAGTGCGTTACCGGCATTTTAAGAATTTGTACGCTCTTTTCTTGAAGGGCCCTAAGTCGAATTAGTTCGGAAATACTTCAGTGTGTAGCTGGTTCTACATAGTGGTGATGAACGGCAAAAACTGTCTTTAGCTCAAAACGAGACTAGAAATAGGGATTTGTTCTAGGCCCCCTTTTAATTCTTTGCCAGGTAGTACATTGAGTACATGATGCCCAATTGTCTCAATGCAGTGGTAAGTATGTTCGACTGTGGATCCTGGGGTCACGGGAACAAATTCCGAATGGAGCCGTATAATAAAAATAGGGCGTTGAGATTTTCTAAAAAAAAAAATTACAAGTCGGCCTGAAAAATATTCATTATTACCATTCCCCAATAGTATTGAACTCGTTTCCGATGGAGCGGAAGAAATCCAGTCTCTTGGGACTGTTAGTTTGTGCTTCCAGCTTCGATTCTGGTTTGGCTAATTCTGTAGTGTTATATACAAAGTTATTTATACGATTCGATTGAAATGATCTAATTTTTAACTTAAATATAGATGGATATTTTTTTGAGAAACTTGTTTTTTCAATTTGCGATCTTTGAGAGATTTTAGTAAATGACTATCCCAGCAAGCCATCGGACCATGGTAGCCTTGTCTTGTTTTGTTTAAATGCGGGAAATTTTCGTGCGTAATATAAGAGTATTAGTAGAGAAATTACCACGTATAATAAGTACGTTATAATACATGCTAAATGGAAAATATACGGAGGAATGAGAACATAACAAAAACAGAATAACCTATAATAACGATATCTTACTATGTTCATCGTCGTAATCGTGAACTTCAATCAAGTCACTCCCTCTCCAGACGGAACTCGAAGTTTCTTCCTCCCTTTGCATATTTTGGACTTTGCAACAGAATTTTTTGCCTCGACAGAACTTTAGAATTTTCACTGAAAATATTGTAATTAAATATGATCAGTGTGGTATATACACATTGGGGCAGCCGACTTCTAAATATTTTTAGTACGGTTCCTAAGTTTGGTTCGTTCGTGGTTTATTAAATAAGAGAGAAATTCCATTATATACTTTTATTTTATTATTAACACTCGGTAAAATAGAAGATTAAATACTTATTAATATGTAATTAATAAGTTTTAATCAGAATCGATTCCCGGTGGGGGAGTTCCCTGAGAGATACGACCTCCAAATGTTCAAAGTAAGAGTGTACTTCTCCGTCAAAGGCCGGCAACGCACCCACTAAAAATGGATATCCATGGGCTGCGACAATTGCCCTTTTTGTGCGTGCCATAGGCTCGTTTGCCCCCCTATTCTATAAAAAAATGCTTAAAAAAGCGTGTCACGGCCAAACTACGACAATTACGTATTTACCGCGTTTAAAAAACTAAGAAAACCTGAACAAGAAAAATATACAGCCTTAGCTCGTACATTCTTTGTTCCTCTTGATATATATGTTACAGGTAATGCTAGAAGGTGGAGTAAACCTAGGTTTACTCGGGTTGACTTAGTATTACCCAAGCTTCTTGGGTAAAGTCGAATAATAAGTAAAATAAATTTAAATTCGGGGTTTACCCATGCCCTACGGTCTACCCAACTCTGTCTGGGTAATGTGTTGGCTAAATTTTAACAACAGTTTAGCAAATTTTGCATTAGTCTTTTGGCACACTGGCCACGCCGCCGCTTGCTTAGTGACAAAATGGCGACCGAACAGAGTGCACGTTCTTTTCGAGAGCGTTTTGATACAAAATTTCAAGAGTTATTCTCAGCGAAAGGGTTAAATTCTTTTACTTTAGTAACGAACATATTGGAAATAATAATTCGTAAAAGGGCAAAAGAAGCTAAATCAAAACTCTTACAATACCGGCGATTGAAGCGTTGATTTGCTCGGTAAGTGGCGTCGAGAATGAGCTCCTCTATCCATGAGAAACAATTAAATATTACGTGACTAATGATGAAATGTTCGATATTTTGCATGAAACTCATTTGGCTGTTGGACATGGAGGAAAAATCGAATGGAAAAAGAATGTAAAAAAATATAAAAATATTACTCAAAAGTAATCAAATTATATTTACGACTAGCGAACCATCAAAAAAGTAAAGTCTGCTAAAAAGGAATTGTTGTCAAACCATTGGTGTCAACAGAAATGAATAGTCCTGTCAAGTAGATTTAATTGACATGCAGTCTAACCCTACGGCGACTTCAAATTCATAATGGTCTATCAAGATCATTTGACAAAGTTTGTACAGCTGCGCGTTAAATCTAAACGAGCCGTAGAAGTTGCTTATAAGCTTTTGGACATATTTTGTATTTTTGGCGCACCTTCAATTCTTCAATAGACAATGGCCGCGAGTTTGCAAATCACGTAATAGAAGAGTTGTGCTCGATGTGGAGCGGTCTGAAGATAGTACATGGCAAACCTCGCCATAGTCAGTCTCAAGGTAGTGTGGAAAGAGCAAATCAAGACGTACAAAATATGCTTATGACGTGGATGAACGACGAAAATTGTAAGCGTTGGTCAGAAGGTTTGAAGTTCGTACAATTAATGAAAAATAGGGCATTCCACGATGGAATAAAACGAGCTCCTTATACCGCCATGTTCGGTAGTGATGTCAAGGTGGGTTTAGCGTCGTCTTCTCTTCCAAAAGAAGTTATTGTCAATATTACACTGAGGAAGAGCTCGAGAAAATTGACGGAATTTACTACCAAGCAGAATCAGTCAGAATCCCAAAGAAGGACCGGAATCTAGACAAGAATCTCAAGAAGATTTACTAAATTAGAGCTGGAATCAGAGAATTACCACTTACAGAACACGGAGATGAGAAGCGATATCGAAACAGAAGTTTTAAATACAAAAGAAGGTGAAAGGAACGTTTTATTAGAAATAAATTCAGAAGAAACGGCCAAAAGAGAATAGAGTGTAGTAGATGTATGAACCCAGACAAGTACACAAAAATAAATATGTGAAATTTGTACTACTCAACAAAATATAAATAAACATAGATTATCTGCCCGATTGAGCTTAGAAAATCAAGCTAAGAAAATGAAAGCCTTATCTAATTTAAAATTTCCTCCATGTTCTGTTGGAGATACGGTGAGAGTCCAAAACCAATGTCGATAGAGGAAGAGGCGAGTTTCGGAACGTGCTTATGGTAGTTATAGAAAAAGCTGGTGATCTGTATAGGCTAGGAAACGAACGTGGTACTATTGAGGAAATGTTCTCAAGGAATCAGTTTTCTGTGTGTCATGATAAACTGATGATATCGAAAATATATCACCAGAAAAAAAAGTTTACGAGAGCTTGCAAATGAACAGTCGCTATCAGGAGGCCAGGGTTATAAAAGGTGTAATTGCAAAACAAATGTGCCACAAAAAGTGTTCATGCAAAGCTGCAGGAAAATTATGCAACTCAAAATGTCACAGCAGTTTATCTTGCTCAAATAAATAATTTTTATGTTTGTATGTTTTTCAGATAATAAATGTTTAAAATGGCCTTGGATTTTCATTTCACTAATTAATTAGACAAATTTTTAACATTACCCAGCCAGAGTTGGGTAGACCTAGGTTGGGTTGAGTAGAGCATGGGTAAACCCCGAATTTAAATTTATTTTACTTATTATTCGGACTTTGCAAGAAACTTGGGTAATACTAAGTCAACCCGAGTAAACCTAGGTTTACTCCACCTTCTAGCATTACCCGTAACATATATAACAAGGTTGGTTTAGCACCAAACATAGTGACATAACGCAACATAGTACAAACTTTTACTGCTTAATGCACACATGTAAAAATTATACTTACTTTTATTTGACTTGGGACTTGATTCGACTTTGCCCTGTTTTGCTTGAGAATTTTTGTATTTACAACATTTAGGTTTTATTTTGGGTTCTGATGAAATTTTTATCAGTCCCTGCTTAGAGGCTTTAGGAGTGTCTTGGGGCTTACTGACTTGACAAATACAATCACCATGAGGGCAACAACACCTCTTTGGTTGTATGTTTATCGTATCCTTTATTACCTTAAAAACTTTAAAATTGTAGAAGAAACATAGGACCACAGATACATACACTACTGAACTTACTTTCAATAACTCTGTTTCTCTAGTCTTATTTGTCGCTGCATAGAGCCGACATCTCGCCAGCTGGTTCAACGCACAGTCCTTTTTTATTCTATCCTTTAAGGAGTCCTTTCGAAGAATCCCCTTCACCCAACTTTGATCCTGTAAATAAGCTGATATCCTATAATCTCTGGAACTTTCATTTTGTTGCTTTAATTCTTCATTAATTTTCTTTTTGCGTTTCTTAAAGTTTTGAGCTTCCTTTTTGGCCAAACGATCTCGTTGAATACCTTCATTAACTTCATCACTTCGATAACGGTTCAGTTTTAAGCAAGTTGCAAAAGCTATGCAAATTGTTTTAGCGTAGAGGGATCGCTTTTTGTTTTCAATCTGTCTATAATCTATAATTTTTCCATCTTTCATCTTTTTACTATTTTTGTTATGCTCTTCAGGCTTATTTTTACTAGTGTTCTTCTCAGAATCTTTTACAGAAACATTTCCTAGTTCAAGATTTTTCGGACATAATTTATTAAACTCGTTAGCTGCCTGAAAAATATTCTGGCGATTTATTACCAAACCTTTTTTACGGATTTGTTTTTCCCTTGTAATATTTGATTTTGAAGTTAAGCAAATGCACAAATGCCCGGACTTAAAGCAATACTTCCAAATTATTGCATAAACTCGCGGCATAAGTTTTGTTTTCGACTTCCAAGATATTCTTCGTATAATGTAATACTTTCTTCTCGGCTTCAAAAATCTACTATTTTTAAATTTTCTGAATACTAGAGATATATTTTTAAAATTGTGTAAGCTTTTAGTGTTTCTTTGCCGAATTCTTTTGTGGCTGCTTAATTTTTGTAAACAATTTTGTTGAACATTCCTTGAATAATTATTAGACATCATGTATGTATTAAATGTCTGTGATTTCTGGTTATTTATGTCTTTCATATTAGGCAATAGAGGAGATTTTTCTGAATAACCTACGAAATTTGTATTGTAAACGCGTCTATTATCTTTGTATTTTCGGTCGTAATTTTTATAATCTCGATTATACTTTTTTGCCAATTGTATTTGGATATATCCCTTGCTGGAGTCTTCTTTACATTCATTTGTATCATTATTTCCATCACTTTCATCGTCTGAACCTCTGAAAATAATACAAGCTGTATACTGTGTACCTTGAACAAATATTTATGTGACTAATTTCACAATTCTTCCTTAAATATTTTAAACTAAGGCATAGTTTAAAATATTTAACTGTCATCTTTCCGTAGGTATACATATTATGTACGGAAAGATATTAAGATTCAATTTAATCAATGATTTTACTTCTCTAAGCTGATATCACTATAATCTCCATAGTCTGCAGGTGACAAACAAATAGTGCAGAGCTGACCAATGTCTGCGAAACAACTCCTGCAGAACACACCTGGACAACTTTGGCTTTCGCATCTGGGGATTGGCAAAAGTAGGATTAAATTTTGTATTCTTTTATAAGCTTCGAAAAAAAACATTAACAGACATTATTTGTTTGTCTGTCATATTTTTAGGTAGTATTTGATAAGCTAAACCAAGAACTTACCTCGTCAAGTGAGTGTCAATATCCTTATGTTTTTCCATAGTTTCACAGAGAAGGCAGTGCGGTGGTTTCGGTAGCGTCCCAAACACATATCGCAGAAAATAGAATCTGTAATCGAACTACTTTTATTTTGATGTTATTTATATTCAGTTGTTAAACAATATGTACAAAGCTTAAAATATTAGTAAACCTTATTAGTAAACTTATTGAAAAAAGACTAACGATAAATGTGAATCCATCCAATGCCGAAAAGTGAGATGTTCTTCGCTATGATATTTGTACTCGCGATGAAGCTTTCGTCTCGCCAGCTTCATGAAGCTGCCTATTATTATACGATATAATGAAAATTTTGTATATAATTTTAATTCTGAGACTAGTCAAGTGAGTATTGTGAGGATACACATCGCATTCTATACTAATACGCCAAAAAGCATCCTAGGCGCAATTGCAACGTGAACAAATTAGACATTCTACTATTTAATTTCTAATTTATAATATAGAAGAACTAAATTAAAAAAAATTGCCAATAAAGTTGTGAGTCATAGTCAGAATTATAATATTGGTGACAGCCAAATGAATTTTGAAGTGTGTTGAGAAATTCTACAATCGAGAAAGTATCGATCGTCGGAGCCCAGAAATATTCTCTGACTTTACAAATTTAACATTATATTATAAACATCAAAATACACAATTTCAACCTAATGATTCGCTACCTCTTGTCCTCAAGATGTGATTGTAAAGCCAGGAGGCCCTCGCCTTAGCACGCTCTGGTCTATGATGACCCATAATCACGTGTCGCAGACGGAGACCATATGGCTCAAATAACGCTAGCAGCCATAATATCACTATGATGACACCTGAAGTATAAAACGTCTATTCCATTTAAAAAAAGTTAATTTATTCTCACTTCAAAATATAATATAGGATGAAATATAAAGTGACATATAAAATAGGTAGACAAATCTATTTTATCAACAGTTTAAAAACTTTTTTGTACGAGTATAAGCCGGTACTATGTACCCAACAATTGCAGCGATACCGACTTCAGTGACACGTACAACGTGTTCAACTGTTTTTTTTGGGATTTACTAACTTCCTTATCTCGCCTACTAACGCCCTTAACTCGACAAAGTAATTTTTTATAGCTCATTAAGAATTTAACATATTTTATTTTATTGGGTCGATTTTTGATAATCACAATGCAAAAATAATTACTGTACAATAAACGCATCTTACCAATTTGCGTGTATCGTTTGAAGTCGGGTGGTCGTGGGTCCGGAAGGCATGAAGCAGGAGATGATGGAGATCGTAGTGGTAAAGTCAGTGTGCTGAATATAGATCTCAATATATCTGATCCAAAACCTAATCCTGTTAAAGATACTCCAACATCCGAGGGACCGGCTATAACGGAAAAGCAAATTTAAATACATACCTACTCTAGATTTTTGAATACAGATAAAATATTGCTCAACTCTTTTATTATTACAGAGTATTTTGTTCGGCATTAAATTAGGAAACCTTTTTTCCTATTAAAAGTATATACAGAGATAGATTATCATTTAAGATACCGTACCTACAAAATACGAAAGGGAATACGTAGGTGGTTTGGCCATCTAGTACGTCAGAATGAGAAGCCGCCTGACAAGTAGGATATACAAGGCCACCATGGACAGTGAAGTCGGGTTGGGTAAAACTAGTTGGACATACCTGGACCAAATCCAGGTACTAGAGAACGGACAAGTTAAAAGTTCCCATAACGGACGAGGATGCATGGCGAAGGCAATGAAAATAGATGAAGCGAGAGAGGTATCAGGTCTCTACCTACCCCTTCAGGAAAAAGGCGTAAACTAAATATAAATAAAAAAAAAGATAGATTATTATGTTAGCAATAATAAGTCTATTATTATCTAGATCGATTTACTTAATAAACACAAACACAGAAGGTTTTAACCAGATAAAATAGATACGCTGAACAATATGTAGACTGTGATTTAATTAAATTGTTTTCATACGTGACAATACAGCTTCCAGTCTGCCATGATGCCGTATAGTGGTGAGGACCCAAAACAGGCTGTAGTCAGCGATCATATGAATCATCAGTTTGAATGTGGTGATCACCATGAAAACTGCTGAACGAGTCATGAATACTTTCTCGGAGGCTATCAAACGAAAAGATGTGGTCTGAAAGGATTTATAATTTTTTAATGATAAAATTCTTTATCGAAGTACTACTACTACTAAGGAATCTGATGAGTCTAGTTATATAACAAATAAAGCAAGTGCCACAATCTAAAGACACGCTTTAATAGTAGCATCTCTTAGATTCCATGTTCCTTATCCAACCAACCAAAAAACTATCAATGTGTATAGTAGCTAATTCAAGAAGAAAGACAACACAAACTTTATTACACTTTATTAAAAATGACGTATAGTTAAAAGAAAAAGTGCACTAGCCCTTTGTCGCTGTCGTCGTTTCCCTGTGTCGTGTGCAGCTTTTTCCATTTTACATATGAATTATTTTTGGTACTTGAAGTCATAAACTCAAACTCAAAATATCTCTATTCATGTAGGTAAACAAGTACACTTATGAATTGTCAGAAAGAAGTTAAATTAATTGTAAATTTACATTTACTACCAGTTCGCAAGTCAAGGGCGTAGAGCGGGTAAGAAGAACTGGCAAAAACTTTCCGCCACTCTTTTTAATCGCCAAGTATTGTCATACAAATTGTTTGAATTGGATCCTACAAAACACAATTTTATAATTTAACTACTGTTGCACAAAAAGAATACTTTCGGTTCGAGCATAGGACAGATTTAGAAGATGTTGCTTAAGATTTTCAGTGAATGTATAAAGTTTTGAATGAAAATGCTATTTTTGAGAAAGTAGTTAAAGATGAAAAAATGATAGTTATATGTTGTGACATTTTGTTTCAAAACTTTGAGAAGTGGCGTATTTGGTGATTTGAGTAAAGAACAAAGATTTATTTTAATATGGGCAGATGAATTACAAAATCATCAATCAAGCCATCATACCGGAATATATTTAGTTTTTTCCCTTCTGTTAAGTGGCAAAATCGTGTCTCTTCCCTCCTGAAACCTCTTTAGATCTATCTCGTACAGTTCCTTCGTTACATACCGGTTGTCAAATCTTGATCTAGTTTCGTACATGTGCTGGTAGTATTTTGCCCTAAGAAGAACAAAGGCATTTGAATTTGATAATTATCTTATAAAGATCAATGTCACTAAGAACTCCGGTACAAGTGCTGATGGAAGTTCACATCACAACAAACATACTACAAACGTTATACTCAGAGAGAGAGAGAAAAAGATTTGAAACGTTTGAAACGAACAGCCAGCATCAATTATATATGGAATATATCTAATACATAAAATTCTCGTGTCACAGTTTTCGTTGCCATACTCCTCCGAAACGGCTTGACCGATTCTCATGAAATTTTTTGTGCTTATCCGGTATCTATGAGAATCGGCCAACATCTATTTTTCATCCCCCTAAATGTTAGGGGTAGTACAACCCCTAAAAAATTTATTTTTATTTTTTAGACAACATTTTTAATTTCTATTTTTTTAGATACGACATTAAAAAATACATACAATCCTCAATTTTCACCCCTCTACGATCAACCCCTATTTTTTTACATACATGGCAAAACGACGTTTGCCCGGTCAGCTAGTAATATATACAAAAAGGTTCAAACATTTACGAAAGGAAAAAAATATAAATACCAAAAACATTTAACTAAGTAATATTTCGGCTGTGTTGTGAGATGGTGTGACAGTGGTGGTTATCAGAAAACAAATCTGAAATACCTGAATATAATCAGCAGTAAGAAGAGACTTGTGACGCAGGAGCTCCAAGAGAGCCAAGTGATCAAGGGATCCGCTTTATTTCTTATCTCAGTGACAATACCGGCAGCTACTTGACTTGCGGAGCGACTTTCGTTGCTGACTGTATATCTGTGATGAACCTCAATGTGCACGTAGAACATTTTTTGGATATGATTTGTGAAATCATGTAATTCTGGAAGATATAATTTTATATCAATCGAAATAATACCTACCGAAAGCGAGTACCATTTGTATTGCAAAAGCAATCCCAATAACTAGCAGTTAGTTGAGCGATTAGAAATGTACATTGCGGTCTTGAATTTCCAAACATCAAATGACAAGAAAATCATCAATGGAGATAGATATTTGCATCTCTTTAGTTAGTGACTTATCCGGATGTAATAGACGAACTTTTACTTATGTGACATTATTTTGTGTCACATACTATCAGTGTCTATGACCGCATTGTGAATTCCACATTACAAATTGTTCCACGAACGAGCGATTATTCCGCCAGCGTATCGTCGCGATTCGTAACGGAATCACAGCGTATCCGCAACGACTCGTAACGGAATCGCCGGGTTTCTTTGACGACACGTTGTGCTCTTATTGTGTTCAGTGTTCATTTAGAGTTCAGTGGTGCCAGACGAGACCGAAATAAGTAGTGTCTAAATCAGTCAATAAAATAATTATTTACTATGGATGTATTGTTTTTATTGATGTATGGTCACGCACGTCGCGACTCGCGAGCTCTCTGCGAGAGCGCCACGTTCCGTGGCGAGTGCGCGACGTGCGCGCCACCAGTAGCGACAGGCTCGCAGCGATGTTATGACTTTTCGCGCGCACTCAACCACCCGTCGCATCGCCGCGTTAAGATCGCCGTTTGGAGACACGTTCTATGAGATTGTATAGAAATGCGTGGCAGGACGATTGTATCGTCGCGATCTTCGCTTGTGGAGACGGCCCCTTAAATCTATTTCCAATCCACATTCACCACATTATATGTAATAGATTTAGGACTTACTTCTTTTAATTGTAGCTGCAAAAGGAACCTTTTGCAAACTCGTCCAAAGTACAAATTTTCTGGTAAGATTTTACAGCCAAACAAGCAGCTTCCACTTTTGTTACATTACACAGCCAGAAGAGCTTCGGTCCAAGTACTGATTTGCAATCAGATAGTCCTTTATTGAGGATATTCATACAATGCTCGTACGGAGTGCCAAGTTTATGATTGCAGGAGTTCACTACTGAAGATAACCAGTAGTATGAAGATTGTATGACGTCAGCTGTAATTTAAATAAAAGACCTATATTTAATGGAACACACAGCACCTTTGAGCAGTGTTAGCCTTAGAGGCTTTCGCGTTCGACTCAAATCCCTAAGGTCGAAGGTTCGAACTTCGGCTGCAACAACGGACTTTCTATCTATGTGCGTATTTAACACTCGCTCGTACGGTGAAGAAAAATAGCACAAGGGAACCGGCATGCCTGAGACCCAAAAAGTCGACTGAGGCTGATCACCTACATGACTATTAGAAAAAAAAATATCGCGAAACAGATATACAAAGACCTAAAAGTTTAATTTAGTTTTTTTAGCGTCACTGTTTTTTTCTTATATTTAATGAAACAAAATAGAGCAATAAAACTTGCACATTGCGTTGTCTTGCATAATTTGGTTTATGCATTGAGCAAAATATATTCAGAACGGTTTCCAAATAAACAAAGTAACATTGATATTTAGGTATAAATTTGTACGAAATATACATCCCGGAAAATATACGTCTTTAAAACCCTTGGTATATAGATATATAGCTTTACCTAAAAGGTTAGCTTAATTTATATTATTATTAATATTAGGGGAATTCAACAAATATTTTTGTATATTTTTCGCATCATCTAAATTCTAAAACATACATAATCTTCTATATACGTATTTATATATACATATATGTAATGGAATGATATTTCATTAATTTGAATTTGACGCGTCGGAGTGACACGCGATAAAATGGCGGATGACGTGTAAATTAATTTAGTGGATTATAGTAGTGAAAAAGATAGATAAGTGGACATTAAATGTCGTTTCTTTGTATTTCAGAGAAACAATTTTGTGTTTTCATTTAGAAAAAATCCATAATAATATTCCTTTATAAAACGACATTTTTGTTAACTAAAAGAAGATGGACCGGCTGCAATTTGAGTTCACGATGATGGCCTCAATCGATGGCAAATCTAATATATTGGCCATAACTTCAATATTGACAGAAGAAGGAAAATGTTATGTTTTACCTGATGAATTGAAGCCGGTGATTCATCATACATATATAGTTAAATTGAACACTTTTCAAAAATAAAAAATAGTATAAAGAAAAGGCACCAAAGCAGAAAGATATGGGTAAAATTAGATGAAGATCTAAAGAAAACATATATAGATGAGGAAGGTAATATGCAATTTTTAGATCAATATTTAGAGGAAATGAGCACAAAACAACCAAGAGGCAATGATGATAATTTGCAACATATCCTGGAAAAATTAATAGAATCTACAACAAAAAAGAAAATCAACATAATTTAAAACATGTTTCAGAGAAATTTATTATCGAAAAATTCAAAAAAAGTAAGAATCCTAATGCAGTGCAATGGATAGAGAATTTTGAAAAAGAGTGTGAGCGTTTTAATATAACAAAAGATGAAACAAAAATAGATATATTGAGATTATTTTTAGAAAACTCCAGTTTGGATTGGTATAGCTCGATGGTAATCAAACTATCAGTAAATTCTGAATGGAATGAATGGAAAGACAAATTTTTAGAAACTTTTAGGAACCAAGGGTGGGATGTAGTCACAACTGCTTTCACATTCAAGTATAAAGAAGGGCTGTTAATTGATTATGCTATAAAAAAAGAACGGCTTATACTAGATATAAATAAATCGATAGATTCCAGAACAATGATAGATCTAATTGCAACTGGTTTACCTAGTTTTATCTTGAATAAGTTAAACAGGGACGAACTCAACAACACTACTGATTTGTTCAACGAGATAAGAAAATATGAATGTATGATTTTCAAGAAAAACTCAACTATAACAAAGAATATATATTCTTATAAAAATAAAATTAATGAGAAGAAGCCATGTAAGACTTGTGAATCTTTGGACAAAGGAATTAGATATCATCCGGAGGAGTTATGTTGGTTCAAGAAAAATAAAAATGAATCTGAAAAGGTTTTTAAAGCCAAAAATGTAAATAATAATTCGATTATTGAAGTAGATATGAATACTGAGAAAAAAAACGAGTAAGTACACCATTAATCAAAATCAAGCTATTATTAGAAAATAAACTAGAAGTGAGCGGTGTTTATGATTCAGGCTCACAGATCTCTTTAATAAATTCAAGATTGATTAAAGTGAAAGAAAAAAAAAACATGTGAAATATGCATAAAAAATAAATCAAGAGGTCAAGGAAAATTTGGATTAATGTCACAACTGGGACCAGCAACAAAACCATTTGAGATAATGTCAATGGATACTATAGGTGGCTTTGGAGGCATCTAGATCAACAAAAAAGTACCTACACCTTTTAGTAGACCATTATACAAGATATGCATTTATTGTGACGTCAAAAACACAGAATGCAAGTGATTTTATAAAACTAACAAAGAATGTACTAGAAACAGATGAGATTGGAATAATTTTGACAGATCAATATCCAGGCATCAATTCAAGAGAATTTAAGCAATATCTACATGAAAATAATGTTAAATTAATTTTTACAGCTGTGAATACACCATTCTCAAATGGCTTGAATGAAAGGTTAAATCAAACAATAGTTAATAAAATAAGATGTAGAATAAATGAGAAAAATAATAAGAGAACATGGACAACAGTGGCAAGAGAATGTGTAGAGAAATATAATGAAACAGAACACTCCGTTACAGGTTTTGCACCAAAATATTTACTGGATGGTACAAATGTCAGCATTCTACCAAATGAATTAAAAATAATAGAAGGAGAAGACAAGTGGATTGCTGATAAAAGATTGGCATTAGAAAATACAATAAAATCCCACAAGTACAATAAGAAAATATTTGATAAGAAAAGAAAAATGCAAGAGTTTAATATAGGCGACAGTGTATATGTTGAGAATGGAAATAGACTGAATAGAAAGAAATTAGACGAATTAAAAATAGGTCCTTTTAAGATAGTAGGGAAAATATCGAACTCCATTTATAGGATTGACACTGGTAACAGAAAAACAGAATCAACTTTGTTCCACATAACAAAATTACAACCGGTTACAACAGAATCTGAAGAAGATGAAATATAAGGAAAACGAATATGAAGATAGCTATTAAGTATAGTGTGTAGATATATTATTCAGAATTTTTTCTCTTAGGGGGGAGATGTAATGGAATGATATTTCACTTAATTTGAATTTGACGCGTCGGAGTGACACGCGATAAAATGGCGGATGACGTGTTAATTAATTTAGTGGATTATAGTGTAAAAAGATAGATAAGTGGACATTAAATGTCGTTTCTTTGTATTTCAGAGAAACAATTTTGTGTTTTCATTTAGAAAAAATCCATAATAATATTTATATATATATATATATACACGAATTTGATACATTATTTAACTAGACGCTTCAAGTGCATTACAGCTTCCGTGGTCAGCCAGAGACTTTACAGTCACAACACAATTTATTATACGCCTTGAGCTAGGTATTTAGAAGTGTATCATAATATTAAAAATACTAACTAAAGCTTTCAGTTATTTTATTATTATTAGCTTTAAGCTTGACATAAAATAATAAAGCTTTATTGCTTACACGAATCGTTTATATGCAACACTGTTACAACGATCAATAAAAAATTAGGTCACTTTAATAATTCACAATCATTAACGAGTAGTAAATAGTAAATACATATTTATTAACGCATAGACTGTATCTAAAATACCAGTCGTTATAAGTACGAATCGTATTTGTCTAAAAATAAATGGTTGCTAATTTTTAAAAATGGAATTATACTACTTTTGCAAAAAAAATTATATTAATGATTATTTGATTGAAACATAATTAATATCAATTTGATAATGTAATAATATGTATATGATTGATTATGTAATATGTAACTACTATGTAAAATTCTACATTTTACTTATTATAGAAAATCTATGTTAATATAGAAAAAAGAAATGTGTTGTGAAAATTAGGCATTAAAACTCTATTTCCTTGTTCAGTTTTGTTAGTAACAAAAGTAGCTGAAAAAAATATTACATTTGGGTCATGGTTCAAATACAAAAATTGTTCTAAGCCAAATAAAATACATTATGAATTTGCTACGAAGAAGTAATCAAGCGTTCAATTCTAACAGCACAACCCCATAGTTGACCTACTTGCTTGTCGCTTGTAAAATTGCAAAGCTTTGCATGGCTTGACTCTTCAAGTAATAACAGAGATTTAAATCATAGATGTGCCTTTTCTTGTACTTTGAGTGCATAACAATATGTTCTCCCTTGTATTTTCATTTTTTACCAACTTCAAATGTGATATTATTGGATTTGAAAAATATTTAAGTATGTTTATAACTTTTTTTTGCCTTGATACATCTTGATACTACGTGTTTGCGTGTTGTTCCCACAATAATCTAAGTGCAAGGTCCTATTTCACTGCGCATTGCTGATAAAGATAAAATGTTCACTTTCTTATTTTTTTCTTCATATTTTTTTATTAAATACAACAAGGGCATGCAGGGGTAATGCAGGTGCTTACAGACATTTTGTAAAAAAACTTTGGCGGTTTAAAAGACTGACGGGGATTTATAGCCAGTTCTCGTCCGTTTTACGCACTTCAATTGAGAACTGGCAGTAAATGTAAATTTAGAAGCATTAAATATTTAGGTCCTTATTCCACGTCGTAAAGTAACACTTTCGTATAGAGCACTATCTTTTACGTAAAACTTACAAAAGGAAATAGTGTAATATGTCTTGAAACACGATTTAAGTGTTCCACATATCCAGAATTTGTGTAACAAAATATTATATAATAATAAAATGTCTGTGTCTTTTAAACACGTGTCCTAAATTTCGTGTATGTTTGTCCACATACTTCTCGGACACTACGTTACTTCTGTCCATTGGAATCTAAATTTGATATTCCTTTGATTTCAAAAATTAAGCTACTAGGTGTATCTACAAAACAATCATAAATTTCATTAAGAAAATATTAAAATAACAAACGCATGGGTATTTTTCTTTGTATGTAATAAGACAGTCAACGATTATGTTTTTTCAATAGGATATTCGTTATTGTCATTTGTCTTAGAAACTTGTACCTCTATTAAACTCGTGTAAGAAGAATGCCGGCTCCCGCTACTCACCTCACAATTCAGTACCTAAAGGTATGGACTCGCTGTTCTAAGAATCAATACGTATATCGTATAAGTCACTCGTATGTATATGAAAGCACAACGCCCTTCTATAATTCAAATCTCCGGAATTAAGAACTTAACTTTGTAGGAAACTAAGAGACTTTATTATTTTGTAGTTGGTTAGTATCCCTATTATTTTAAATCTAACGACCTTTTTCTTCTCCATGCCTTCTCAACGATGAACCACCAACAGATCAAAAAGAAGGCACCTTTACCTGTTTTGATGAGTACCTCATGTTCTTAATAAAAAAGCAATTTCAAGATTTCGTAACTGAAAACTTACCAATACTAACAACCATCCGTTCAATACTCATGACGATAATCTTCATTTTCTCATTGATCTGGTCGAGCTGGTCCATCATAATGTGAACACTGTCTCTTATTGCGTTAAGAGGCTGATGAACAGAGTCACTCAAATGTCTCACGTGCGATTTAACTTGCTCCTATAAAAAGTGAGTGATTTTCGTTGAGTGTATTAAAAATATAACGCTTTTACGTCAATAAATGGTTTTGTTTCTATACACTTGTAGGTCTTGGGTCAATTCACAATAATTATAGTTTATTAATTATTAATGATAAAACGAATGTAGACAAAAAAGATAAGTGAAATAGAACACATGCAACGTGTTTAAAAATCCATTACTTTCTCTTAATCTTAATATATATAATTTACGTGTCACGTTGTTTGTCCGCTATGAACTCCCTAAACTACCGAACCGATATCAACAAATTTGCAGTTTGATCTAACTTAAAAGATAGGATAGCTTACATCTGAATTTATACCCGCAAAATAATTTTATTGCAAAATATGTGTTTATTATTTAATAGTTACAATTCTAACAGATGGCGCTGTGTTGAAAGTACCAACGTTTCACATAAGCTACAATTTAATGGCATAACCACCAATAAACCTTGGTGGTCCCCATGACTGGTGTTCTCCTACCGTTTCCCTTGAATAGTTTACTACTATGTAATATAACAAAAACCTTAGCCACAGCAACGCTTGGCCGGTCTGCTATCTTTTATAAAAAGTCTTGGTAGGCGTTTCAGGCATATCTCGTATATGATAAGGACATATAGTACAGGAGGATATTCTTGAATGCCTAGAAAAGGATCTAAAAGCTATTTATTATACATACGTCACAAAAGTAACATATTGACTTGACTGCTGACACGGTTGCACCATATAATTTTGTTTTACAATCTTATGTGATTATCCGCAGAGACACTTCGACGCATAAATAAAATACTTTATGCTATTCCATGCTGATTGCATTACACACGAATGGCTGTATAAAATTCAATTTTGCACCTACCAGAAGTGCTGTTATTTCATACAGATATTTGTCACAATTTAATGTGAGCGTTAAATACTTTAAACCAATGCAAAGCAACTTGTGTATACATTGAAAAAATAGGTTGACGACTTTATTCCTTAGAACATGACCTATATATTATATGCCACTACATGGAAGAACTAGAGCAGAACGCATTACTTCCATTCCAAGACGATGTTTATGCATTTTCTTTGACCATTAAGCAATACGACACATAAACAATATTATCTTACAAATTACTGAATTTTTTAACAACGTTCTAACAAAACTCAACTTCTTAAACATACCTACTGTTAGTGCTTATTGTAAAATCGTGTATAAGTATATTTTATATAAATAATAAGGTAAATAAACTAATAAATAAGTAAAATTATATCGTATTATTTGTGTTGGTTAACCTTCATTTCAGAACGAGAAGGCAACTGAACCCATTAATCATACAATTGCATGTCTGATAGAATGAGAGCAGACGTTGTAAAGTTAATACGAAATAAAAAGGTAATGAATGCAAAGTAGGGACCGTGGTACATCTTAGCCATTACCTTGAATTGTCTTACATTTCGAGCATTTAAATGCAAGAAACAAATTGGGCAATCACATTATTATTTAATTAAAAACGAGCCCGCTTCCTAACGTTCCTGTTTTGTTGTTTCATTTCAAAACATTTTTGTATTCCAATTTCGGTGCAAACCATTTTGCCTGGTATATAAATGCTTATAAACATATTATATAAATATATATTCAAGTATTTGAAAACTATTGAACATGCTAAAACAGTAACAATATTGCAAATGAATCTCCATATTCATAATACCTGCATTAAAAGCTCACCTGACTGCAAGCCATTGATTCCGTAAGAACCTCCGAGTTCCTGAGGGTGTTGGTAGCGGGGCCCGTCAGGATTAGGATTAAGGCGTAACATGTTAGAGTGTACCTTCCAATGCGCGAGAACAGCTGTGGTATTAGCAGTAACACCAAACACCTGAAGAAAGTAAAATCCGTAATTATCCAGTGTGGCAAATACCTTTGTTTGCTTATGAAAACTAGACGGACATTTGAACGCAATTCCACCTAAGCTGGTAGGTACTCTGTAGCTCCCAATAGCGATAGCGACTACGATCCTCACTTCAATGTTTAGTACGCCATCTCAATGTCATCAGCGCTACATTGAGGGAATTATATCGAAATAACATACAGCATACAAAATTCTTGAAAATCACAGAATACCGGCGCTGGTATTATTGCATGTCTTGGAAGTGTCTTTGCTGCATAAAGAGCCAATGTTCTTTTGGAAGATTGAAGGGGAAAGAATTTCACTTTTTCGCTCTTTTAACATCAATCGACTGTTGTTTTACTACTGATATATCTTCAGGTAGAAGTGTGTACGGTCGTGTTTTATTAGTTTATATGATAGTATGAAGGTAGAATAGTTCCTCCGACCTTAAGGAGGGTTGTTAACCAACAACTTACTGGCCGGCCCGAAGGCTAAGGTCGAGAATTTGTATATATCCTTAGAGGCCGGAATAACTTCGTTAGCACGTTACACAGTATGAGACGTCATTGCACTGTGGTAACTTTGACGCAAGATAATCAAGCCAATCAGTAATAGAAGATTGACAATCCGACATGCCATCTGTTGGTTACGTGGCAGAAGCTGGTGTTTGAGTACCGGGTATAGGAACTGATTATTGTCCCTGGTAATACAGGTCTGTATCGGGTAACAATTAGTTATATATTACTACGCTACAAATGTTACGAAACACCTGTAAAGCGATGTCTGTAAGTGACGATTTCTGTTCTCATACATAGACTGCACTAAAAGTATCGGGAATGGAATAATACGACTGTTCCTGTCATATTTCAATATTTTTAATTGAAAACTACTTTTTTTTAAATCGAATACCATTTATTTTTTAAAAAAAGATTCTCGGTCTTTTCACAAAGTTTTGTCAAACTTGTTTAGTCGTTGAGAAAATGTAATTGACTCGAGAAAATACAAGAGCGATGATATATTATGACTTTCAAAGTGGTTTATCACAAAAACAGTGTGTTGACCGGATGATTTCTGTGATGAAGCCCCATCCAAAACCACAATTTATCGCTGCTTTGCTGAATTTCAACGTGGACGTGTCAAGCTCAGTGATGATCCCCGTCAAGGTCGTCCAAAAACTGCAGTCACCCAAGAAAACGTTGATGCTGTGCGTAAGCTGATTGAGGAAGATCGACATGTGACATACCGCGAAATTCAGGCAACTTTAGACATTGGCATGAGTCAAATACAAATAATCTTGCATGAACAATTAGGTGTAAAAAAGTTGATTTCCCGATGGATACCGCATTCGCTCTGTGAAGAGCAAAAAGCGGCTCGCGTTACTTGGTGCGTCAGAACTCTTGAAAGATTCCACGCAGGATCCTCAAATGCTGTATACAACATCGTATCAGGTGACGAATCCTGGATATACGCGGACGAACCCGAAACAAAAACCCAGTCACGAGTTTGGGTGTTCGAAAATGAGTTAAAGCCAACGAAAATTGTTCATTCACGGAGTGTTGAAAAAAAAAAATGGTGGCCACGTTTGTCTCCAAAACCGCCATGTTGCGACTTTTCCTCTTGAGGGACAAAGAACGGTTAATGCAGAATGTTATGCTAGCATTTGTTTGCCACAGGTCATTTCTGAACTCCGTAAAGAGAACTGCAACCGCCGCATCATCCTCCATCACGACAATGCCAGTTCTCACGCCGCGCACAGAACAAAAGAGTTTTTAGAGCAAGAAAACATAGAATTATTAGACCATCCGCCGTACAGCCCCGACCTAAGCCCTAATGATTTCTATACTTTCCCTAAAATAAAGAATAAATTGCATGGTCAGAGATTTTCATCACCTGAAGAAGCTGTGGACGCCTACAAAACGGCCATTTTGGAGACCCCAACTTCCGAATGGAATGGTTGCTTCAATGATTGGTTCCATCGTATGAAAAATGTGTCAAATTTCGCGGAGAATACTTCGAAAAGCAATAAATACATTTTTTAAAAGTAATGTTGTGTCACTTCCTTGATTCCCGAAATTTTCAGTGCCGCCCTCGTAAATCCAAGAAATGCAAATGGTGCATGAGTCTTTACGCATGATCAGCCAAAGCAAACCTTGCGTATTGAGATATTTTAAAATTATCTTACGAATTCAGAGGCTTCATTCTGAGGCCATGTACATATAAAACCATGAAGTAAATGATACTCTTATTTTAGTTTTCGCTTTGCCCCTAAGTTCCTGGGGCGAAGGAAAATAAAACGAAGGTATCAGCGAGCCGTCATCATAACAAGGTGAGTACAGTTGTTTTATAAAACACTACCATCTATAAATTACTCAGAATAAATGCATACAAATAGAGGCAAACATCGTTGTTATAAAAACAGAATTTACCTTATTCGATTACTGAACGCCAGGCCAAGTGTTAGTAGGAGTCCAATAATAGAACTCATTATAATGGCATGCACTAGCGATATTGACAATTGGCACACAAAGAATATAAAGCAGAGATATGTTAACAACATCCCACCGACAAAACCGACACAATTTCTCAATAAACAGTTGGGAATCGTTTGGTCTGCGCATTTAAGTGAAATGTGACTTAGATCATATATACGACGCTTTGCTTCGTACATCTGACATCTTACACGGGATGCTTCTGGCATAGTTCTGGTTTTCGAGTAGGATGAAGTATTAATTTTTTCATTGTATTCTTGCCGGTAATTTTCTATCATTCTTGCCTTCCACATCGCAGCAAAGTGTGATATTTTGTCGTTTTGGTATGAGTACCATAATTCATAATTGAGTTTTTATAATAATAAATTGCACATATTGTTTATTACACATTTTATTTTTAAATTACTACTGTCATGCACGTTGCGATATACCTAACGAAAGTTTTTTGTCAATCTGTCGGAATTGATTGTGTTTTTTTTCCGGTTTGTTACTGGCCAGTAACGAATAGACTACCTACTTAATATAAATACTCTATGTTTATTGTTAATAATATCCCAATCAACATTGTTTAAGATTATTAAGCCCATAAAGTATAAACACAGCATAAGTATTACGTAAGTAGTTTTATAAAATAATTTTAGAAATAGTGTCATCCAAAACATTTCTCAACTAAGTTCGTTCGCTGTATTCATCAATGCAAGACGCGCCTTTATAGTAACAAGAATGTTCTCCATTAAGAATGCCTAATCAATTTGTTGATCTCTTTTAATTTTAGACGAACTACTAAATTTCGCAGTACGAGTAAAGCCAAGTTGTTTTCAAGTTCATTGACTTAACTCAATTACCGATAGGGTAATTTATATGTAATTTGTCTCTAGTCGGCCGGCCCGGCCGGTCTTCTGCGCAAGGGTTCATTCATGAAACATGCGCAGAACACTGCATTGCAACAAAATCAACTTCACATCGAAACAGTTCTTGCTACATTGCGTTCGTATCCTAATAAATCCTTAAAAATGCGCTAAGCTCGTTTTAGTGCGTGATTCGATCGACTTTAAAGAATAATTTGTGAAAATGTGCAGATGATCAGTTTAGCTACCAACTTAGTTGATAAGTGTCAATCAGCGCTCCATTGATAAAATCACGTAAGTAGGTACTTATATACGTACCATTAATGCAATAAAATTTCCAGATGTTTCAATTTTGATTTTCAGTAGGTATGTACATTTTAACAATTACACGTCCTATGTATTTTTTTGTTTAATTGGTTAGTTCGATATTAAATGAAACGATAATCATTATGCACTTCAAATTTATGTCCAAAATATCTGTAGATAACGTAAAGAATAATTAACATTTTCATTGTTCTACATAAAATTTTCCTTATACTATAAGTTCAAACTGATTTTATAGTACATTTTTATAATTGAACCGCTATTAACGTTTGCTTAGAGTACCCAATATAGATTTGGAATCCTTGATTTTCTACATAGAAAAATTCGTTGACAGAATTAAATAAAATTAGTATCTATCTAAATATCATATGATATGTACCTATGAAATATGAATAAAATAGATTGATTTGACAAATTTATTACTTAGTATAGAACTATTAATTTACTGCAAATAGGTAGGTACTATGTATAAAATGTTTACCGCATTGTATATTGTATGTGATCGTGATCAATTGTGTTTGGTCATGAAGTTTCCATTACTATTTATTTTATTACCTTTGTTTTTTCTCTTGGCTACTTCATGTACTGTTGTTTATTAAAATTGTCTGTAGATTTGAATATATTTCTGTATTTAAAATGGTTTTCATACTAGCTGTAAGCTGTTTATCGTTTATCATGCAAGTTTGACCACTCTATATTTTTACATTCCAGTGCTGAGTCGAAATTTGCCGGGAATGTTTAAATATAATAACTAAAATATATTATTAAAAGGAGTCGCTTTAGGCAAGGTTCCAAAGATACTGGCAGCGGTTCCCCTTTTAATAGCTAGACTAAATCTTTGTCCGAGGTAGCTGCCAGCTCTTCGGTCTCCTGTGATGAAGGTCCTCGACACCGAATGGGATAAAATCATATTCGGAGCCTAGACCCCTGTATTTGCATGCTTTAGCTTTTTCAGTCGCTTTTTTTTCAAAACTCAAGGAGACATTATAATCTATGTCACTATGTGACATTTGACTAATGTTAGTTGCATAAATTATGTAATAATATGACAGATTAGTAAATCGTATTTGTTTTCGTTTTTAAAATTCAAAACGTAAGAAATTTTGGCTCGAACTTAAGTGCTGTGCAATTAAATAATTATTATTAATCGTCTAATTGTAAAGTGTATAATAATTATTACCGCGTTAAAATGAGGTAATATTGACGCTTAAAACTCTTTTTAAAGCATAAGTCATACTAAAAAAAAAATACGAATTGTTTTATTTAAATTAGTGTATTTCAAGCATACATAACTATTTAAATTAGTTTAAATATATTATATATTAAAATAAAAATGTCTGTCCTTTTGTTGATATAGCTAGTCTAGATACAGCTTGTGCCAACTACTACATACTTATTGATGGGACAGTTTACTTAAAATTTAAAAAAGACAACACTCAAATTACAATACAAATAAAAAAATGACTACAACTTAGTTCTTATAAAAAAACAATTTATTTTTTTATATATTCACACTTTGTTGCAATAATAATAAAAGAAACAAATAACACAATACATAAAAATTGTAAGGGATGCAACGGGCGGCCTTATCGCTAATAAGCGATCTCTTCCAGGCAACCCTAGTAAGAAAAAAACTAAAAAAAAGAAACGCAATGAGTGCAAGAAGTGCAGAACCAAATGCAATCATTAAGTATTTGAGCTAAATATTTTTTTTAAATATAATATTTTGTTAATATTTAAAATTTAAATGCTATCAACAGTATTCATTGTTTTTTAACAATCCTTATATATGGACTGATTGAATAAAATTATATAACATAATACATTTTATTGTCTATATATTTAAATAATATACAGACAAAGAAATGATGTTGACCCTTTTTTCTACGTTATAACACATTATGAAAACAACTTTGTTCTCACAGATTATGGACAACGAGCAGCCCCACCAAGAGTTGGTGAAATGTGTGGTGGTGGGAGACACTGCTGTGGGAAAGACCAGACTTATATGTGCAAGGGCCTGCAACAAACATGTATCCCTATCACAGCTCATGACAACACATGTACCAACTGTATGGGCGATTGATCAATATAGGATTTACAAGGATGTAAGCGGAGAGATAATTGTTATGTTACTTGTGGGAACAATCACTAACTAATCTTAACTATTTTATATTTGTTTTTGTTTTATGTATTCAAGATATAAGTAACTAGTTAACAGAATTGTTATTTATATTCTATTTCAGAGTTTAGTCTGTAAAATAATGAGCTAATGTATATGATATTGCACTTTAATATTATGCAAATTAACATGATCTATGAAATTGTAGGTACTAGAAAGATCTTGGGAGGTTGTTGATGGTGTGAATGTTTCATTGAGACTATGGGATACCTTTGGAGATCACGAGAAGGACCGAAGATTTGCCTATGGACGGTAAGCAATAACCAATATTTACTACAGTTATATATGTATATTTATTGTACAAATAATTTACGAGGCAATCTTGTGATTTTGTTTGAGTTCAAACATTGAGCACACTAAAGAATGTAGAGCTGTGAAAATATGGAAATTCATTTTGATCTTTAACAATAATACAGATGGGCAAGTTGTTTGTCTAATAGATCATTTAGAAGAGAATTTCGATGGTTTTAATAGTTAGTACTTTTATAAGAGTCATAAAAATAATTATTACTTAATTTATAAATAAAACATGTTAAAATACGGATGACGGATTACAGTTCATAATTCTTCAACAGAAAATATTACAACCAGTAGAAAACAATAGCTTTTCCTTATATATGTCTCTCAACTTTATTACAAAATAACTGACCTTCCCTTTCCGATACGTAATTATACTAATGCATTTCATGCTGTAGCTTGGGTATATTTTTTTTTAACAAATAATACACTGTGAGGTATCAGACTTTAAGTAAGTCGTATATACTACTTACAGAATTAGCAATAAGTCTTGATCCTGAATCTTACTATGTATAAATACATTTTAAAATTAACATAAGTACCACTTGTATAGTGGCGTACGAAATATTTAGTGAAATTTTGACTTCCTGCGTAATGTATAATGTTCGCCTATATTTTTGTTATGACCTTAGTATGCAAGCCATATAGTGTTGCGATGGCATTTTTATCATTACGTCTAACCCTATTACATACATGAGACGAATAAGAGAATTGTGTATTTCCGTATAGTGATAAAGTATATAGATATTAATTATTGCACTTAGAATGTGTTTGAGATTACCATAGACATCTCAATTTGATCTGCTTCTTTGGCGGTATTTACATTTTAATTTAATATTTATTTCTTTGAAGTTGATAGTGAGGTACTACAACCTCTTATGATTCTTCGCCTTAAATTAATAAGGCCCCTGTTATAATAATAATTTGTCGACACGAACTGTCATTTTTCATACAAATTTAGTTTTCGACTTTCTGCATACACTACTGCTAAGACACCTTGACTAAGCCCTCAGTACTCTGTTACTCTTAATCTAAATCAGCGCTATATTGAGGAAACTACATTGAAATTGCATACAAACACGTCGCGATCGGTATCGCTATCGCTATTATTACAGATTACCAGCACTGTTGTCTCTTAAAGGCAAGTAGCTGATAAGCCCTCTATGCCAGATACACGAAGGATTAGAAGGCTGCTCGGGGCTTGAATGTACGACCTCAGGGTTGATAATCACACGCTTAACTAACAGATAATGTAAATATTGGGAGCTACCTATATAGTAGACTGTATAGACTCCGCTCCTTATATAGTCTTTATAAATATACCCTTTATGGCACGTACCATTTGCAAGATACAAAAAAATCGTGTTGCAACCAGCGAACTCTCTTCCAGGCTACGCTTACAACAAAGAAACTGTTGCTAAGTAGTGCTGGAGTGTGAAACTCTTATTATAAAATTTTAAAGAACACTCTGTGAACACACTGTACATAGAAGTTTAGAATGCGATTAGAATACCTGGAAATTGCTGACGCTATCATTTTTGACGGTCGCGCAACTACTAACAAAAGCCTACGTAAACACAAATACCGGCTTAGGGTATTATGTACACAATATATAAAAACTATAATACATATTTTTAACCGCAAACTATGACACAGTGGTATATGGGTATTTATTTTAGACAGTTGTATACATATAACGCTTATCCAAGTTTATTTTAATCATTATTAAAGTAAGGGCTTAGTGCGTTTGAATCACGGTTGTGAACCAATTTTCTGTCTACGTGCGCAATAAGCACTTAATTCGATGAAGGCAAACATTGTGAGCTATTCTAACCCAAAAATGGATGACGTGTGTCGGACACGGCTGCATTTACTTGTCTATAAAATAATTGACGAAACGGCTGACGGAAACGGAAACTGAGTTGTAGAGCCAGTGGATTTTTTTAAATTAATAAGATCATGTAATGTTATAGATCTTCAATTGTTTCTCAGGTCGGATGTGGTCCTCCTCTGCTTCTCTATTACAAATCCAATATCTCTAAGAAACTGTGGTGCAATGTGGTACCCGGAGATACGGTAAGTGGTACTCCCTTATGAAGAAGGAATATTTAGAAAGGTGTACCTACGTGTACAAGCGAAGGCTGTACTTTACTCACTGATCTTTATATATATACATAAATCTTTGGAGGCACGCCTCGAGAATATATCAGGCACTCTCCTAAGCATTTTATTTCAGAGCGCTAAATTATTTTACATTAAATATTTTATTTAATTGTAATAATAATTGTTGAAAATTACATTTTATATTATTTAAAGCATCTAACACAGGATACATATTTTGGTCCTTCGAGCCGGACGTGAACCAGCGACCTATAGATACTCATTATTTTATGTCTTGTGTCCCAATGGTATATCATAGTACGCAACAATAAAAAACATAAATCAATCTAAACGTGTTTATCTAAAGTACTCTTTCATCTTATTCTGACAAATTGAGTTATGCTGTGTCGAAAAGAAACAGACTTTTATTATATAGACTGCAAAACGCTGCAATTAGACTAGTTTGTTATGAATAAGAGAAATTGGCTTTCAACCTTATTGCTGATGGTATCCTTTAGTTGTAGGCAACATGTATTTGACGCTTTCTATTCACAATCATGTTTTAGTATTTACAAGCAATGTTGAGGAGGTGATCCATACATGATAATTCAGAATTATAATATTTTCAGGCGGTTTTGTCCGAATACACCTGTTCTTTTGGTGGGATGTAAGAATGATCTGCGCTACATGTATAGAGATGAGACATATTTGAACTACTGCAAGGACAGAAGTCCCTTTATAAGGTATAGGCATTTTTGAAAATAAATATACTATATGTCAGTCAGGGACATTCCAGTAGCCCTTTTTTATAATATATAGTGTAGTTTATATAAAAAATACACATTTACATTTATTTCAATTAACAAATACTATGCGATATAATTCTCTAAATGTTTTACATAAATTTTTGTAAATTCACATATGGACGATTAAAATTATAGAAAGAATACTAAAATCTTAACGGGCAAGGACGAAAGCCTTTTGTGCTTTCAAAATCAAATAGTGTTATTGAACTGATTAAGTTCACCCAACAATATAATTTTTTTATCACTAGCTTAACCATGGCTTCTAAAATTAAAAAAAAATATTTCTTAAATTTAAATGGTTTTATTGAAAACAAAGAATAAAATATTGTAAACAATGTACTGAAAGTTTAAAAATAATTCGGTTGGAGGGCATTGCTCTGACAAAAAGATTAAATCATTAAAACAGGTCAAGCTAAAACCGTTTAAAAATGTTTTGCCTAACCCCAAAATGCAAATACTCTTTTAAGATGTTTTCAAACTTATGGTAGAGCTTCATGCCTCTACTTCCAGGGCACCGCGAAAAAGCGACCTAGTAATGCCGGATCAGGGCCGGGCGTTAGCTCGCGATTTCGGTATCTACTACTACGAGACCTCCGTCTTTACATACTACGGTGTTAACGAGGTGTTTGAGAATGCTATTCGAGCTGCATTAATCGCGAGGAGACAGCAACGCTTCTGGATGACCAATCTTAAGAGGGTACAACGGCCGCTGTTGCAGGTATCTAGCAATAAAATTTGGGGATCTTTCATTTTTAGCGGCATATTACAAACCAGAAAAAAATGGTTTATTTGATTACAGAAAAAAAAACTATTTTGTTAACGGAATAAGTATTTTTTATAGTAAAAATAGCTGATCCAACAAACGTTGTTTTGCCATGTATATTATTTCTAATAAACATTGTTTTAGTTCACTAAAAATAAATATCTGCTATAATAAAAAATAGGGGTTTATCGTAGTGGGGTGAAAATAAAGGGTTGTATGTATTTTTGTATGTTGTATCATAACAATAAAAAAAAAAAAATTTTTTGGATGGACACCCCTTATCACTTAAGGGTTTGAAAGATAGGTAGTAGCCGATTCGTAGACTTGCTGAATATGCATAAAAAAATTCATAGACTCGGTCGAGCTGTTTCGGAGGAGTATGGGAACGAACATTGTGACACGAGAATTTTATATATTTATTAGACTGTGCAAACCTTTACTGAAACACAGTAATAATAAACTTATAATTATCCTGAATTAATACTCTAAATTTTGCGGTAAAAAATAAGTCTTAAGGAATTAAGGACGAAAAAAAGCTTAAAAATAATCCAAGTCTTGTACTTATCATCTTCTGAAGTCTCTGTCTTCCTTATATATTTTTGTAGAATTTGGTAGGTTGGTAAGTAGACAGTTACTGTAGACATTTCATAGATTATCCATACATACATTTGGCAATACATTAAGTTCGAATGAAATCGGAAATAAATTTTATTTGATTCGAAACACAAGCGGATCGGTGCTCAAGTTTTGCATACAAACAATTATTTTATGTGAACTTTTTGAATTTATTTATAAATCGTGTTTATACAACATACTCTAATTAATGTTTCAGGCTCCATTCCGACCACCTCGGCCTTTAGAGCCAGAGGTGACGATTGTCAGTAGTGTGTACCTTGAGGATATGACGACGCTACTACGACAGCAGGTGACTTATATTCAAAACCTTTGTTAGGCACAGAAGGCTGATTTTATAACTTTATATTTTGTATAAAAATTTGCTTCTGAACTTCATACATACTTACTATCGCTAGGTAAAAATCTGTGATTGGCCAAAAATATAACCCGTGAATGTATAAATTCATCAATAATTTAAAAAAAAAGTTTTAAGTGGTCCTAGAAAGAAAAGTGGAAGAAATGGTCTTAAGAAAAATACGCAATGCTGTTTCGGATTGTAATTAAGAGACCATCAATTTAAAAAAAACAAAGGAGTTTATCAATTCTCGACTTATTTTTTTTTTCTTTTTTCCTAAGTATATGTTTTTTTTGTATGACAGTACTTTTCGGATATGGTGATAATCTGTGGCGCGAAGGGATTTCCGGTACATCGAGCGCTGCTGGCAGCCGCTTGTGAAGTTTTCCGCGGGCTTCTTACAACCCACTGCGCTGCTGACCTACCACGCAGCTCCAGCGAAAGTAGCATGGTATATTATCACTTTATAATCTGCCTTTTCACAGATTAATACTCTCATCATCATCAGTCAAAATCATTTATCCATATAGGTACCCTTATGAACCTCAAAAAATATATATTAATGTAATTAAAGGAAGCTACTTTCAGAGCATAATATGTATATATATATATATACAGTGGTACCTCGATATACGAGTGGGAATAATTATTATTATATTAGGGAATATTAAGATACGAGAAATCGCATACTGCACACTATACTAACAGTTTCTCCCACCTTAGACTAGAGCTCAGTCTGTTTACATGTTTCCCTGGTTTTGGAAGCATTTTTGATAAGTTGGGTTCGCGTTTTTTGCTTTTTGTACATTTACAACTGAAGTGGTGTACTGGGAACTGAAGGGATTAAAGGCATTTCAATGCATTTCGATGGAGAAAATGGCTTTGAATTGAACTCGTATGACGAGACACCACTGTATAGAGAATTACATAGTTATAAAAGTTACGTAATTATAGACCAAACTATATATACATATTATAGAGGTGTTTTTTTTTTTTTTTTCAAAAAATTTCAGGTAAGCAGTATGGGTGAGGCAACCACGGGTGACTTCAACGAGGACACAGAATATTTGATCAGACAAGACCAAGCGAAACAAACGAGGTAAGTTTCATATTAGACAGATAATTTTTTTTTATTCCCAAGAAGTAAAGAGTATTCCATTCACAATTGTATTTGTACACCTTAATTCATATCAAGCAACTGAAAAGGACAAAACCATTTGAATTTGTAAATTAGTGTTAGTGCACGTTAGTACACACTTAGTAAAGACACATGTATAAAAAATTATATCAGAATCGAATTATGAAATAGTTATAATATATATATAATATGTTTATAATTTGTTGTTAGTTAAATGCAGAGAACCTAGTGGCTAAATGGACACTTTTTTTAATCAATGAAGGAAAACATCGAAAGGAAACCAGTATGGTGTTTCTACACTTTTTTTTTCATTGAAAATACTCTTATGTGGTCTTCACCCAGGCTAACTACCAATCGCCCTAGGCGGGATGCGGTAACAGCAGAGCCCTATCCGCTTAAGATTCTGTAGAAAAAAAAGTGTTAGTGGTTAGATATTTAATAATATTATTTTCTTCTTTATCAGCATTTTATAACTCTAGGTATATATCCCCTTTAAGATTTAAATTAAGTGATAAATGTAGGGTATGGGAACAAATTAAGCGTCGTTCGTCGTGTCAGCTCGTGGGAGAAGCGCGGCCTGACGTATGCAGACGCGTACACCATCCAGCCATACTTTCGCTTAAGATTGTTCGGGTAAGTAAATTAATAAATAGTATGAAAGTATCGAATATCAGCTTAATCTAAAATTTATTTTTATTACAACGAAACACACGTGCGTGTACTTATGTACGCGCGTAAAAAGTTATACTTCTTTGGCTTTCTTTATTTTTTTTTAAATATTAAATAATTAATATTTAACGTTAAAATTTAATAATATTTAATATTTCGTTTATTATTCAATTATTAATTAATATTAATAATTATTATTATTTATTATTTTATTATATTATTCATTCAATTTAATAACTAGGTATGTTTCATAACCTTTTAACTAAGTAACAAAACAAAAGTTGTGAAAAAGCATTGCTAAATTTCTTTGAAAAAATTATTAAAACTCCTTTATTTGTTTAAAAGGTACTACAAATGTCATTATGGTCATTCAAAATTCTTGGCATAGCTGCTAACTTCACGCATATTCTATTTCTTTTTACTTGTAGATGGTCTTATTCCCATCGGTTTAAAAAGAATTCGTTAGTGGGCAACTTCATACTGATAATTTTGTGTCACGGTGCGCGCGCAGCGTAAAATTTCACTCTCATAAATTTTTCATAACGCGCCTAAAGTATAACTACAATAACAAAAAAATATGGAAAGAAAAAAAAGCAAAAGGTACATTTTAAGTGTGTAATGTGTGAGTGTGTTGTGGTTGTTATTGACCCAGGCTCAGCATTATGCTGTAGAGCAGACGCGCTGGTGGAAATAAATAGTCAAGATGTTTCCTTTCTGATCAGGACGCTACAGAAAAATCTTACAAACGACGTTCGCCTCAAATCTACAATTTATTCTGGTACAAATTTAAGCGAAGACAACAAAAAAAAATGCACTCATAGTTAACTCGACTTAGTCTTAGGCATCAAGAATGATACATAAAATTGTCTTTGTCCTAATATTGAATAAACACTAGCCTTAACCTTTAACATTAGCCGTTTGTATAAGGTATTTAGAATTCAATAAATAATGGATGCTAATTAAATATTGATTAATCAGGTATCGCAAAATGTACCTAATGAAACCCTTAAGAAAGTCAAATTGTTAAAAATTCTTCATCACTAATAGCCAAGGCATTTTTGCTCACCCATGAGTATGAGACGCAAGCATTTTCGTAATAATTTTATAAGCATAAGGCATGTAATAATTAGTGTTTTAGACTACTTCATTATTTAGCATTCAATATCCTTTATGATATAGCGATTAAGGAACTAGTTTATATATCTATATATAACAGTTAGATCGCTAATTTTATTTACTGAATTACTGAGGACAATATGAGGAAACGCACAACGATACAGCTCCGTTTATTGCAATAAAAGTTAACGAAAATACCAACATATTAATGAAATTCTATTGGTTATGAAAATTCCCAAGGTCGACCATTGAACTTAGGTCATTGGACGGCCTTACGTGCGCATGTGTGTGTGAGCCGATCCACCAATCACGAGTCTAGCGCTTGATAGTACGTGGGTCATGTCATGTGGTCTCATGATGGCATGAGCCTCTGCCTCATTAAGACCGAGCTAGCCGATGAACTGGTTACAGTATGACCCAGGAACCACAATCATTATGATTTAATATATGTAATTCCAGTGCGAAAAAATTCAGCATGCTACATCCCAAACGCAGACAATAGTAACGATGAGCAAGTTGATATCATCTAGTGTGATGCAGGAAGTCATCAATTTCATATACACTGGTGCCATTCACGCAGCTGCCTTCAAACAACAGGTATTTATGATATATTTATTTTATTTTTAAATAATAAGCAAAGGAATTGATTGGCTTCTTTGATGCTCTAAAGGCTTGGGACACACTTGGTTTTTAACTGGAATTAAAAAGTGTATTTATTATATTTTAAGATATGGAGTTCACGGTTGCTTGTATTATTTTTAGTTATAAGATGCAGGTATATAATTTTTATAGTATATTTAATTGTAGAATTATCCAGGTGTTATTATGTAGTTCTATCGCAAAGTTAATTACTATAAGATAATAATTATGTAGAAAGATAACAACATTAAAAGTGTTATAGTACTTATAATCATTTGGTTCGAAAAATATTGGTTACCTGTAAAGTTTTCCGGGTGTTTCGAATGTCGGTATTTTTGTAGATTCTAATGTGCTTGTGGCTAAAATTCGTGATGAGAGATACTTTGAGATGCCAAAATTATTGACTTTATGAAAAAATTTAATACATAAATTGTAGGTAATTGTTTGGTTTCATTTTATATATAACTTTTTTTATCGTAAAATGAGTCGGTAATTAGTTTGTCAAAAAACTGCTATATGACGCCGTTTTTTCAATATGGCGGCGAAAGCGGCAAATATACGAGGTGGCATTTGGAAAGAGCACATCAAAATCTATTTAATTACCAATTACGAAAACTCATGGAAAACTTTCAAGGTAAAACTACCAAATTACTGTAATTATTAATGCAAAAATAATGATGTCTCTGTTATGGCAGGAGTCATTTTACTTTCCAAGGAGCATGATCAGTAATATGAATGCTTTAGTAGAGCATGACTGGTTGATACTGACACAAATACATGTATCAAAATTTTAGAAATGTATTAATTTTTGTGTACATTTATGTTTAAAAGTATGATTAAAATAACAAACATAATACGTGGCTTAGACGTTTTTTCAAAACGACTCCTTTATATTTTTAATAATTACCTCTAGTGTGCCTCAGCCTTTAGCTTGTTTTAGTAGATAGAACCTCCCAATACTGAGTCAAATTTATTGCTGCTTTATACACAAAGCTTCATTATGTTATTCTATGTATTTAAGCTTTCGATAATTCAAAATTTAATAAATATAATAATAAATTAATAATATTTCCTGCAGTCCGGTGCTATTGGATTATTACTGGTAATTGTTATTATTAAATAAATCATAATAATTATTAATTTTACATTATTATTTATTTTATTATCACATTAGCTTTTATTTGGATATTTTTTGCTTTTTACACATGTTTTCTATCGAACATGCATGGGTGTGTAGATAATATAAAACATTTTCTTATTTTAATATTATTAATAATTATCATTCGTATTTTATACTTAAATAAAATACATTTTTATCAACATTTATTATAAAAAGTTATACCTGTTAAAAGCCAACGAAACTGTATTTTATTTGTGTGCATTTATTATATAATACTATTAAGAACATTTTTATCCCTACTATAATGAAATAAATATGTACGCCCACAGCGAACGCACCGGTCGTACGCACGCAACGCAACAATACGTACACTTTTAACGTAAATTCTATACAAAATATGAGTAGAGTAAGCTCCATATACGAACTTAGAACTTATAAACGAAAGTATAATCGGTTGTTTCTAAATATATGCTTCGTAAAAAAACACAGTTGTATGGCAGTGTCCACGCTGTCAATAAATGAAAATTAATAATAATAACTCTTTATATTAAGTATAGATTCATTTATTAAACCATGGAAACGCCAGTGGGTAGGGTACAAGGTATATGACAAATGGTAGTAGTTATACGAAAAACTTGTGTTTAAAGTTTGATAGAAATAAAAATATTTTGCACGATTTCATAGTTTCCTGTTAATACAGCTAAAGGGTGGAACTCCTTGCGGGTTCAGAAAGAGTATAACATTGGCTCTTTCAAGCGTCGATTGCAGCTCCTGAACAGGGGTGCTCTCCAATAAGCATCTCACTTAATATCAAACGGAAAGCGTGCAAACATTCCTATACCAATATACGTACAGACAATGCAACTACATATAACAAAACTATATGTTTAGTTTAGTTTAGACAGTTGTTAAGACGTCCGTTTAAGAAAATATATTTGTGAGGGGAATTCCTTACTACGATAATTTGTGGAAAGACAAAAAATATCTAAGAAATATTACTATAAAATATAAATATAACATTCCATTCTCGCAGTTACACCGAGCTCTTAAGGTGCGCTTACACGGGCAACTAAAATTGCTCAATTCCAGTCAATACTCGTCAACTATGACGTCACGACTACATCAAGCAATTTATGGCAACGGCAACAAGCATCAATACTGCGCAATACAATATTGAGCGATATGGCGCAACTTCATCAACTAGACAATACTGTCCTACACGAGCAATTCAGTATTCGCTCGACATTCTTCTTGCTGCGGCGGCTTGTAGTTCTTTCTTCATTATTAATCAAAAGCAAAAAAGATAGAAAAGGAATAGGCATATCTGGGTGCGATCGTTTTTGGCCGCAATTTTCATTGTGTAAATAATTAGATGATATATTATTCAAAAACTAGGAAGGAATTTCCAAGTCCATTGGATATTCGTCAATTCGTATCTGCGACATTGAGCGATATATCTGGAGCAATTAGAAGCAATATTGCCGAAATAATTTATTGAAATTTATTAAATTTATTGAAATTGCTCCAGATCGGTCCATTCGTGTCGCCGAGCAATTATTGCCCTCGTGTAAGCGCACCTTTAAGCTATGTTGGAACATGAAGGAGAAATATATTTTTTTTATAACAAGTTTGTTGTGTAAAAACAGGAAATACGTCAAGCGGCCGAGTTGCTGGGATTTCCTGAACTGACCAAACTGTGTCAGTTCATATTAGACCAACATCTGCTGTTTGATAAAGGATTCATGTTGCAGTTTCACACGGTAATAAAATACATAATAATTGTAATTTTTTTTTTAAACCAAGATAGGTTTCCTTTAGACAACGAAACGTTTAGACCATAGATCTATCGATTGACGATTTGGATCGTTTTGGAACTATTTTATACTGGGTTATTTATTAACCCACTTAAACAGATATATATGTATACTGAAGAAGTTGGAAAGCTATTTACATAGATATGAATTTAACCGAACAATACCATTGTGTGTCTAAATTAAATCAGTCTCTCTTATTTATTTTCCAAATTTTTTATTAATTTATCTTATAATTTATAATATTAAGTATGAAGATTACTGTCGAATTATAATGAAAAATAAAGTTAATTTACCACAGCATTGACCTCAAATCATTCAAAAGTATGGCCCTATAAATATATTAATAAAATGAGTATTTCTATATAGCCTCTTCCGGGGCGGGTAGGAGAGGCCCTAGAGCGCGGCTGGTTCGCTGACGTGTCTTTCGAGTTGGACGATGGGTTGCAGCTGGCGCACCGTGCACTGCTCATGGCACGGTGTGACCCTATGAAGGCCATGTTCCATGGACATTTTAAAGAGAGCACTTCACGACTGGTAATATAAAAGTTCCTAACTACTTTTGCCATAGGAAAGTAATCCATTAAGGGTCTGTTTCACAATGTACGGATAAGTTCTACATTAGTTCCAAATAAGCTATTTATTACTTATTGTTAGGATAAACACTATTGTTGCGTCTCACGACTGTCAGATAGCGCTATTCGTCACATAAAGTCCATCATAAGTTATGAGTACGATGAAGTGTCAAATATCACAATTTATCCTCCAAACAATTTATGTGTTGCATAGCTATTTGGTACTTTATCCATACATTGTGAAACAGACCCTAAGAATCTCTAATAATTATTATAATTTTTAGTATGTTATTTTCAAAAATCAACCAATTTTATTATACAATATACATGTTTCCTCCAGAAGTACGTGGTTGCCCATATCATAAAAATTGTTGAATCTATTCATAAACATTGATGGCCCGATGGGAAACTATAACACCACTGGATTTGGCATAGCACAAATAGTTTTACTTAGAAGACACGGGGTTAGGCCAACATTCTTCTTTTTGCATTATAACTTTAAGATAAAAAAAACTTATGTATCGGCCGACTAAATTCTTTCAAAAAAATTTAAAAACTATTACAGTGATACAGGTATTAATTTAAAATTATTTTTTCAGATCACATTTCCAGGTGTAAAAATGTACGCATTTCATATCCTGCTGTGCTACATCTATTCGGACAAGATACCTCCAGTTGAGCCCACCAGGTGTCTGGAACTGCTGGAGCTGGCAAATAGACTTTGTATGGACCGACTGGTCACTTTGGTGGAAGCTAGGGTTATCGACCATTTGCAGCATCAAGATAGGTGAGCGTGAATATTTTATTTGGCCGTCTTCCAGACCTTTTTTGCGTTAAGGGTCGGAATCTGGGTTACACTCCCGAACTATCTTCGCGTTCTTTAAGTATTATGATGCTCACAAAACGCTTTAAAATTGTTCCATCCGTTATGTTTGATTATGCCGAGCGCAACCTTCCGCGATCACATTTGATGCTCAAAAGAAAAATGGTTATATCAATTTTATTCCTGTCAACGTTATATTTTAAGTAATATAGTCATCGGGGCATCGTTTTATTCTAAACTGTGCTTTCAGAGTTGGGGACGACGATCAAGTTGTTGAGATTGCACTATCTCTGTTGGAGCCTGTTAAGGTAAACCATAATAATATATAGAAAACAATTTAAAAAATTTGTTGAAACTGTTATGCCCGCCTTCCACTGCGAGCGGAACGGACCCATTACGGACTCCGCTATACTCGTAAAGATGATTTACATATATGTACTTCCACCAAAGCGGAGACGAGCGCAGCGGAGAGAGCGAGTTGAAAGAGTCACATATGAGGTTAGCCAGTTGACCGAGTGTCCCACGGAAATGAAAATGTATGAAAATCATCGTTACGAGTATAGCGGAGTCCGTAATGGGTCCGTTCCGCTCGCAGTGGAAGGCGGGCATTAGCTAAGTTGCAGTTTACGTTATAGAATTGAGTTTTCAAGTTTAGTGGGCAAACATACTTCCATCTCTGCATAATAATAATAAAATATAATGTAGGAAAAGAAAACAATATTTCAGTTACACAACGCCCATAACCTGTGGTCGTGGTGTCGTTGGCGCCTGTGTGCCGCGTACGACCGCGTGTGTCGCGCACGTCACCTCAGTGTCGCTGCACGGGAATACCTAGCTGATAACCGTTGGCCTCCCGTTTGGTGAGATTTCTATAATTCTTTTTTATTTATGGTTTTCCGAGATGAACCGGGGAATTTCGTATCACCTACGTATATTTGCTATAAATAATCGATATATAATCAAGCGACAAATTTTTCAAGCCACCGTATAAACCTTCCCTGAGCTTCTACAAATATATCAAGATCATAATTAGCCAGATCGGTCCAGCCACAAACGAACAACAATCCTTTTCTCTTTGTCTTTAACTATGTGATGTGTGCTTAAAAAAGTAAGGTCTAGTCTTCCAATACTTGACTAGTATTGGTAAACTTGATCAGCGTATTTGAAACTAATACGTCGTACAAATAAATCCTGTTGATGTACGCGAATACTAAAAAAAACCTGGCACCCATGCTTGCATTAATGCGCGCCAAACATAAACAGATTAATAAATATAGTCTTCATTGACAATCTCGTTAAGTTACTAATTACGCGTTATAGTTAATATTATTTTCTAGACTTTCCAGTACTATACACCACATAATGGAAACTTTTAGGTATAAAGGAGCCACTGGGTGGTCACGAAATGTTTTACTTTTGGGTACAGAAAAACGTTACGGCGCGTTACATGTGTGGGGGGGGGGGGTCAATAATCTCCAAAAATTTAGTTAAAGTAAATGTAAATATTATCTTTTTATTTCCTATTAAATACCGGTTCCTTGATCGTCTTGCTTTTCAGCATAGGCCTCCCCAAGTGTTCTCCACAAAGATCTATCTCTTGCTTTCCTCATCCATGTCGCTCCTGCCACCTTTTTAATATCATCTTCCCATCTACGATTTTATCTACCTTTACTTCTCGTTTTATGTCTAGGGCACCATTCCATAACTTCTTTGGTCCATTTTTCCATATTACTGCTTATCAAATACCCAGTCCATTTCAATTTTAGTTGTTTGATTCGGTATATTATGTCTATAGTTTTAGTTTGTTTTCTTATTGTTGTTAATCGAACTTTGAAACAGATTAATAATTCAAATAAACTAATTTGAAAGTACTTTTACTATTGTATATTTCAGGTACGTGAAGGAATATGATTACTACCAGAAGTGCCTCGCGGAGCAGTCCAAGGAGCTGAAGGAGATTAGGCCTGCTACGGCAGTAAACACTAATCAGCAAACAGGCTGTTTGTGTTTTGCAAGTAAGTTTTTATTTGAATAAAAAGCAAATTATAGATTTTTTTATTTATTTTCGAAACATCAGCTGTTTTGAAAATATTTTGTTTTGAATAAATTGTATTTAAAATAATTTTTTCTTCGTGTAAATCCTTTTAAGCTAAATAGTGCTAAGTCGGACTCCTGTTCGCGCTAATTCTCGTTTATCGTAAATCTCACCCTAAATGTTACTAGTTCTAGATATAAATAAATAGAAAATCCGGTAATGAAGTCAGTAAAACTATATTACCCTTTACAGGTAAGGTCCGCCGCGATAGTGCAGTGATTGCGGCAGATGCGTCCACGGCCTTGTGTCGCCCCGAGCCTCCCCAACCCCCGCATCCCCCGCAGCCGCCCCTCTGACACATGCCCTATTGGAGGTGAGATATTTTTATTCTACATTCTACATTGACGTGTGCAGGGAAAAAATGGATGGTGATAGTTATACATTATTTCTTTATATTGAAAACTTAACTTGTTAATACATGTTACACTAATGCAAAAACACACAAACACGAAATAAAAAATACATAATTCAATCATAATAAAGAATAATTAATATATTTAATTATTATTTGGTATAGCACCATAGATACTGAACGAAAGCAACCTTTTGTCAACGCGCAGTGTGAAAGATCTTTCTATTTGGACCTCTTTTTTGGTCAGAAATATGTTTTAATAATTTAAATGTTTGTGTAAACTTCAACCAAACAAAAATTACATACGTAAAAAAGCAATATTTATTTTATATTGATACCTTATATATGTATATATATCGGCACCAGGTATGAGCAGTGTTGGCCTAGTAACTTCAGCATGCGACTCTCATCCCTGAGGTCGTAGGTTCGATCCCCGCCTGTGCACTAATGGACTTTCTTTCTATTTGCACATTTAACATTCGCTTCAACGGTGAAGGAAAACATCGTGAGGAAACCAGCTTGCCTTAGACCCAAAAAGTCGACGGCGTGCTTCAGGCACAGAAGGCTGATCACCTACTTGCCTATTAGAGATTAACAAATGATTATGAAACGGATACAGAAATCTGAGACCCAGACCTAAAAAAGGTTGTTCATTGACCTTAATGAAATTAATTTTATATTTGTTTAAATTTTCTAATGTTTTATCAGATCGCTCCGTATCGCGGTTCTCCTGCCTGTGTCGATGTGCTTCATGAGTACGATCCTCACTGTAATGGTCCTGTTGCACGTCTATACCTAAACTTTTAATAACACTGACTATTGATAATACTGAAGCCCTCAAAATCTTGATTTTCTTAGCACGCAAAAGCGACAACTTTTGTCACGTTATTGTACGCAATTGCGATATAGGTATGTCTATAGCGTCGCCGCGGTACACAAATTCGCAATTCTATTCGGAGTTACCTATAGGCAGTCTGCCTATCTATCTATTTGTGGAACGCACGTGTACAGTTTACACTGTTGCTTAGGTATTTTTTTAAAGTATTTTTTGAGATAAATATTTCAATCTACTAACTATTTAAACCTTTAAATCCCTATGATTGACTTATAATATTGTTTTTGTACTTTTCGATTTTCTTTTTTGTTTCTATGGGCGAAAGTTATTTTATCAACAGTCCTAGTGTAGATAAGTATTGATAGCATCCCAACTTAATGCACTAAATTTTCGAATTTCTAAGATGTCTGGATAAAGTTTTTTAACTTAAAAAGCCGTGATGTGGGTAAAATTAAATAAAATACAGGTTTGTGGTAACACATCTCTCAATACTATGTAAAAAAAATGCTTTAGCTCTGGCTATGCTCCTGATTTCCACAGAGTTTATATTATCTATATATCATTTTAAAAATATGGTGAAAATGTGGCTGTATTTTATTTAAAAATATGGTTTTATTTTTTTACAATGTTTGACGATTGGCGAGTTTATAATGAGGCTGGGGCCAAGCAATGCTTTCTTGTGACCGAATTACATTTACGTAACTTGCTTGATACCTATAAAAAGATTCACTGATTGACAGTATTAGGTAAGTGACGACAAGAAGTCTGCAGCCTTTAAAGATAATTTTACATCAACTTAAAAAAACTATTTCTTTTATATGATGAATTTCATGGATGAAATACAGTTTATTTAAATTTACTACATAGCAACACCATCAATAGTATGACTACCAAATCTTGATACTTGAATAAATCAATGTGTAATAATCGTCAGATTATGTCCTATTATCAAGTATAAAGCTTATTGCTTGCCCCATCTGCGTATTATAATATTGTATTAAATACAATTTAATTATAAGAGTCTTGTAATCATTGTAAAATTGTGGTAATTGTGCTTAGCATTTAATGTAGGCGTTTTCAAACTAGTTCTTCAGTATTAATAGCAATTTTTTGAGATTTGAATGAATTTCGCATTTTAAAATTTCTTTATATTATAAGTATCTATCTTTTAAATAGTTCTTTTTACTAATTACTGTGCTTGATTTGTTTAGTAATGCTTGTTGGATAATTATGTTTTGGTGACTGTGATAGAATTCATCTGTGATCTGCCATCTGACGTATGACGAGTTTGGATTTTGTACGAAGTTTGACTTCGTTTGTTTTATATTATTTTAAAGTTTATAGTTTAGAATTATGTTTGTACAAAGGCAACAATCTTTGCCTATAATTATTTTGCGTTAATAGATATTTAAGTATTGTTTGCTATAAAAGAGATAATATATGTGAATATAGGTTTTGAATCAACTATGAGACCCGTACGTTCGGCGTCGTTCGGATATACTAGAATATGCAATAAGGTCCGAACCCAATAATCAATCCACAATCTCAGATTGAAAACAATCTGCGATCAGACCGTGACAGTCGATCGATCTCCTATCTGCATACCAATAACCAAACCTAAAGAAGACAATCCATTTTTGGCGACGGATAAAATGCTCTTTGTCGTTCCATTTTACCGAGTTTTCACTCCAAATAAAGTAAATAAAACCGTACAAATGGCATTAAAATATACATGTGTATGTATGTTTAAACCATAACAAACAGTTTTCTTAATTGTTTAAAAAACTTGTGTTAAGTTAAAATCTGTTAAAATAATTAACTGTTGAAATCGAGCTTTCGTCAAAATTTTCATACAAAGGTACACACAGACACCGATACGACCTCCCATGGATAGCTTGTATCGACAGTTGGCTATTACAATCCGTCGATTGGTTATTGACACACTTGTTACAACATTTGGATTAAGATTACTATCTCAGATGTTGGATTATGGATTGGGATAGGTTATTGGGTTCGGGCGGAAGAGTATACATCTGTGACACGAGTCGCCGATTCTATGACTACGAAGTCATAATGGTATTTTGGAAAAGAACCCACGGCTTTAAAGGAATCTTGTGGTAACTTTTCTGTTACTGTCAGACACCTTATTAATAACAGACAACTCCACAGTACTCGAACTTTCGCACTTTAGTGGGGTACTATATATTATTTGTTGCGTTAGAATATGATGTATTGAGACCGTCCGAATTGCGTAGGACTATAATATAATGGTAAGAAACTGGAAGTATGTTAAAATCTGTGATGCTGGACAGTTTTTAATTTAATTATTGTTTAAGAAATTTCTTTTTTATTGTTTTAAGACTGCAGATCTCTAGGCTTAGTATGTAAAAAACTTATTCATAGTATGAATAAGATTTTTTATGATCCACATAAAAGTATATTTTTGTATTGTACTAGTTTGTGTGTTAATAATTAATATACAAACAAGATTGGTTTCTCTTTTTGTTTGTAATGAAAATTATATTATAAAGTACAATTCCTAGTTATAAATAGAATAAGTCTCGCTGCACTTAGATATTTTCCAGAATATTTTTAAATTACATCAAGGCTAGGCTTACGTCTTATCCAATGCATAATTGCGCTATAAATTTTACGCCTACATATCAAATTACTAAACCAAAGTTATATTTTGTTGATTTATAATATTGAACCTACTATCTTTTCTCTTTCACATAATAAAATTATTTAAAGTATTTATAACTTTAATGATGCAATCAAATGAAATGTATCTGAATAAAAATTGCTTTTAACTTGGCTATTATTCTACTGTTCTTGTACCAAAAACATTATGGTTTAGTAAATTATGATCTCTACAACAAAAATAAGAAGTATTTTCGTATCTCACTTTTTTGGATAAATATGATCTCATTGTCGGTGCACTCTGAAGCAGGGTTTATTCATAAAATATTGCTTCAATTCTAATGTAAGAGATGTTATAGGGATTTCAGTTATTATAAATAGTTTTTTTAGTGATATGTGTTTTTTTTTATAAGTATGACTAGCATAGTTATTGTAGTTATTAAAAGATCAGGGATTGTTGTTTACCACAATTACATATAATTCAATGATAAAATATTCTTATGTTTCAGAAATATAGTTAAGAACCTCCCATCATAAATTTTAACTGATATCCCTTTAACGAGCTAATTTTAGGTAGCAGGTATACTGTAAGCATAGCTATTAGGTAGGTGCATAATGTCTGATTTTTGCCAATCTTCACTATTGGTTAATAATGATCTGCCATTTTTTACCCATAGATTTTAATAAGTGTAATAAAGTATGTGTAATAAAACTGATTTTCATTTAATTTTTCTCAGACTTATTTAAACTTAATAAAAAGGCAATGACATGACCTTTTGTAACTGATTATACAATATGCAACATTCAATTATTAATATAATAAGTGAAAAAAGCCTGGATCTCCGGATTAATAAAAACAGAATTGGAAAGCAACTGAAGTCTGTATTCAATAAAAAATAGTCACTGAGCTGACAAATTATTATATCTTAAATTTAAATGTATACACCTATACCTAGTACTCTATTTTATAAAGGATGTCCCAATAATTTTATCTCACTTTGAACTTCATCATACAGTTCTTTGTAATCGTCATGTTCTTTAACAAGAACCATTATACACCCTCTCATAGTACCCATGGCAGCTCCAATATCTTTTCTGCTTGGTGTGTAACAGTATGGAACATCTTTATCCTCACATACAGCGGGTAAGTGACACATTATTTCTATTGGTGATATGTCACCCGCAAAGAACACCATTCTGAAATAGATATAAAATTTGTTTATTTTTGTTTTACATCTTGCACAGTGGATTGCAATTTAACATCAATTATTACAATGGATCAGGTATTATAACAGCACATAATATCCTATATATAATGTTGTTAAGTAGGATATATAACTTGTATTTTTTTAAAAATAGTATTGATATTAAATGGCTTAAACAAAAATCAAACTGTTGTAATATTTTAAGAAATATTTTTTACTTGTATTAACAACTAAGGGCAGAACAATAAATAGGTATATTATGATCATATAGATTTATAGATATATTTAGACCCAGAGAGGACTTATTCAATTTTTAAATTGCTGCAGTTTTCTACCGCTGTTGTCTTATACATTACTATTAAAAATTAATGCAAAGTGGAAGTTCTTTTAAACAAACTTCTATGTATGATATTTATTTATTTTCTGCAACCACTATACGTTTAAAGTTAAATCTGCGAGAAAAATCACACATAATGTTTAACAAAGGTACTTTTATAAATTTAATCGTAGAACGCGTGTATAGCATAACCTAAAATTACAAAGTACAAAACATACCCCTTTTCACCTAGACGTAGCTGTTTTTGAACGATCTTGAGACCATTTCTAATATAATTTTTATGACTACTAGACTTCTTAATAAGTTTGTAAATCTTTTTGCTTAATTTCTTTGAAGCCATCGGCTTGGCGATTGTACTGCAATGATCCACTTTATCATCATAACTTAAGGCTTCTGTTTTAATGCTGATATCCTTTTGATCTTCCTGTTCTACAGGTTCTTGTTTCGTTTTTCCCATGATTTAGGTTTTTTGCGTAATTTGCTAAATTTGATCGCAATGCACGTGGTAATTCACGGAAACAACAAATACTGAATTATCAATTAAGAATAATGTTGTATTAAAAACAACATATCACATGTTAATTGTCATTTGTCAAACATCAGTATCTCGCAATGTCTATGGTGTAGTTAAAATTCTGTAGTTATTTGAATACTCATGCTACTCTGTGCTTTCAGTTGCCATAGAAACCAAGTCGCATCAACAAATAACAATGTTTAATATCTATCGCAGAGAACAGTTTTGTCTATACAGTTTTTAACTGAAACTGACACGAATAATTGAAGTAATTATACAATAATGGTGGGTATTATTCGCATATATTTGGTAATTGTGTCTGTCCATATAAATGTACTCTATTTATTTTGTAGGGACTTTTAAGTATCCTGAAGAAATTACGTTCAAATAATGAGCGAGAACTGCGGCTCCTATTATTAGGGTTAGATAATGCCGGAAAAACAACGACTCTAAAACAGTTGGCGTCAGAAGATGTGACTCAAGTGACTCCCACTGCAGGATTCAACATAAAATCTGTTTTATCTAGTGGCTTTAAGCTAAATGTATGGGATATTGGTGGTCAAAAGAAAATTAGGCCATATTGGAGAAATTACTTTGAAAATACAGATGTTTTGGTAAGTGCATTACTGACCCTGTAATTAAGAAGTATAAAAGCTGATACATAAAGTAACTGTTTATTTTTTTCTATTAATATAAGTGTTTTGAGAATAGTACCTATTTTTAAACATTGAATTTCAGATCTATGTAGTAGACTGTTCTGATCATCAAAGGCTTCAAGAAACAAGCTTTGAGTTAGCTGAGTTACTGCAAGATGAAAAGCTTCGAGGAGTGCCTCTTCTTGTATATGCTAATAAACAGGATTTAGCTACAGGTTAGTTATAGGTTTTTTGTTGTACACTTTTCGTCAAGTCAGATTTTTCTTTAAGATGTTAAAGATTGAAATCTGTTTTGATTAGGTTAGTCTTTATCAGTCTTGATCCTAAAAAAGCATTTTCTCTGGGAATCATAACAGGGCTTTTTCCCTAGTTTGACCACTAAGCTAAAGTGATTAGTTTTAACTTTTCTAACTTATGTATAGTAAATTCAGTTTTCTAGTTGGTTGTAAATTTTTGTTTATAATATTAATTAGTTATAGGATATACAATATAGACAGTATTTAACTAAATATAATTTCAGCTCTTCCAGCAAGTGAAATAGCACAGCACCTGGGTTTACATCTCATTAGGGATCGTACCTGGCAGATACAGGCCTGTGTGGCCACAGATGGCACTGGAGTGAAGGTAATAAAAATATTTAATCTAGAGATGTGACATTCTGCATAAAAAATCGATTTTTGATTAATTGATTATTTTTTTAGCATGAAAGATTTTTCTTAAAGATTTCTTTATTAATCGATTTTATCCAAATTTTTGAATTAATTTCAGAATAAACACCCGAAATATTTTATTCTTCATGGTTTTTTAATTAAAAATAAACAATAGAAGTTATAAACACAAATTAACGTTTAGGAATAATCAAAATCGAAATTAATTTAATCTCGTTTTGATAGATTTTAGGTGAAATTTGATAAATGCTGAGTGTATGCCTTTTCAGTAGCACATTGCAGTATTTTTGTTATCTTTTTAATTGTATGTAATCTTGCGCTGCTGAATAAATTTATTTTACTTTTAAATTATAGTATTACATTCAAACTTGAGTTTTTGTAAAATTAACTGGTTTTATCATACTTTCGATGTTTTATAAAAAAAACATCAATGCATCGAGTATATCAATACATCTTCAAAGCATCGGATTCAATGTATCGCATTGTAAACATCGATGTATATCGAATATCCCTAATAGTTCGAGGTCCGGCTTATAAAAGACCAGACATAACGTCGGGAGGTAGCAGATAAAAATCGATTTTTACTATTAAAAAAAATCGATTTTAAACGATTTTTTTTTTCACATCCCTAATTTAATCTTTAATTAAATTAAAACATATTTTTATTTATTTATTATCATATCTATTAAAAAATTCTGTTTACATTACATACACATAAACATTTAAACTACTAAATTAACTAGCTTCAATTTAAAGGTTTAGTAATAAAATGTCAAAATTTAAATATATTTATTGTCTGAATTAAAATATTGAAATTGTTTACAGGAGGGTATGGAGTGGGTATGTAAAAATATACCTGTAAAAAAATAATTGGAGGAGATCCTTTCAACACCGCTTCCTATTAATATTAATTATTATATTCATTCCAATAATTTATTTTAATCACCGTTATTTACAACCAAGTCAATATTTAAGGTCTTAACTTACAAAGTCAGGTTAGATAATTTTTTTATGGAAGGGAGCAAACGGGTAGAATGCTCACCTGATGTTAAGTGATACCGCCTTGCCAGCACAATTCTCAAAAAGTATCATTTATTTTGTATATAATATCAAAGTTATTTAAGTGTTTCTCAGCACACACAACATATTTTATAAAAATTAAGAAATCTCAAATCCGTCCATGAAATATGGTATATAGGAATCTATATATTATTATATAGCTTTTAGTTAATTTATTATTATATAATTATACTGTAATAATTGAGGTTTATGAATAAAGTTTACATAAACATAATATGTAAAGATATTACGTTAATTATTGCTATAATAAATCTAGTCGCACATTATTGATATTATTTAGATTTACTTAATAATAAATTTTATAAAGAATTTAGTTTTATTTCATACTAGTAATAATATTTACAACGAAAAACTAAACATATGATAAATGCAATTTTTATACATTTTAGCACCAAATCCAGCATTTTACGTCTTTTACATAAGTCAATAAATTCGTAAACATCTAAAATAACTAAATAACTTAAATATCATAATTTATGTTTAACTTATATAATTTTAAAGTAATAAATCAATTAATTGCCATAAATAAAAATAGGAATCTCGGAATTAAGTACTGTTAGTAGAAAATCTATACAAATTACTTATCAAATTATTATTTATAATTCGCTGTGGTAAACTTCGGTGGTTACTTTCAATTCGTGCTCGTGGAATGCTGAACAGTCGGCCGGGTATTTCGCCTGTAAAAATGTTAAATATTGCTTAGATTAAAACAATTGCTAGTGAGAAATCATTCTTCTGTCTATATATTACGTGTACATACGAAAAATTTGTTACATCAATCAATCTTTAAGTCAATTCTCTGAATGATGTGTCTGGTGCTTCAGGGGAATAGTGTAGGGCAGGCCCTAAATGATCTGATGCCCACTGTACGCGCAATCTCAAAAACTACTGGTTCGCATTGAAAATATATTTTTCCTTAACCTTGAAAAATAGACGAATTCGTTATTCTAGATATTGATGAAAACTGCAATAAATTCCGTACTGTCCATAGGTATTTGAGTTTATCGCGAACAGACAGATAGACACTGCGAAGGACTTGTTATATAATATAAAAGTAAGACATGCTGTTGCTGACTTGCTCGCTTCTCTAGTGATCAATCATATATCTCTCTTCGATAAGGCAGCGTTTGTAAGAAACGGTTTCCGCGAAAAAAAACAGAACTTTTCGTGGAAACAGTTTCTTACAGTTAACCCAGGACAGCGAGAATATTATACGACGTTTCTATTAGAATTACTGGACACCCACAACTTCATTATCCTTTAGAGTCCAGTCCTAATGAAAATAGCGAGTTTAACTTGGGACCTGTGTTTATAAATACGACTTTGTATCAATCCAATTATGATTTTATTAAATCAAGTGACAAATTAGAGAACTTATTTCGAAATTCTATAGGTTGTTCTCTCTATTTCCGGCTGTGGATTTTTCTATCAAATAAATACTTGCCCATCATCCATAGGTAGTATGAAGGAAATAGAAACAGAAAACTGAGGCCAAGCGATATAGGTTTTTAGGATATAGTTAATTATTGTACGAAAATCGTAATTAGAGTTGAGGTCTTATACATTCCAATAAAACCTCCCGATGTTCCCAAAAACGAGAAACGACTAAAATTATAATCCTTCTAAATATAATTGCATTGCTGAATTTAGTTATTGCGACTGACCGAATCCCACTTCAGTGAGAGCCGTTTATAAAGTAAGAGACAAGGGTAGGAGATAATCCTAATCGTCCATTAAATGCGGGAAGAGAAAGATATAAGTGGACATTAAAGCAGCCCCGAGTGTGTCCGGAGTAGTAACTGTTTATGTATTTTGGCAAGGAGTCCATAATAAGCTAAGCGGGGTTTATTGCGGCGATAACGTATCTTTTATTGATAATAAGATTATAAATGTAATATTTACGCCTGTAACAAGGCTAGGAACAAATCGCCTTTAGATGTTCGAATTTTCGAATCGAATTTTAGACCCAACTTATTATTGCTTATGCGAGAGTATGATCTCTACTTCGGTGTAACCATAGATAATAAACGTTTCAGGCAACTATGTAAATATTATAATTATTTACTTTAAAATAACAACGCAGATGCAAAATAAAATGTCACTTGTAATAAAGGTGAAATAGTTTTTATTGAATAATTCATTCAAGGTGATATTTAAAATGGAAAGAGGATGGCATTGATAAACCAAAATTTGAACTATGCATAACTGATTTGAAAAAAATACCTGTCTTTAATACCACAAGAATTGTATAAAGAAACCAGTTTTGTAGCAACAAATTTTTTTGCTAATACAGCAATTATCCTTGAGTTGTTGTTTTAAAGTAGAATACATATGTATGATGTTATTTATAATTTCTACTCTTAATGGTTGGTGTACGTGATTTTGGGTTTGACACTCGTAACAATCAATGGTAAGCACAGAGCAAATGCACTTTATAACTGCAAACAACTTGTCATAGATTAGAAATCTACGTGTCGTTGTACGTCATTTCAAATTCGGCGAAGGAAAACTTAGTAAGGCTTGCCTTAGACCCAAACTGTCGATGGCGTGTATCAGGCAGGAGGCTGGTCAATTACTTGCCTATTAGATTGACTATGACCATGAAACAGATACAGAAATCTGAGGCCAAGACCTAAAAAGGTTGTAGCGCCACTGATTTATTTTATTTTATTTACACATGATCATTGTTACGTGATCTTTTGATAAAGTTGGTACACATTTTTACAAATTATGAAATAAAATCCTAAGGCACGTCTGTATCAAAGCGATAAACTTCAAAGTTAACGAATTTTTGAACGGTCAATAATAGTGTGTTTTCTTGGGGAATAAGGTGTGGACCTCAGATTTCTGAATCTGTTTTATGATCATTTTTCAATCTAATGGGCAAGTAGGTGATCAGCCTCCAGTGCCTGACACACGCCGTCGACTTTTTGGGTCTTCGACATGTCGGTTTCCTGACGATGTTTTCCTTCACCGTTCGACCGTGAATGTTAAATGCTCAAATAGAAAGAAAGTCCATTGGTGCACAGCCGGGGCTCGAACCTACGACCTCAGGGATGAGAGTCGCACGCTGAAGCCACTAGGCCAACATAGTTCGATTTCTTGAGGAATTTAATTTTATGGTTTTAAATAGACCATTTAATATAATATAATTATTTTTGAAGAAATCAAAAGCAACCAAAAAGACTCTGTGGAAGCATATAGACCGGTGGCAATATCATCGACTCGACGCTGAAATATTCAAGTGTTGTAAAACAAGTAAAACTGTACTTGTCAGGCTGCTTATAATAATTATGCTATTATTAAAACAATACAACGTATGAGTCTTGTATTCCAAAATAATTCAAACTCAAAATATCTTTATTCATGGAGGTAAACAAGTACACTTATGAATTGTCAGAAAGAAGTTAAATTAATTGTAAATTTACATTTAGAATTATATTGCAACTTCAAAAATGTCTTACCTCACAGTTAACGTCACTCTGTATGGCATTATAGAGGTCCCAGAAACCCTTTCCGCTTTGGAAGCTGAGGGCCGCTGATGCTGCTACACTGCTCAATTTCGTTAGACCCGCCTTAAATCCTGGAAGACCTGTAAATTCATAGTTCAAATCAGATGGGTCGTGGTTGTCGAAAAGAAAAGCTAAGAAGATTTTGTAATGTTCCTAGGATCATCTTCTGCTTCATTCATAATTTTTAGAATCACTTTCAAAAACGGTGATAGTTTGAGGTTCCTCCCATAAGGAGTTATCACTTTAAAAATCGAGCCGTCAGGGGACGCCTGGCAGATGTGAAACATAGACTTTATTTGTACAAGTAATAGACTAATAATATGGCATAATGAAAAATAAAATATTATTTTTATCAGAAAATGATGAGTGTTTATTTAATTAACATTTATTATCTTACAATAGAAAAATTCCAAATTCAAACAGTCTGTAGTACACACAATATAGAGTGGCGCGTTGCCACGTCATCAATCGTATTTACCCGCGGCTATAGAGATGTTTAACATCAAAAAGATGTTATGATACGAAAGTTCAAAGTAAATGTCATAGACACAGAACCAAAGAGGTAGACGAACCTCTCTAGCTTGAAATTTGCTTAAGGAGTTTATATTATATAAAAACATTTATTGGTCATCCTAATTATAGTTTGAAATTCGAACAGTCTTTTAAATAATACAATATAAACAAGACTGCAGCCTCTATGGTTGAATTATACTCCCCTATATGGTTGAGCGATAAAGACTTACCTAATTTATCCTGATCGGTATGTCTGTTGACGAGGCACAGTAGATGTTCCTGACAGTGCGGCGCCGCAACCGCATGTTTGTAAGCGCGGTAAACGCGTAGAACCGGCTCGATTACTTCCAAGTTGAGTGTATCTGTTATTCGGTCAGCTAGTTTGTGGTAGTCGCTTCGAGAAGCCAGGCTTTGAGTCGTTGACTGTGCTAATTTTAGCGTTTGCTGGAAAAGCGAGAAAAATAACTATGGGTAATATAAAATTTATTTTAATATTAGATCGGATTGAAGAAAAAACTTTAACAATATTATCTGTTAAAATAGTTATGTTACTTACCTTAATGTATTCTATCGCTGGCTTCACATATCCTACTACATCAGTATCCATATCCAAATATTTGTTAAGTACATAGTTGATGAGGGCTGTGATGGATTCCTGAGACCGTTGCATGTTCAAATGAACATTTTTCGGTATACCTTGAGTCTCGAGGAAACTATTTATAATGAACTGCCCCGATATGAGATATCTGAAAGGTTACATTGCATATTTGCAGTCTCTACAAAACATATATTTATACTGAATGTGAATAATCTGCTTCCTAGATAATATTAAATTGTTTTATTAATAGTATTAGTCTTTTTTTATTATTGGGCCATAAAAAGTAGATGGCTAGATGGGCAAGGTTTGGAGTGTGCCTACGACTTTGGTTTTCTGTTGATGACAAACCAAAGAAAAAGATTTGACGTTGGTTCAGTGACACAGGTAAAACAGGTTTTTATATTAAAATAAATAACTTACCTCTGATAAACTTCTGGCTTAGCAATATGTACAACCATGTCTGTTAAATATTTAGCCACTGCCTTGATCCAGTGTCGTCTGAATGAATGATTCTCAAAGTTCTTCATCATTAGATCAAAGCTTACGTTTCCGTCTGCTCCAATAAACGATTTCATAGCTCGTTTAAAACCTGACTTCTCCCATAGGGTCTTACCAAGTTCAGAGTTAATAAAGATATCCCAGTATAAATGCGCTTTCTCTAAAAACGGCGGCAAAAACGTCGCGTGATCTTTATGACCGTCGGAGCGTTTTTGTGCTTCGTTATCAGAAAGGGAACTCAAAGTATTCATAATTAAAGGTAGGAATGATGCAGTATTCTGATTTCCTAAGAAGCTAGAAGCCAGTCCCATAATACTCTCCATATTGAAGTCCTCAGCCTCACGCTTTTCTCTTTTTGGTTCTGGCGCAATTTGCTGAGCGAACATTGAAACCATAGACCCAATCATAGCAGGATCTATTTTACCATCTTGTCCAGCAAACAGACTGCCTAAACCTATAAAAAATATTAATTTTCTTTGATTGTTCTAAATGCCGTTTTAGTACCAATAAAGCGAGGGTATGGTAAGTTACGACAAGCGTAAAAAGGCTCTTAAAAGAATGTGGTCGAGTTTGTCGTCAAGCATTTGGTGTCATTACTTAAAATTCGTTTGTGCTTATTGAAAAATTTAATTTACTGTTTTAAAATAATCAGTCATTACATATTAAAATGGGACAATTGATTAAATAATGAATTTAAATTATACTGATTATTACTTAATGAATTATTATTTATTGTCTACTTGCTGATAATTTAAAAATTATAATGAGGCCATTCGAAAAAATGTACCTACTGGTTGTTTTAAAGATCCTACGGTAGAATTTATCTATAAAAAATTAATAGCAAGTATGATTAGACGTAATAAAAAAAACTATTATCGACTCATCCGAGTCATAAAAAATTTCTCCGTCAGTTATTTAGTTTTTGCGACGAATCCGAGACACGATTTTGTCATGGTTGATTTGTTAAATTCTAAATAAATATTGATGTAATTCACTCGTATAATATAAAGTTTTCTTAACAACTCTAATTAGTTATATATATCGGAACACAGAATTAAAATATTGAAGATAAATAATTCTTATCGTTATGGAATACATAGATAACACGATTTCCAATACAAAATCTGATTTGAATAGTTCCTAACTTATTACAATGTACCATTAAAAACATTCTTGAACAAAATTATCAATTATCAGTTACGTCAAATAATTTATTAACCAAAAAAATTTTTTTCATAACCCCTAAGAAACGAACTTTAGCTGTTTTTTTATTGAATTTTTTACTTTAATTTTGCATTAAATTAGTCTGACTTCTAATAAGACATTGTTTTAAAGGTTTGGTAAGTTTCTGCTAATAATATTAAAAACATTTAATATTATTAGCAAAACAATTAACGGTGTTTTTTCACTTCCGTGCCTCATAAAGGCATATGGCTGCCCCGATCTATAATTTTTGGAATAGAGAGTAGGATAAATCTAGATCTCCGTTTGGGCAAATGTTTGTACACTATAATGATGTCTGCATGTCTCAATAAAGATTAGGAGAAGAAAATTAATAAGAAAGAAATTAATACCTGATATAACGTCTCCCGCATTTCCCCCCTCCTGCCCAAACATTGATCCCAAGTTCTTAGCATTATCACCTTGCATCAGCGTCCCCATAATATTACCAATAGCGGCTAACCCATCCATATTATTCCCCCCTCCATTTCCCATGTTCTGAAGGAAGGAGGCCGCAAGACCTAAAAGAGGATTGTCCTCCTCTGAGCGTCCTCCCAAAATTGGTAACGTCATTATTTGACACAATACTAGTATAATGCTAAGTCGCGCCATGTTTGTATCTGAAATTAATGAATTTTATAAATAAAAATTGGAACTGGAGCCTTGTTCTAGTAGTTGCTGGCGAGTCTCAAAGCTGACAGGATAGTATACACCGATTCTTAATGTTTTCTTATGTTTGTTTTCGTCTGTGTTTTCAAATGTTCGTTCGATGAATGAAAAATCGTGTGCTTACTGGATCGACGTTCATATGTGTACATTGTGTTTTACCTATATGTTTAAATGATTTTTGATTTTGATGTGTTACTCCTACATATAAACTAGTATAAACGCCTTCTTGCCTTTAAATTGTCTACTTATTTGTTTTATTAAGCTTCATACTTCTACCACTTCATTAATATTAATGATTGAAATTATTAAATATAGCTATAGTTTTCTGCTACAAATATACGTGTAATTAAAATCATGTGTTCATATTATGATTATGTTAATAATTATATTATGCAAAAGCACTATCAGCTTTATTTGATTTAATTACAAAATTATTATACTACTTATTATTTATTCGAACACTGATATTACATTATTCATTTAACATACTCGTTTAACAAGATAATAGTGAATTGATATTTTGAGTAGCCCAGTTACTTCGATTACAACTGTTATGATACCATATTGCTTTTGTTTAACAGTAAAAGATGTATTTTCATCAGACTTTCAGTATTATACAAAACCAACACGTGCATTAAAGTTTTATTTTAGATTATAAGATCCTTTTCCCGATGTCCCGTCACTCCCAATTATGTGTTAAATTAATCAATTCTTTTATAGGTATAAGAACCCGAGAAAATAATCTTTTATCCAAAATTTTTGCATGCATGCAGAAACGCCTAACATGAAAACTTTTCACAGTAGATATAGTAAAGATAAAAAAACACTAACAATACGGATTACCAAATTTGTCATAGGAATTTAGTGTTTTAAGAAATGTATATGAATAAAAGATTAGAAAAACTCTCGTTCCACAGAGTGCGTACACAGAACGGGTTCGCTATTCAATATTAAAAGCGAAATGTAACGTTACGATGAGTACTAGTTTCCGCTAGTCTTTTATAACCAATAGAGACAGTCCACGTTTCAAAATTACAAATCGTTAGCATGAATAATTCTTCAACTCAGATAACTCAATTTATTTTTATTTAATTTTAAAAAATTCTGATTGATTTCTCTGCGTAACTTGGAATATGTTTGTTGAACTTGTCATTGAAATACATGATCGTATGTGATATGCTTTCATGGGCTTTGTGTATCATTATTGGATTTGCAATTCTCTACACTACACTATTTTAATCTATTATGTGGCATACACGATTAAAGCTAGAAAAACTAGAAACAATTATTTTTTGGGTACCCATCCGCATTAATCGTTATATAACAGTCAGTTTGTTTAAACCATAATTAATTATACACCTTAAGAATAATATATTGCTGAAAACGTTCAACAATCCGTTCGATATGTTTTGAGTTTATTGCATATATAGACTTACCGCCGAGGAACTTCATTTTATAATATAAGGACTTTATAATTTTAAATATTTTATTACGTTTGTAAGAAATTGATCACATCTGTATTTAATAGATTGAAAAACTTATTTAACTTACCTATATAAATAATTTATTGCATAAAATTACTTATTCTAACGAATAAGTCGGCAATGCAGCGAGGAAATGCTGCCCAGCATTAAAGGTACACTGCCACTAAACTTTTTTTTTAAATTATTATTATAACTATGTAGGTTAAGAATATTGTAAACACCCTTTTAATTATGAAGAATAAACAGTGTTTATGATTAAAATTGTCCCTATCTTTATTTATATTACAAATGTTGAGTACATTGCCAATGTTTTTCAGCAATCGTGGACAGCGAGACTCGCGTTTATATCCCCACTTACATTATCTTTAGATCGTTATTATGACTTCGTTTTTTGTTCATAACTTCCATACAACTTGTGTGAGAGTTTTGCCGTTACCCAATTTCACTGTATGGTATTTAAACACGGTAATCGCGGAAATTGTCTTTGTTTCTTCGTCTTTATTACAGACGTTTTGTTGTAAAGATGTATGTTATTGTCGGTAGAAGCTGATGGGAAACCGTAAGAAAATGAAGTGAAAAAGAAATAATATAGTTGTATTTTGATATTGAAATTGTAGATTAAAGAAATCGAATCCAATATGAAAAAAGGCAATTTCATAGAAGGATTTTAAACTACCGCATTGGTCCAGTAGTTAGGCTGCAGATCGTGTTGTTCGAATCCCGAGTGACTGATGTTTGTAAACATGGATTTTTTTAAACCTGTTTATAGGAAAGATAAACTGACAAGAGATATGATTAATATGAACTATTTGTTATTCTAATCATTAACACGCACTAGCGAGTAGCGGTCCTCTGTAACGTCATACGGTCAAAGACCCTACCTGTGTAACTGTGGTCGCCTTTTTGGGAAATAATTCAAACTTTATCGGATTAACTGGTGATTTAAATTTCATATAAAACGTTTTGCAACTTGTCCGTGTTGACTGCCGAACATGTGTTGAATTTAGATCATTATACGCGTCGGATGTTTTATATTTTGATACTCACAGTACATTATTAAATAATGCCTTGTTGATAAGGATTTAAATTCAATTTATAAGAATAAGTCTCGTCGAAATAATTTAACGATGCATTTAAATATTTATTTTTCATAGTTTTATTCATTATAAATTTATATTTTATTCATAACTTGGGTTGCATTATCGAAGTTTTCATACAGACTATAAGACAGATAACAATATTTTATAGCCAGGGATAAGGAATCGAATGGTAAAGGATTCAAATTAGTCCAGAAGTTTTGGACCCAGATAATCTCTTTATGATATTAGTGTCATAAAGTCGTTCATTCTTCTCCTTTGATTTGAGAAGCAGTAAAAGTGAATTTAGAAGATCTGTTTCGCGTCAAACTTAACTAGAAATATTTTCGTTTTATACGCAGATAAATTTGTACTTTAGTTAAAGCAGTAAATTAGACTAATATGAATAAGGGTTGTCTTTATCAAAATCTAATTTAGGCTTTCAAGTGATGTTCAAGTGGACACGAAATGTCAGATTAATTATGCAGTGATAAAATCCACATCAATAAATATACTTGTAAGATATTCGGCGAGCGAAATTTAAAAGTCTTTAATTAAAATGTTGGAAACAAAAAATTTATTGTAAAAAACACATTGGTATTTTTTGATTCAAAAGTAGAAATCCTTGAGTTCAATAATTAAAAATAAACGGACTATGAAAAATAAAAGTTGCTTTGGGTCGTTCTTTTGTTTTTTAAGCCCATATTAAAGTGGACACAGCTTTGTTTAGGAGGTTGTTTTTCAAACACTGCCGTACCTTAGAGCATGTAAAGCGGTACCGCGATATTTCGGGCTAAAAGAGTTATGTAATGGGGAGTACACCTGTGTACCCTACATATAGAAATAGCCAGTTTCAATAGAGATTTGACGTCGTGGCTGGGGTCTAGAAAATTTTGTTACTATGTATCTATAAATAATTGCAGATAATCTAATGCTAAATTATATATATATATGAGAAAAAAAAATCAGTGGTGCTACAGATTGGTGACCTCAGATTTCTGAATCTGTTTCATGATAATTTTAAATCTAATAGGCAAATAGGTGATCACCCTCCAGTGCCTGACACACGCCGTCGACTTTTTGGGTCTAAGATATGTCGGTTTCCTCACGATGTTTTCCTTCACCGTTCGAGCAAATGTTAAATGCGCACATATAAAGTAAGTCCATTGGTGTACAACCGGGGATCGAACCTACGACCTCAGGGATGAGAGTCGCACGCTGAAGCCACTAGGCCAACGCTGCTCTTTACTAATTAGAACAACCCCGAAAAATCTCTTAACAGAAACGGCAAATTTTTTTAAACAATTTAAAATTTATTTTCTATTAATAAATGTTTTATTTCCTCTCTCTGAATAAAATCTACTTGAGACTATCTGTCATATATAAACATATAGCCTCTATGAAGTAAAATACGAAATTTTCCAATTTATAGCCACTTTTATGGAAATTGAATTTATATTTTATTTTTATGAGAAAAATGGTGTAATGTTTTTGTCGGTACGGTCTTAAAATGGCGAAGATATCAAATATTTCTCTTAAAATTTTATATGTTTTTTGCTTTTTTCAATATTCAAAAGACGTGGTGACGTCACTATTAAGTAAAGTTAATACGTAGAATGTTTGATGCAATATAAAAAATGCAATATTGCATTATACAACTTATTGTTTGAGGAAGTACAATTCGAACAGAATCACGTTTGTGTCAGTGATTTAGGGCAAGCTTTATTTAAACAAAATAAATTTAAAAAAATCGTTTTCACGAAAAGTTGAACAAGAACAACATTTATTTTCAGTTGGAAATTACAAAACTGTTCCGACGTTTTGCGTAATTTGAATGATTAAAATCATTTTATAATTAATATTAGAATCACACGTCTTAATTCAGTTAAATTTCAAATTATAATCGTATAATGAAATGAAATCTATTACACATCTCGTACGTGTCTTGTGCGAGTGATTCGTATTTCGTGTCGTAGAATTACTTAATTAATTTTTTAGTCAAGACAGCCTCTGGCTCAGTACATGACGTATAATCCAGAGCTCCTGGGTTAGATGTGCAAAGCCTTCGAGTTGTTAAGCACAAAATACAGATTATTAATGAATGAAATATCAGTATACAAAAGCCCCTGCCGCCTTTGACACATACAAACTTCAAACACATACAAATCTTTTCACTGTTCAGTGATAAGGGCTTAGTAAGAGATCAGCTTTATAATATATTATTTGGTTTAATAAGGAATTTATCGTTGAAATGAATTAATACGTCATCCTAAATGACAGTTTAACAAATACTTAAGAATTCTTCTTTATTAAAGTGGGACGTAACTGCCATAGGTTTAAAAATAGTGTAGGGGGCCTCATAGCCTAGCGGTCTTATTAAGTGGCAGCTAGGTGAGGGGTACCGGGTTCGATTCCCGGTTCGAGGGCAAGTTTCAATTTAATTTAAATTTGTTCTCGGCCTTTGGGAGGGTTGTGCGGTACCGGGCGAGTGCCTAAACCGTACATGGAGGACACGATCGAAGTTCTAAGGCGAGCACGAATTATAAAAAAATCTTATACTTGACGTTGGCTAATGCACAAACCGTGCCAGAGCCATAAAATTAAAAAAAAAAATAGTGTAAATTTTGATATTACTTAAGTAATAATACTTATGAAACCGTACTAGTTTCATATTCAATCATTCAAATTGTTAAAAAATATAGTTATTGGGTTATCCCTTAAGATATCAAAATACTGTTGTAAATTTAATTATCTGCGTATAATACAAAAATACACAGAAGTAATGCTTAGAAATAAATGAGTAATGACTTACTTTTAAAATGCCTTGATCATCCAGAATAATTTCACAAATTCTAATGGTATTTTTCCAAAACTTTCACAATATAAATACAACCTACATCGAAAGCAGTCAATCATAAACTAAATTATGAAAACGATAAAAACAAATTGCACCGGCTCTGATAAAAAATAAAACTATTTTGTCAAAATTTCAAATCGAACGGCGTGTGAGCAACGTCAGCACGCGGTGACAGTACTTTTCTTCTAAACGTCTTTAATATAATCATCTCGTTCTTTTGTATATGAACCTCTCTTTCCCACTGCTATGAAAATCCGAGTGCATCTGTCCTTGACTGTGGGCTCCGCTATGAAATGTACCGTTTGGTTTGTCTATCTCTTTCTCAAATAGCGGTAATGAGGTTTCTCTTTGAGGGGGAAAGAGAGAGGTGTACAATTATTAGGTAGGTGTTAAACCAGCTGTCAATGAACCCGGGAAGGATCAAAATAAAAGAAAACTGATGGTACTGTTATGTACGTCCTTTGACCTCGTTTCACTTTTGGGCATTCCGGAAATTATGATGATAAAAGAGCTTTAATTTCAATACTTATAATATTAATTGTATTGCAAATCTTTTCAATTGTTTAATGTAAGTATAAAAATTTGGTAAATAATAACGACTGATTTTAAGCAAAGGTAAATAAGAAATATACACATTACATTAACATAGGAGATTAGGTTTAATAGCCATATTTTAATAATTATTATACAATTGGAATTACATAATTATATCTAACGTATATATGATGTAGCACATGTAAAGGCGGTAACTGCACTGATGCAGATTAAAATGTGATTAGCAGAATTGTACAATTACGTATAGCCTACTTTTCATTTCATACGCTTTCTCGTATTTCGCTGTTTTAACGGATTCCTCGGAAAAAGAGCTAATTCGCGTCTACTGCCTATTTTGAATCCCTTTTACGTCGATATTTTTAACATCCTTGGAAAAATAATAAACACAAACGAGGAAGCAGATAATTAACATGACGTGTAGATTTTTCTTCAAACGTTTATCTATGGATGATTCACAGACAAACAACTGACGAAATCAAAGACAATAAATCGTCTTTGGAGGTATTTGAAAAGTATCACGTTTCATTATCGTAAGCGAATCTGTGGACTCTATGCAACCTGTAGAGTAATTATCTATATATATAGGTATTTCGTTCACATATTTTGGGAATGAGTGATGTCTTAAAGGGTCGGTAGATAGCAAAAGTATTTTGTATTCTTTGGAAGGCCCACGTAAAATACCTTTGTTCTAACGAATTACAAAGAGATTAGATTAAATTGTGACTTGGTTTAATATCGGGATGTACCGCGTTCCTTTGTAAAAGGATTACGCAATAAGCAATATTAAATTTTAATCCTGGAGTCGTTAACAGAGGGAAATATTATGGAAATAATTAGAATATTTTGTAAATGGAATAAAAAATTTGAAGGATTTTCATATAAATATTAATTATTCACAATATTGTCGATAAAGTATTTAATTACAAATTACACAATTTAAAGAGGTTTGTATAATAATAACGAACACAGTATTGATGCAAAACCTAAAACCGTATTGATAGAAAAAATAATATAACGAAATAAAAAAGCACATGTTGCCAAACAAAATGTAAAAAAGTCTAGGACAGATCGCTAGAAAAAAGTATTTAAAAGCAGACGTGACCCCGTATCGCCAACGGAATTTGTATGGAAATGTTCACGTTACAAGCGTGAGCTATATAATTCTATACAATTTTTTTGTTTTGGGTCACGTCTGCCACAATATACGTTTGTAGGTCCTAGGTTCACTTAAGCATCATTTATTACAACAACTCTTTGCACGAAGAATAAGTAAAGACAGAGTAAAGATTGGTACTTTTATATTTTTGTATGGCTAACTTGAGCAACTCCATGGCCGTATTTAGAACTAAACGGAAGTACGAACATACCTCGTTCGAATAGAATACGGTTAGTTTTTTAGTTAAGATACAAATCTGTGAAAAATCGATGCGTTGTGTCTAAAATTGAGGCACTGACTGTATACATAAAAACTATATTTTAAACAATTGTTCTTTGGTATAAACTTAAACTTAAAGCCGTCGAAATTGTATACGAAAATGTCGGAATCGGTATTACTATCACTATCTCATGTTACCGTCACAGAATGACCGAGCCACCTTCGTACAATTTCACCCGATATCTATGGCAATCTAAAAATAAATAAACCTTTCGCTCCAACGTGAAGGGGGTTATGCGATACGCGAAACGTGAAAACAACTACAGGAACGGTGATGGATCCTACGTCGCCATTGGAGATGGACCGGACACATTCTTTGAAGGGAGCCCAGCCATATCTCCAAACAGACACAAGGTTGGACTCCCCAAGGAAAAAGAAAATATGGCTGCTCTAAGGCTACGTCCGCACAGGCAGGAGGTTTGCTTAGCGCCTAGCGCCTAGCGAGTCACCAAGCGAGTAGCTTAGTAAAACGAACGTTCTAGAGTCTTCGCGAACGGCCGCATTGCGCGCTTGGTGCCTAGCTAGTCGCTTAGTGTGTATCGAAGTAAACAAACGTGTTGGTTTTTTGTCGCTAGGCGCGAAGCATTTTCGTGGTGGATGAAATATTAATTTCAATAGTTTTTAAAAGGGAACCTCTGTGGAATCCCTCTAATCAATTCCATAAATATGCAGTCGTCTTAAAGAAGCTACGGGAAGAGGTAGCAGTCGAAGTAGAAAAATACTGTTATCCTTTTTCGTAGATGAGTATCCAAATGAGTTAATTTTACTTTAACTTTACTGAAAAGTAGATCAAATGTTTCTCTGGGCATACGCAAATATTCGTAAAACTTTTCGTCATAATTACGCAATTGTTTATACAGAACATTAAACTCCCCATGACTTGACCGTAACTTATTTATGTCATGGACCCAACATGATGAAGAAGGTCGTGAAGTTGTATATTTTAAAGAATAATTTTCTGTAAGTAGCAGTTCAGAGCTATTTTTGAAAGTGACATGTCGCTAACGTGCCGACGAACAAATGACCAACGCACCTAGCGACCCACTACGCAAGCCACCTTTAGTCCGGCCACCGTGTACCTAGCAAGTAGCCAGACGGCTAGCCTCTAGGCTCTAGGCGCTAAGCAAACCTCCTGCCTGTGCGGACGTAGCCTAAACAATCCTAGCGACGCTTAGTTGTATCGAGGCTCGAGCCAACGAGTCATCAGGTTGATGTGGTCTGAAGGTAAGTGCGCGGCTCAAGGAAGAACGCCATTGTTAAGCATAGTGTGTTTGCCCCGTCTAAAAGATATGGGAAAATAAATGAGTCAAGTCTTTGGTTCACACCACACGAGAAAATGTTAATTTTTCATCGGACGTCGAGGCAGAATACGAAATTCCACCCGTATCACCTCGACGTCCGCCGTTCCACAACTGAGCGTTTTTCAAGGCAGTTTTTGCCGCGCACCACCACTTTGTGGAATCAGCTGCCCACTGAAGTATTTCCGAACCAATTCGACTTAGGGTTCTTCAAGAAGCGTATCAATTCTTAAAAGGCCGGCAACGCACTTGCGAGCCCTCTGGAATTGAGAGTGTCCATGGGCGGCGGTATCACTTAACATCAGGTGAGCCTCCTGCCCGTTTGCCCTTCGTTCTATAAAAAAAACACGTTAATAATGAAAAGAATCTTATGCTAACATTACATATGCCTCATAAAGTCAGCTTATTTTTAATTGGAAAAGTTAGGGCCATTGTTTATAAATATTGCGTTTCGAAAACAAACATTGAAATAGTGTATGCGAAGTCCATTCGTTATAATTAAGCTGAAACGTGATGTTCTATGAATGTATATTTTGCTTTCTATTCATTTTAGAGTTGCAACTATTTCAAAACAAGGTATTGTAAATTTATTTTGTATGTTTAAAGAAAAAGTTATTTGGAAATTAAGATTAATTATTATTAATTCTTCTTCTTTTACACATTTTATTTAATTCGTAACCTAATTTTTTTACCATAAAATGGTTGATCTTTATCACTCCTGTATCAAATTGAATTTAAATATACATGAAAAATATTCAAGTAATTGAGTATTATTAACTAAAATTCTTTTATACTTTAATTAATAATAATGTAGTGTTAAACGCTTTATTTATATAGTTATATATTTATAGTTGTGTGCTGTACTATATGAGAGACTACCCTTCTCGACGGTGTATTGCAAATACTGAGTTGTATATATATATTAAACCTAATTTTTTTTCGATCCCCCCCCAAACTTATTTTTCCCGATTAGCAATGAATCGGGATCAAACTTATGCCACAGAGTAAACCTTATGGTACCTTCTACTTTTACTATAGATAACAATGGACTTCCGGTAAATCGACCCTTGTCTAATCCGTTGTACCTGTAATTCGACACGCCCAAAGCATGTACGATTATATTGCATCTTCACGTCCCCCCGCTTGGCTGGAATCAAATCCTGACGAGGACGTCAGGTGTCAGGAAAGGCCGTGTTAGCGGACTAACGCCATTTTGTAGCAGAAACCCATAAAAAGCGCCGCAACCCCCGCCTTCTCCCTCTTTTTTTTCTCCCCCTCCCGGAAAACACCAAATTCAAAACCCCACCCCAAAAATTATAAAAAAAATTTTTTTCCCCCTCTTTTTTTTTTTTTTTTCTGTGTGCTGTACTCTATATATATTAAACCTAACGATCCCCTTATTTTTCCCCGATTAGCAATGAATCGGGATCAAACTTATGCCACAGAGTAAACCTTATGGTACCTTCTACTTTTACTATAGATAACAATGGACTTCCGGTAAATCGAGCCTTGTCTAAGCCGTTGTACCTGTAATTCGACCCGCCCAAAACACGCACGAAAAAATTCCCACTTCCCCCAGGGGGGCGCCTGGACTTAATCCAAGAAAATATTTTACGCCAGGCGTCACCCGCTTACACGAATCGAATTTAAAATGGTCACGTGACCAAACGTGTACTAACTTACTTTGGTAAGGTGTCTCGTCTATCTCATAATGCAATTTATAGCTCTCGACAATGATATTACAGTACATTTTACATTTAGTAATTATTTTAAAAATATATTTTAATGTTATAGGTTGAATGTTCACACGCATTGGGACCCTTGGACAATACATTTACCAGTTTTGAGAGTGAAGTAAAGGTGATCTATGCTGCGCTGATATTTGAATTTATTAATATGCTTTAGATATTTTCAGCTGGTTTGAGTACATAGGTTCATAGGTACATAGGGTGGCCTGCCTTTTGACAGATATGAAAATATGAAATAATAAATAATTCTGCAATCCCTTGTTACCCTCGGATTTATTGTTCATTAATCATTTTTCTTTAATGGCATGCCCTTTGGCCAAAGTTGAGTGAATTGTAAATGTTTAAGACATACCGATACCATAACAATGTTTTCACAATGTGTTTCGAATTAAAGATTTATTCATTCTTGCCTTGGTAGGAGTTTAGGCCTAATAACTTGGTCAAGACAGTTTAAAAAATTAAATTTGAAGAAAGAATGAGAATGAAACACAAGTTTTTCCACAGAGTCATTATGGCACCACAATCAAACCCTTCTATTTCGAAATTGACAGAGCCGAATTTCAGAAAACACGACCGCGGCGTAACAAGCGAAAGAAAACTAAGAAAACAAAAAAGAAACCGCATAAACATGACCAAAATGAAGCCAAAGCGAAGCAGAAAAGTGAGAAGAAAAAATTTGTGAGGAGATTTGTGAAAGTTCGCGACGATTCATTGTCTAAATCGAGGGAGGTAGCGAAAGGGAAACCGGTGGATATTATTGTGCATATTAAAATGAATGAATGATTTTCATAGCCTCTAATTTAATAAAGATTTTTTTAAATTAAATTTAAATCACGCATCCAAAATTACTTTATATAATAAAAATGTTATACACGCTCGGAATTTAGTGTATACAATAATTTATTATACCCGCTATAATACTATAATTTATTTTACCCGCTCGGATTATTGCATAGACCTCACACTGTGTTTTATTCTCTGCGCAACATTATTTGTTGGGTTCGAAAAAATTGTAATTCTTTAATACATTAAATTAAATAAATAAAACACGGGAATATCCCCCCCTTCCTACTAGAATATGGTACTTCCCTTTTTCACAGCGTTACATAAATGCATTATATAAACAAACGTAAATACATTTTCTGGAAAGCCAGCTAAGTATATAAAAGTATTTGAAAATAGTAGTTCTTATTGTGTATTTCTACAACTAAAACTTTAACCTATATCAAATTCCTTCACATTTACGTCAACGGTTTTGCAAAAATTAAATACATTCAAAGTTGCCAAGTATGCCAATGCTGCCAATTATTTTTTTATTACATTATTATACACAAGTAGACTCGGCCAAGCTAAGCTGTGGCTAAGATTTTTGTTATATTACATAGTAGTAAACTATTCAAGAGAAACGGCAGGAGAACACCAATCCACAATGCTTTTTTTGTGGTTATGCCATTAAATTGTAGCTTATGTGAAACGTTGGTAATTATTTTGATAAGGATCAATACCTAGGTACGAATAAAGAGCCATTTCTAGCGGTGGTATTTTAATAAAAAAAAAATATTAAAAGGACGCTTATTGTGACGTAACTATAAAAGATAGAGACATGCTGTCGCGACATTTTTTATGGTAGTTTTTATAGATAGTGATGTCTCCTGAAAAATTGTAATACATCATTTTGTACTATCATTAATAGTTTTCGCAGCGCACACGATTGAAGGAAGTTTTTGTTAATTTTTTACACCTTGGGTTAGATTACTCAAGTTTTAGTAGCAAAGAATTTTTGAAATCGGTCCAGTAGTTTCGGAGCCTATTCATTTCAAACAAACAAAAAATCAAACCTTTCCTCTTTATAATATTAGTATAGATTATTTTTGATAGTCTCCCTAACTATAGATTATATAGTATATAACTTAAATAGATTAAAATTAAATTAAATGTTAATGTCTGACGTAGTCTGTATACTTAAAATCGTGTAAATTAATACGCGTGAATTGATTTCTGGCACGGTTTTAAATAAATTTTTCATGTAAATGACAAGTGACAGTCAAGAGTCAAGACTGAATGGCACTAAAATCCAAAACATCACCGCGTATTCAAGCGCCGCCACAGATAAGAATATATTATGTAGAAATTTAATAATCAAAAGACTTTGCTCCGTAGATAAGCGCGCAAACAAATTTAAATTTATATCTTATACAAATTGCTTAAATTCATGGGTTGTAAGTGAAAAATCTGTAGCACAAAATTATGTGTATTTTATTGGTCATATACCTACTACTATATTATATTATTTTCATATTTTGTATTCGAATTTCACGTTATGGGAGCTAGGAGTTTCAACTTTCAAAGGAGCTGGAATCCTCTTTGTAAATCTGAATTCCAAAACTTATTCGGTCACACCTCAATAATAGACTACGCAAGGTTGGTGGGTCTAGGAAAGCCGGTTATTGGCTTAATGATTATCCTTCGCCAAGCCCTGGCACCCTTTTGGACCCTGAATTATTATTATGCAGCTCTTTTTCTCGCCACGCCGCGCTCAACGACATCATACGCCGCTCTCTTGCCTCCGTCAGTTTTCCAGCCATTTTGGAGTTAACCGGCATCGCTAGAGATGATGGCAAGCGGATGGGCTGTCTTGGAGCATGGAACAGGCTTTGGTATGGGATGTTACATGTGTGCACACGTTAGCCTCGTCTCACCTCCCTCGGTCAAGCACAAAAGCTGGCCCGGCCATAGAGCAGGTGGAAAATAATAAACGGCTCAAATATTGATTTTGTTCCCTTTGGAGTAGAGACTCTTGGAATTAAAGATTTAATTTGGCGCGTAGATAGTACCTACCCGAGACCCCAGAGCTGGTGCTTTCCTCGCTCGCCTGAGTATCGCAATACAGCGAGGAAATGGTGCCAGCGTTAAAGGTGCCAACAACAATTTTTAAATTAGTATTAATTTTTTAATTATTATTATAATTATTACTGTGTTGGTTGAGAATATTGTAAATATATAATTATTATTATTGTAGTACTTACATATTTCTGTGTTATATGAGTAATTATAAAAAAAGCGAAACGTTTATAGAAATTTAATCAATTCTAGTAAGAAATAATTCGTGGAATATTTTATAAGTTAGAATTTGTATTGATTTTTCTTCTCCTTTTTATATTATTCTTTCTTCTCTTCACATATTCTCTTAATTTCACTCTAAGCTGTTCCTTGATCTTTTCGATGGATTGCTTCTCGCCAGTTTTCTTTAAATCTGGATAATTCTTTGCAATCGTATTTAAAATGTGAGAAAGATTTGACTCAGTAGGTGTTACTACATGTCGTACGAGTCTAGACTTCTGAAAAAATAGCAAAAGGTTTATATACTATTACAAGTATTTGTTTATTATAATATTAGACAAGGTTATTTATTAGCTTAAGATAGGCAAAACTCTCCTAGAGATACATTAATTGTATCGGATTGTTAGAATATTAACGACGAAATGATTGACGAAACAAATGAAAAATCACCTCAAAAGGATGATAAAATTTAGTTAGTTACAATTTAGTTGACTTGATAAACTTATTTTTAGATTAGATTCGATATTACTAACTAGACTCGTATCTATTGGAAAATCCTTTTATCTTTTGTAAGCGAAACAAGGACACAAAAAGTACCCAAAAGCAATTAAAACATACATTAGAGAAGGAACTATACTTAGTTTTAATTAAATTCTCTATCTTAATTAGGTATTGGTTCAGGAGGAAATTTCTTCTGGAAAAGTAGGTACACCAAGTATTCATCAATTAATTAAATCATTATAAATATTAGTTTAACTTTACGAAATTATTTTATTTCTTGCAACTATAAGTTTCTATTACTTAAATATTTTAATGACAATTCTTCCATTGAAGCATGAAATCAAGATGTATTCCTGAACTGAAATAAACATCCCGGGTTTCGAACACACGACTTTGGAGTTGAGACGAGGACACTGCTCAAATGATTAAAGTCAAAATTCATTAAATATTGGTATTAAAACCCATATATACTACACAAGTAGTGCATTATTTTTAAAAGCCGCATTAACTGAGAGCCGTTAACCTAAAACCGATTTTATAACCCGTGCATAAATAATATTTTTACGACACCCTTTCAAAGGAATATCTAAAAATATAATAAATTTCATTTTACCTACTAGTTTTTTTTAAATGAAACTAGTTGGCCTCTCCAACTCTCAACCCGAAGGTTGTGCGTTCAAATCCCTGTTCTGCACCAATATTTTTAACGTAATTAACATTTCCGTATACGGTGAAGGCAGATATGAGGAAACAGGCTTGCCCTACACCTAAAAGTTGACGGCCTTTGTCTAAATAAACTTCAAAATCTCTCATGAAACAATATCTTTAGGTAAATTACTAGAATGTTTTTCATTACTACAAAGTTTATATATAAGATCGTAACAGGCATTCTAAACGTTGGCTTTAGCCAGTCTGTAGACTGTTTCCATGGTTACAATTAAACATTTAAAAATGGTAAGCATGATTACTTTTTCTTTCTTTTTTTTCTTTTATGATTGGACAATTCACACCAATTGACCTAGTCCCATGCTAAGCTGGTGAAGCTTGTGTTATGGGTACTGGGCAACGGATATACAAACATATTATAGATAGATAGACATATAAATACATATTTAAACACCCAAGACCTAAGCACAACACCAAATGCTCATCATATCGATGTTTGTCTCAGCCGGGGATCGAACCCGGGACCCATGGATACGCAGTCAAGGGTACTAACCACTAGACCAATGAGCCGTCATTACACATTGTTCTTTGTTCCGTGCTTTGTCTCTTCAGTCCACGTTGTACAAGGCCAAGTGTCTATAAAATATATAAAAATTCTACATACTCTACCTTGTCATTATCATATCCATAGGTAAAACTAATTATAACACATATCAGTGTAAATCGACAATATAACATTATCAGTATATTTAACAGAATGAAATGGGTTTCGTGTTTAATACTTGCTATTCAATTGTTTCTTAGAAGTTGAATGTATACAAAACAAGAAAAGTTTGATTGTTTGACGCTTTTGTTAACTTGGTAACTGAAATAATGGTAATACTTATTATTATTGATTTTAAGTTGGTTTTTTGGTAAATTAATGTTGTATCCGTCCACTTTTATATTTATGAACACTTTGTTGCATTATTTGGTACATATGTATACATTAAAATTTATGAAGCAACAACAGTATCGCTAGCAAGCGATCTCTTCCAGGCAACCCTAGTAAGGAAAAAACGTAAAGAAATATTAATGTTCAAAAGTGCGTAAGTAATTAAAAAAAAAAACAAACTAAAAATTCTATAATTACAAGTCACGATTAGACTTGTAATTATAGAATTATACAGAAGTCTTTACTACACAATACTGACTGACTGGTAACGTGATTATCAACTACATTCACACGAGCTTTTTTTAAATGAATTCTCGCTTTTAGCCTCAGGAACTGCTTTGGCGATCGTAGCTCTGCCGGAAATGTTATTATATCTTCTACTTCTTACTATATACCAGTTATATTTTTTAAAGAAGTTTTCAATTATTAGTTACACTGTATTAAGGGGCACTCAAGTATTACGTAAGCACTGTGGGGGTGTTTGATTTTCTTATTTCGTAATTACGTCAACAGTAATTATTAACTTTTTACACATTACCCACACAATGTCTATTCTTGAAAATGAAATGCATTGCATGCAATTTTTGAGAGCTTTGCTTACTTTTGCTGACAAGAGGGGGGG